TAGGGTGGGGTAAGGAGGCCACATATCGACATACGAGAACTAAAACGGAAGAGCTGGCTGCTGGTCTCGACTCTCTTCGACGCCCTCACTCGCCTCGTGCGCCGTCATACCGTCAAACTCGTCCCCTTACCTACTTTCCACCGAGATCCTAATGATTCCGGAGAGTACATGACGCCCGCAGCTCGAGCCAAGATATGCGGGCTGGTGGCCTTGGTCCTAGCCCGTCTCGTTTTGTAGCGGTTTCGAACTCGAAGGCCCACAGGAAACCAGATCATGAGATGACGTCTTGGAGCCTAGGGATACCGTTTAAGAGTGGGGGATGCGGACGAGGTTGGGACGAAGGGCAGCCAAAGTCTCACTATCACGTGCAATAGAAGCCTGGAGCCATTTGTAAACATGTATCATAATAATCCTCCATGCAATCAATGGTTCAACAAAACAAAATCATAATAATCCTCCATGTAATCAATGGTTAAGCAAAAACAAAAACATTAGTTATCCTCCTCCTCCTCGTTAATCTCCCCTCGACCAAGCGCTCAGCGCCTCCCATATCGTTTCCCCCATACGATGGTGGCTTCGCCCGCACAGCGGAAGCTGTGGTCGCCGTCGTCACGATGCTTCACCCGCGCGGCGGAAGTTGTGGTCGTGGTCATGATGCTGCTTCACCCGCGCGGTGTGAGGAGCGGATTGTGAGGAGCGGTCATGATGTTGATCCTTGTGCAAAGCGATCAGGAGTTGGAAGATTTGAAGAAAAAGGTTGGAATCGGAGGCATACCGTCAAAGGAGACTCGTCTCGATGCTTCTCGAGGAGATTCCCTGCGATGGCGATGGCACGGTCGAAACCGGCGTCGGGAGTATTGGTTGCTGTGTTGTGAATTGTGAATTGGATTGTAGCGGGATATGAGGCGATGACAGACGACGGGATGCGGACTCGAGATGGGTTGCGGTCGGGAGGGAGAGTTGACGTGGACAGCAGGCTGTTTGATACCCTTAGGACTCCTAAAGTCGGTCAGATCTTAGTCGAACAGCCTTCTTCGGCGTCATACCTCTCTTTCATCCGTCTAGATTTTCGTCTTTTTGAACCGCAGGGACGATCAATCAAGATCTTACATCGTGCCCGGTGAGTGGGAGTGAAGCTCAAACGAAAGTTCGAGGTCGAAGTATTGATAGGGGGATTGTCTAGCAGGTGCTCCCGCTACAGTCTTGGGAGCGGGGGAATGAGGAGGCTGACGTCCATAGTCTGAAGAATAGACAAAAGGAATCAGTTGAAGATTCTTTGGTAGAACTGTTGCAAAGGGTTGTCTGATAGTGAGAGGCTGCAGACGGGAGGGTGGTTATGTAAAGAGAGTTCAATGAATTGTAGAAGAGAGGCCTACAGGAGGCTCGAGAAAATGTAGAGATCGTAAGACAGAAAATGTAATGGCACAGAAGAGTAAGAAAGATCTGACAGACAGGAGACAAGAGAATGAGTATGAGATGGATAGAGAGAGAAGAGAAAAAGAGAAAAGAGAATGGCGACCATCCCCCCTTTAAATAAGTGTGGTTGGCGAAAAACCCAACGTTCGGCCGACCGCATCGAGTTGGCCCGATGACGATGGCAACAAACAGAAACAATCACCTCAAAAGACGATCGGTTGCTATGGACTCGAAAAACAGGGAAGTCCTTCCAAGCCGTTGATCAGGCTGGACACAGCCCTCCGCCGGACCACCCCTGGCGTGACAAGTCCCACTCGACCCTTCAAGTCCCTCAGTACCAATGGGGGAAAGCATGGAAAGGGACAAAGGGCCGTGGTCAGCCTTATCCGGCGGTAGGGGTATCCGTATTGTGGTCTTGAATAGGCATAGTGACCATCGATTTGTCGGATCATGACGTGTTCGTTCCGCCGGCTGGGCGTACCCGTTGAGGGATGACGGAGCTTCGGTGTCGGCTGGTAATGATGTACTAATCTTGTATGATTTAACCAACAAACTGAACAACTTAAAGCCTGCCTAGCCCCCAGAGGTTTCCAACAGTCAACTCTCCACTAAACGCACAGCTCTCCACATCTCCACATTTCCAAAAACTTCAGGCTGAAGCCCCCATACGGTAAGTGCTCGTGAGCGTCAGTCCATCGCTTCCGCTAACTTTACCAGGTCCTCGGATACACTGCACAGGGACGCAGAATACTAGATGGCCCCGACAGCCAGGCACAACGGCACGTTATATCGCTACCTGCGAACGCAACTGATGCTAACATTCGCCGCCGAGTTAGGTGTCGTCCATCGCGGCTCTGCCTCGCGATCGGTATCGTGTCCGGCTAGGCTGTCGGGGGAGACGTCTTCAGCAGCTGCAGCGCTGGCCGGTGTGCCGCCAATGACCCCGGCGCCGAATAGCACATTTTTCGGATGCCTCCCGGAAGCGTCACCGACACTGGATTCATCCCCGACGTTCATCAAACGCCCTAGGAGACTCCCTCCGCCCCTGTGTTATTCTGTTGGGAACGAGGAATCGAACTGACTACCAATCTTCGCGGATGTCGCCGCGTTGGAGAGATCGGGGGGTGCTGCAGGGTCTGTAGCTAGTCTGCGGCGTGCTTGTCTGGGCGTGCCAGTTAGTTTACATGATGGACTCGGGAATATTGATGAGATGGACTGGGAGAGGAAGCGTCAGGAGTTGACGGACGAAATTAATGTCATCGTCAAGTAGTTGACCTTCCACGTTCATTGCTTTCGTTGTATAATACCAATGCAGTCGATCGATGGTTAATACTTGCCCCTGCAAAATGTGAAGATCCCACCTGGTACGGAAAACAGCACTTGCATTTCGGACGACAATGGATACGTCGGAATGAGCATTCGAAAGATGACGGAGATGAGGTACTCGTATCAAATGCTGGCCGCCACATTGTGTCTATGGTGAATAATGAGATAGGTAGAAGAAGATAATACATTCGGTACAGCAACAATATCGTGGGCAGCGAGCTCGAGACAGAGTATCTGGGCATCGATCCTTCGGAAGGTAGGTCCCCCTCACTCCTACCCCCCTACCAACATCGTCATCTTCGGACATCCGGTATTCTGACAGTCTACTTCAAGCATGGAGCGATACTTTGCCTACGCCACATGTCTTCTGGCGGCGAGTGATACTGTCAGTAACAGCAAGGTATGTATCGGGAGGGAAGGAAGTATGGAGGAAGAGCGTGCTTACCTTCGTCAGGCACCACTGCCACGACGAGACCGCGGGACAAACGGAAAACCCTCTGTGATTTTCTTTGACACATAATCAATCAGCAATGATGTTCAGTGGTGTGTAATTCTGCAGCGAATGTCCGAATCGCGAGATGTCGGCGCACCGCATGTTTCATGAGAAATGGAAAAAAAAACTCACAGCCAATTCTGCAGGCAACCCAATATCTCGTCTGATGGCAGCCACATGGCATACCTCGTACCTAGTATAGACTCAGATTCTTGTCGCCAGCGCCCACCTATTTGCGGCGCATTCTTCGACCAATTCTCGCAATCGTAATGATTCGCCGCAATTCGATCAATTCTTTCGTAATAATGCACATCTCGTCCACCTTGGGAGGCATCTCCCTTACTAACAGCTCGTGTTCCTCCTCCGGCCCACTTTTGTCATTGATCGTTGCATGCATCCAATTGAGCTCGCCACACGGTAAGAAAATTGTTGTGCGCATTGATGCGCCGCTCGAGAAAGCTCCCTGAGGTTATCGACGTCTGGTGAAGGGCGAGTAGGGGTCAGTGACCGTCAGTCCCCCTTCCCTGATGATGGTGGAAAGTGGGGGGAGGTGGCCGTGGCTCACAGATTATAGGGTGCCGGTATTATTAGAAACGCTCCAGGACCAATCCATAGAGTTCCGGCACCATACGAAACGTTCCTGACGTTCCCGGGCTACTCCGTTGGAGCACCGGCTTTCACATGACGGTCCTGGTCTTTCCCCATACGGTCCCCGAGCCCTTTAAGCTCGATCTTGCCACAGTAATCACACAAGCAATGCGAAGGATGGAGGTCACTATACTGTGTGCTGATGTGATGTTGGGGAAAGTGGTGCAACGGTGAGCGTAATACTTTCTACATGTACGGCGACTAATGGAGGCAGGATGAAGAATGGGAATCTCTTGTAATTGTCATATCGTTTCCTACATATGTACCCCATTGCCTGAATCGGTGGCCTCCGCGGTGATCTCCTCAGTGGTCAACTGGGCCCACTCGGTGGTCCACTTGGGGGTCCAGCCATCGCCCCACTCGTCGGTCCACTCTGTGACCCAATCTGTGTTATCGTCGTTGGCCTCCTCAGTGGTCTCCCCGCTGGCCCACTCGTTCGTCCACGCAGGGATCTCCTCAGGGATTTCCTCGGGGATCTCCTCAGTGATCTCCTCAGTATCCGTCATCTCCTCACTTGTTCCCCCATCGGTATCCACCCATTCCCGTTCCCGTTCTTCTTTCCAAGACCTTTTAACCTCCGCAATCAACACCTGCAACTCCCGCTCCAACCCATCCAGCCCATTAAGCATAGCCTCGACCTCCTTCGCCCTCTCGCTCACGTCGGCCTTGACGCATTTCCGCAGCTCGTCGGGAAGATACGGATCTCGGAGACGCGACTCTATATACGCGATCGTCTCGCAGTTCTGGTCGATTGCGGTGCGCAGCTGGATGAACGCGGATGGTGCTGCATTGGCTCGGTGAAATGACATTGTACGTGCGATATATTACTCGGCATCAGCCTGCTTCACCGATGCACTATTTATCACTCGGTGTCCGACTTCGGACACATGATTCACATTGTAGTCCTAATGCCAGTCCAAGCGGTCTAAGATTCGCCCATTTCCCCCTGCGACCTCGCATAAAACTCTGCACAGTATAGTTCGAGCTGGTGGTAATTGAGTTTGATGCTGAAAAGGTAAAATCACGCGAGATCATGCGGAATCACGCGGAATCGCCAAATCTGGTTGAGTATCGGAATTTGAATTTTCCCTCACAACTCAATTATGTAGCTCGATTACCCTCTATGATCTATAATCCACTGGATGGAGAGTGCAAATGCAAATGCAAGCCACCTCATGAACAATCATTGATATTTCTTTGTAGCAACACGCAGCTAATAACATAACGACCCAACCCAGCAACCCAACCAACCGTAGAAACAAAAACACCTCGAACAACCATGGAATAGAGGCTTCAAATGCAGATACCTCATGGATCATCCATCAATGATAGATATCAACACGTAGATAATATCAGCCAAACCCAACAAACCCAACAAACCAGTCATCCGTAGAAGCAAAAACACTTCAAACAACCGTAAAAACAGCCCTTTTTCGCCCGTAAACCGTAAGAATATCAAGCGCCACGCACCCTCGTTTTCGTTACCGATTCCCGTCTCACCCCCATCTTGTCCACCACTATTCCCTATTTCCTTCCGAGCAGATACATCTGGGCGTCGCCCAAGCACTCGAACCGGCGAAAAACCGGATTCGGCAATCCCCTAATCTGAGCCGCCAACTCGTCGGGCGTCCCGTACACCCCCGGCCGTCTACCGCGATAGACCGCAAAGAACTGCTGCCACCCACATTGCAGCGCGGTATCCGAGAAGTACACGCTTCTGAGAGGTTCGCGCGAGGGATCGTCGCCGGGTTCGGGCGCGGCGGCGGGTGCGGCATTGGCCGGGTCGTCGAGGCCGGGTCCGCCGAAGAGGCTGACGAAGGGTTTGTTGGAAGTGGGGGTGGCTTGCGGTTGCGGGGAGGTGGGGTGGTTGGTGAGGCGGTTGGGGACAAGATGTTCGAGAGCTTGTGGTTTGGCCGGCGGACCGGCGGGGGGATTGGGCGGGGGTGATTCAGATAGATTATGCAATGTTGCTAGATAGGATTTGGGGGCCTGGGTTGCCTGTGTTTTCGACGGCCTGGGCGCCGGAGCTTCTGATGGCTGGGACGTGACGGAGGATACCGCAGGGCCAGGCGGAGACGTGACGGAGGATACTGCAGGGCCAGGCGGAGAATAATTGGAGGTGGTAGAACGGGCAGGTGTGGAGATGGAGTGGCAGTCCGAATCGGGCACGTAATGGGCCGGATGTACCCGTGCTTGGTGGATTCCCCAAGGGGGCTGAGCATGCTGGCCAAGTGGAATTCTGTTCGACTGGGATTGAACACGCGGACCGGTTTGAATTGCCATCAACTGGGGCTGCTGAACAGCATGTTGCCGAGCAGGCGGACCATAGCTTACCGGTCCTTGATGTGCAGCGACGGTTCTGGAATCAGGGCTGTACATGACGGAAGCATAGTATGCTGTAATTTTCTGGGGCTGCGGCACCGATGCCTCCCAAGGGAGGTGTCCGTAAGACACCGGCACCGGCTGCGGCACATTGTTTGGGGATGCGAAGGGACGCATGGCCTGTGTATTTCCCATCTGCATCTGTGGGTGTGGATGCGGGGATTCGTAAACGGTTGGTCCCGCGATGGGCTTGGGTGCAGCCTTCGGCGCGGGCTCAACGTTAGGTACTAGGGTTTCGCGATGCTGAACGGACAAGGGTGTTCCGTGAGCCTTTTGAGGGAGCTCCCATCGCTCCTTTCGTTGCTGCGGCACCGGAGGGTCACGTTTCTTGATGGCGACGATTGCATTTTCACGCATTTTGGACGGATCCCTGGCCTGTGCGAGAGACTGAGGCCCACGCGGCCCAGGTATATGGTTCTCCTGTCTCTGGCGGGACGCTTTACGGTGATCGTAGACCGCCAACAGGGGCCCGGCGGGGTGAGGAGGATCGTGCAGTGTGAAATTGAATGAATTGTAGACCTCGGTCCTAGGGTCTACTTCCTGCTTCGGCGACCGGTAGCCACCGGCGGAGCGAGCAGGCGATGGCGGCGGATGCATCGCGGGGGAACGGCCATTCAGGAATTCATCGTCCGAGTCTGATTCGGAGTCAGGTTGTGGCTCCGGTGCGGGCTGCGGCGTAGGAGCGACGTGGCGGCGGCGGCGTGATCGGCTTCTTCCTGACCGGGTCCGTACGTCGGGTCCAGGTGCGGCGTCGTTGAGGTGGCCTTCAGGTTTGGACTGTCGCTCGCGTGGGCGACGGCGCGGCGCCAATTGCTGGCGAGTCGTAGGAGGTGACTGGACCGGATGCGGGCTCGCGGTGTCAGTGCGGTCGGTCTTGGATTCACCGTCTGAATCCAATGCGTCATCTTCTAAGGGCTCATTCTTGGGTTGAAGCTTTGATGCTTCAGCTCTGCGGCGTCGGCGACGCAATTTATTACCAGGACCACGCGGCTGCGGTGCCGGTTCCGGTTCCGGCGTGGCAATGATGGAGGGGCCGTCAGCTTTGGGCTGTCGTTCACGGGGGCGGCGATGTGCCTGGGTATTGTTGCGAATCTTTGCACGAGCCTCTGCCCGAGATGGCGGTGCAATGCGCACGGCGGTAGGTGTCGGTGTAGGTTCCGGCATAGGTTCCGATTCCGATTCGGAGTCCTCTTCACGTTTGGGGTCAGGCTGCGCCGCGGGATGGCGTCGGCGTCGCGGACGACGGTGGCGTGATCTGTTGTGGGTTTCCTCGACGTGGGGAGTATGCTGCTCGTCGCGTGCGTTAGGATTGGACGGTGGTGCGCTCGGACGATGGTGTTGCGCAGATTGATCACCGTTCTGGAAGCGTGATTTGTTGCGGCGTCGACGACTCAAGGCCGGCTCCAAGTTCGGTTGAGCTTCGTGTTCGCGGGTGGATTCTCGGTCGGATTGCTGCTCTTTCTGCGTTCGACTGCGTGGTGACGGCTCGGCTACGGCGGACTGGTGCCTCGGTGCGGCGACCGTGGCCGCGGATTTGGGCCTGGTGGAGCCTGCCGGGTCGGGCTGACTCTGCTCCCGCGAAGGTCGCCCGCGTAGTTGATCATTGCTAACGGGCTTGTTGGGCTGTAGCCGCAATGGTGCGATAAGGAGTGGCGACTCAACCTCCGAATAACATTCTTCTTCCTCGTCATCTTCCTCTTCCTCTTCCTCCTCTTCTTCCTCTTCCTCTTCCGATTGATCCTCGGAGCAAGGTTGTATCTGCTGATGTCGTGGCGGGCGGGGCGGACTTTTGATCGCATTGCTGGCTTGAACCTCGAAGCGGGGTGAACTTGTCGCGGGTGCGGGGCAGCGCGATCACGGACTGGGGTTCGCGGCTGCCGTCTAGTTCGACAATTAGTTGCTGGGGTGTAGGCGGATAGCACCTGGGGCAAGGCATGGATAATCCGAGGGATTGGCGGTGGAGGCCACAGTGCGCGAGACAGTAGCAGCGGCTGTAGAGAAGCACGTAGTAATCACAGACGGCGGGCTGCTCGCAGAGATGCCAGCTGCACAGGTTCGCGCGACGGGAATTCGACATGGCGGGGACCGTGGTGAGCTGTCCGCAGGGCAGACGGAGACGGTTCAACGATGATGAATCGGCATGGAAGGGAAGTGTGAGTAGGGATAAGCATTCCCAGGGTTCGATGCACGCTCATCATACTAGCGGCTTGGCTAGCTGCTGACCCCCATGCAATAGGGTTGGGGCTGAGGCCGGGGCTGAGGCTGAGGCTCGAACATATTGCCGGTTGTGTAGGCAGCGAGTGAGACGTAGTGAGGAGGTTTGCGAAGTTCTTCCGAGGCAAATTGGACATTCTTTACTCCGAAAACCCTTAACTGTTTACGCCTTGGGGTGATGGCAGGTGTTATCATGACAGGCGTTTTGGGTACATCTTCTAGTGTCTCATACGTATTCCCTTGTTTAAAATGTCGTGGTTCGACTCACGCGCCCAAACAGAACCATGGTCCATCACTCTGCCACCTAACCACCAACGCGCGACGAGCAAAAAGAAAACGTCAAAAGCTGGGTTTGAACCGCAGCAAAAGAGCGTCCTCCCCAAGGTTGCTACCCTTGTAACGGTGCGGACCTTGAGTACCGGGCGCCAGTACCCTCACCACTTGGGAAATTCCCTCCAATTGAGCCATGATCACCGCTTGTGAGTTCCCTTGATTTCTAAATCATGAACCCGACTCCGAAGCAAGTAAACCACAGCTATCAACACCCAACGGCAAACTATCTTCTTTCCGACACCCTCCTCCCAACACTGGCCTTTGCAACACACAGCAGGTCGCCCCTCACCACAACACAGCGCCCACCAAGACAAAACGGGAGAGAAAGAGAGAGACTCATACAGTAACATTCTTTCAGTACAAAACCGCTCAAAAATAACCAATCTTCTAGCATACATAATACATCCGTTGTCTGCGCATCGGAGCGCAATCGACTATTCCCGCGCCACCACGCCTTAATAACTTTCTTCTCCTTGTCTTTGAGAAACCACATCTCTGGATAGTAACGGTCAGCCGTGAACCAAACCGAAGAGCTTCAGTAGTGGACTGACGATGCACATACCGATCTTGAACTGCACCAGCAAGGCGCCATGGTCAAAGACCCGTTTTCTACCAGTACGCAAGGTAGCTCACCCCATCACTCGTCCACCGCGTCACAGAAGGTTTCTTCAGTAGCCTATCTTTAAAAAAGCTCAAAACCTCTAGATAGTAGTCAGCGCTGGAGAAATATGAAGACCACGAGCTTTAGACAGAGGTTGCACATACGGTCCGTAAAATGTACAATCAAGAGGTAACGAATGAACACGTTCCATAAATTCTCGCCAGTTTCTGTCGAAATCGGGAACGTGATTAGCAACATCTCGGGAGTCAGGGCTAGTTAGGTGGGTTATGCCACATACCGCGAGCCCGGGGAAGGTCGAACACGGCCTGCTTCAGTTGGACGTAGACGTAGTCGACGAAGTCACGTTCGCACTCGGTCCTCGCATTGACTAGTATCCTGCTGTCAGCGAAGGGCTCGGTGCAATAGAATTACTGGGAAGACTGCAACACGTACCTCGATTCTCCAACACAAGAATGTAGCGACGGACAAGCCTAGGAAGGCGCTCGATGCTGTTCAGCAGCATGACCGGGTCGTTAGTCAGCTGCTGTTGGAGTGCCTTGATGTCAGCGCGCGTTCCCTCCGACATATACAGATTCTGTGGATCCATCATTGTTTGAGCGTGGGGTGTCTGAAGTCAGCGGTTTGGGGATGAAAAGATGAGTGAGGTGCGTGATAGATGCGGTCGGAATGGGGAACTGAGAAGAGCGGGGGAAAAGGCCGGGTTTTTATACGATCCATTCGTGCCCCGGATTACGGTCATAATTATGGTACGGCACAGGTACGAACAAGCTTTTCGACACTGTTGAAGTCGAAATAGATTTTGTTTGGCACTGTTGAGGTCTCAATGGAGTCTCAATGGAGTCTACATTGACTCTATTTAGACTCATCATCCGGCAAAAATAAATCACGATCTGCCTGGAGGTAACTCTAACCACATGTCGGGCGCTGCATCGGACCGGTCGGTACCGGGGCTTTCACCTCGACTGGTCAGGGTGGGCAGGAAATGGAGGTCGTGCGTTCGCCATAGTCTAAGGAGGCTGCATGCGAAATAAAACAGGAAGGTCTCTCTCTCTCTCTCTCTCTCTAACCACATGGAAATCCTAATGGGCAGCTGATGTCTAGATCCACGAAGCCGCTGTCCGCCATCTAGACCACGAACCCCATCGGTACTACGCAGAAACGCGAATGGTTCTAGCGATGCAAGCAAAGTCCTCCGGCCATTGGAAGAATCATTTGGGAGCATGCACAGACTTGAGCTTCTGGTGAGAAACACACAGTTGGCTTGGTTCGATCGACGTCTCCGCCTTTCGCCTCACCTCTTCTAAACGACAAGCGGAAGCTATATAATCTTCCAGATCCTGCGGAGCATTTAGTGTATTACGACGTCGAGTCGTCTGCGCACCCGCTCTTCACAGACAATTACTTTACGGCACAGGTCCACCGTCCGAACAAGCTTTTTGACATTGATGAAGTCTAAATACCTAGAGTCTACGTATCATTATCCCCGAAAATCTAAAAATACGACTTGCCCGGACGAGACCACTGGCTCTAACCACATGGAAATCTTAATGGGTAGCATATGGCATATGTCAGAATCCAGGAAACGACTCGCCATCATATACCGGAAACCGCACCGGTGCGACGTAGTGATACGAATGGTCATGGCAATGCAAAACAAATCCACAGGCCAGTAGACGCATTGTTTTAAAGCATGGCAAGACTTGATCTTCTGCTGAGAAAGGCACAGCTGGCTTCCTTTAGGCTGCGTTGCGCGTGGGAGGGCAAGGTACGATCGATGTCTCACTCTCCGCCTTTCGGCTTACTCCTCGCAAATGATAGGCTCAAGCCTAACCACCGACGCGAGACAAGAAAAAGTAAATGCCAAAACCTAGGTTTGAACCGCAGCAAAAGCGCGTCCTTCCCAAGGTTGCTACCCTTGTAACGATACGGACCTTGATTACCGGGCGCCGGTACCCTCACCACTTGTGAAATTCGCTTCAAGTGAGCCATGATCACTGCTGGCCATTTCTCTTCAATTCGTTGTCACGACCCTCCCGAATTCGAAGAAAGGAAAAACTACAGCTATCAACCCCAACAGCAAGCCATCTTACAAGAACTACACCCATCTATGACAGCCGACGGCAAGTGCTAACCCATGAAGAGATGTGTCGCGATGACAGCAAAGGCGCTGCAGAACACAGTATATCACTCGCCATCATTGATGCCTTGTCGAAATCTAACCTTCGACTATAGTACGCAGATAGACGCCCCCGAAGTCGGCAGGTCATCTAGACAGCATGTATGGATGGCGTATCTACTGCGGTAGCAAGAGAGAATAAATATCATCAAGTCGATCTATCTTCACACTCCAAACAAGTTGGAATACATAGATAAATACAAGAAGACAGAAGACAAGAATAACCCATGACCCCTATTCTCAACCGGCCCATGCTCGCCCCACATACGTCTCCCGTAGCGGTTCCCATCATCGTGCCAATAGAAACGTGAATAACCTTATTATGCCTTGTAGCACTGCTCCCACCAGCCGTCACTCGGCATCCTTCATCCACATCAATTTCCGTAGCCCGTCGCTCAACCTCTGACTCTCGCGGAAAGGCTAGGGCAGAGGGCAGGGAAATCCACATCGGGCCGCTCAGCGAAAGCTGGGTTGGACAGTGGCGTGGAAACGGGGGGGGGGGGGGGGGGGGTGAACGGGGCGATATTGCCATGATCTAGATAAGTCGCATGCAATTATTGATTAAACAAAAAAAAAACCTCTGACTCTCGCTATCATCGCGCAGGAACTGGGGATATCACAATCGGCAAACAGAGACCGCATGTTGCTCTGCGGCCATGCGCGATGGCCGCCCGCACCCATCGTCTCCGAAACGATGTACCACAGACACTCTGTGGTGCGTGGATGCACCAAGCTCCACTTCGCCACCGGAGGAGGCAATACTCAGATTTCCAATTCCAGGAAGAAACTCCCAATGAGTCCACATCAGCACTAGTGCGAACCTGGGGGGCAATCGTGTTCGGCAGCCGGCTTCGTCGAATCTGGCGTGTCGCTCTGGAGAGCAATAGAAACGGCGATGTCGGAAAACGTCGTCATCTCCAGAATGGCCGGACACGGTGAACGGCAGCTCAGGCCATGGGCCGGAATCCTCAGGCTGCCGTAAAATGCTCGCACCCTTGATTTCTTCGTGAGTGATCCGGTTACGGTGCAGATACCGTAGAGCCGAAGACAGACAGCCTCGTGCTCGCCACGGGACATCAGCGTCCCCTCTGGAATTGTTCCCAAAGGGTTGATCCCGGTCGAATAGCGGTCTGGTCGGCCGTCCGACCACTCTCTTGCAACGTACGTCTTGTCGACAGTTTTCGATCCTTGGCTGCGGACCTTCGACAGGTTTATTACCAAGATTTTGGAACCAGGTGTGAGCCCGGGTGCTCTTCTGCTTAGCCTTGACTTTTTTTAACTGTACACTTTTGTTTTGTTTTGATCGTTTCTGTCGTCCGCCAGAATTCGCCGCCGTCCGGGTAATTGCGTAGCTACCCTATAAAACCCACATGGCGCCCACCCCCCACGCTTCTTCCTTAAGTCTATCTCTCTCCAAAGTCACCTTTTCCTTCCAACTTAACCACAACAAAATCCGACACTCGGAAACATCACAACATCAACACACCCAATAATCCCTCCCCATTGATTATCACACGTCATAATAATCCCTACCGTCATCCCACGCCCAGCAACTAATGTGAGGCCCTTCAACGCCAGTTCGAGGACATTGGGTTCCGCTCCCTCCGGCCGGCTCAACACCACCTGTACCACCTATTATCGGTGGATGGTTCTATTTGGAACTCATCCGCCGATAAGAGATGGTACGGACGTTGTCGGTCGAAGGCCGAAGCGTCGGTATTTGAAGGCGTCAACTTCCGACAAGAGCTACAATCAATACTTGCCTGGCGGCTGTAAGTTCTTCCTTCCGTGCCTGCTTATCCCGCTGTCCTCCTACTGATTGCAATAGGGTCTACTACGTCGCAGCGGTGGCTCGGATTGGAGCCGCCACTCCAACACCGGTGCCGATGCCGCTCCACTTTGTGTCCCGTGTCGGTCCTTTGTTCGATTTCGGCGGATCGCGGAGGGAGATGAAGCATGGTCTGATTTTTGCAGAAAGAATTGAGTATTAGCGTTTTAGCCGCTTGCATATGGAGTGATTGTTTTTCTTCTTTTTCTTTAGCATATCGGATCTGAATAGGAGGATGGTCTTGTTGATCACCCATTGTGCCTGAAGATGTTTTGGTCTAGTGTGAGAGATTCATGGCAATAAAAAGGCGTGGATATGTACTTGCGAGAGTGACCCAACATCACAGTCCGGTGACAAAAATAGGTGAAGTCACCGGCAAAGCCAGCATGCGGAAATTTGGTCAATACTCTTCCCCCGCGTAGTCAACCCCACCATAGTCAATCTCTTCATTACGCCTACGATGTCCGACACCCGGCCACGTTGTACGGTACCTCCGTTGTGATTGTGGATAGGGAGGATCACATGCTGGGACGGCGACGAGGGGCCACCGTTATTAGAATTAGATAGGAGGGGTCATTCCCTCAGTGACAGGAAGGGCCACGTCGCCGCTGTAAAATACTTAGGCCCGTGGATACTGCCGTAAATGCTTCCGCTGGGCCTGAAATCTCCGTGTTCTCTGTTCCGGGAGGGAAAGATGGGACTGTAGTGCCCAGGATCAACCCTTCCCTTTCCCGTGGAGACCACACACTCCGTTTCCACACGGAGATCGTGTTGAATACTGTCAAGCGAGTGAGCATATGTGATCGAGTGAGTGATAGTGCGCGGCGAGTGAGTTACAGTGACATCGAGGGTATAGGTGAAGGTGAGGGGGTGCAGAGACTCATCCACAGGATACATTTCTGCATCTATCCTTGGAGGTAGAGGTACATGCGGGATCGCCCGGGTGAAGAAGCCTCCAAAGAGTCGATTAACTCCTTGAGAGATGGGAAAGTGAGGTAGACGAGGGAGTAGCGGGCGCGCCGGACAACGCACAATATTGAAAAGACATCACATGGTCGTCAACAAGTAGCAAAGCTTCTAAACGATAGTAGAAAAATAATGAAATGCTCGTATAGTACAACTAATTTACCAACAGGCAGCGGGGATGGTGTTGCTGCTCTACCGGCCAACGGGCGATCTGCCCCTCAAAGTGCGATCACCCGTCGTAGGAGAATCTAACGCACGCTCTGCGAAGGCCATCCTCCGTCGGGAGGTGGCCACGTCAGTGGCGGCCATGTCTGTTTGCTGCGAGTTGCTTGCAGATACAATTTCGGAAGTTCGATGTTGTTGATCGGGCCGGCGTGCGAGAAGTTAGCGCCTGCGAGAGCGCCAGCCGCGTCGTTGAAAATTCAATCGAGTGTTGAGGTAGCGTCCTGTGCTCGATTGTGTCGCTGAAGCGTGGACGCATCTTCGGACCCGGTCACGGTATTGAGCAAGACACCTAGGTTCTGTCAACCACCGCTCTGCTCAGGAGAATATTATTCTTACCTTGATTTGCGTCTCCGGCCATCAAAGACAGGACCAACCTGACTGTTGATGATCCAGTCAGTCCCAAAAGGTGTTTGGCACCCTAAGGGTCTGCTCTTGATCGAAGAGCCGACGAATTTAAGAGGTTGTAGTGCAAGTTGAAGTTGCTGTGTGTGTTGGAAGTAGAGAGAAAGGTGAGGATGTTGTGTGCAAGAAGAGAGAGGGAACGGGTAGAAGTAGGTGTTGTTTGTGGGGCAGGAGATGTCTTGGCATCCCGTAGTTGGCCGACATACACTAACCTAACCCCAACCAACGACATAGAATCGTAGATATCATTCAAAGCATCTCACTCAGACAGCCGAGTTGAGATCCCCACCACGCTTCGCGCGTCATCGTTGGGATACCTGCGTTCATTACTACTCAAAAAAACGTGCGCCATGCCGTTCATTGAAATAGAGCTCCCGAACCCGGACCCCATCGCATTTCTTGGTAGTCGTGACTCGTGTCGGCAATACAGAAAATAACGAAATTTCAAGCAGGACATGGCTCTAGTACTCTACAATGTTCTTCTTGAACTTGTTACCGTATGATATCCCAATTGATCTCGGAGCTACTTGTTGGCAGCCGATATAGATATCAGTCATCCGGAGGTAGCCTGTAGGTTTCTCTAAGGTTCAATGTTCTACATAGACCAGACAGGTCGGCCGACCGGACGAGTCGGTCGGGATATATCGCGACCCGACCAGACCAGAGTTTTTTTAGACGGTATATATCCCGACCGACCAGACCTTGCCAGGCTCGGTCGGCCCAGGTCGGCCAACGTCGGGATAACAGATAAGCGTATCAGCTGGAAATTTTCTGTCATAGTTGTGCGTGCGGAATGTTACTATAATTGTCGCAGAAATGCTGGCAGAGAAAGCATTAGCACGTGATGATGCACTAAAGGCTGTGTAATGTCTCAAAATCTGGCAGAAGGATAGGATGATTGCGGCGACTCAGGCGGATGTGAAGGAAATTGGGGAGATGTTGGCCGCGCTATACGACAAGGATCTGGTGTAGAATAAATGACTGTAAAGATTACAAATTCCAACGTGTAAACTTTCTTAGCCCGACTTATCCCGACCTATGTCTGATCGGTCGGGATATATCCCGACCGACCAGACCTGATTTTTTTTTAGTCGGGATATATCCCGATCGACCAGACGAGAGTTTTTTTTAGTCGGGATATATTCAGACCGACCAGACGATACCCAAATTTGGTCGGGACTGGTCTATGTAGAACACTGCTAAGGTTCATTCTCTACAGCCTATCTAGAGCACGGAGTTGGACCACACTCTTCCTGATCCTGTCTATATTCCGCAGTCCAGGTGATTATGTAGCGGCAGGGTTGGACTGGCAAGAAGGGTAACCGGGAAGGGCAGTCGCAAGAATCGTCTGTGGACGGAATGCGGTAGGTAGGATGGTCTGCACCAGCAGGAAACCGTCAGTGTGCGGCCACATCACTAAGGCCGCCCCAGAGAGACCGAAGGCATGCCGGGCGTGGGTCCTATAGTAAACACCGGGGCTCACCAAAGCGGCCTGTAGATATCACCTACCTACTTCTCACTGGCTCAACTCCACCGCTACAATTATTCTCCCCTCTGCTTCCGTCTCCGATTTCTCGAGAGTCGAGGAGGCCGTTCGATATCCTCTGAAACCCGCCTGCTTCTCTCCGTGCTTAAGATTCGTAATATACCTATCACGTCGGAAGGCTGTGGGCTCTTTCGGACGAGAGTCTGGTATATCTATACATCTTGCCGTCAGCACATGGCCCAGTACCTACAAGCCTCCAGTCTACACGCTATCACCTGGGTTTCCACACGGGTGACGCCGGACGAGGATGAAATCGTTGCCGCGTCCGTACCTATCAGCTCAGAGCATACACGCTTGACCCGACCCCCAAGGCGGCAAGTTGCACTGATTGATTTGCAGAGCAAATAGAGCATCACTTCATGTCATCGACCATTGGAACGATTGGCACATCATCTGTAGTAAATTTTACCAGATTACAGTTACTCGAGCCAGCACTCCCCCCAGTGTCTCCCAGAGCCAGAGACGGATTCATCTCGGAGTCACCCAAACCTGAAAGCAATAGGTACAAAACCCCAAGATCCCAAGATCACGCCGATTAATATCCCGCTGCAAATGAAAAGAACAAAGTAAAAAAATATATGCCCATTAAAATTTCATATTAAAACTTAACAAATCGAAAGAAAAGAAATTCGCCCCTGGAAATTCCACACAGGCAGAACAAAACAAAAAAGAAAAAGAAAAAGATACCTGTCTCACCACGATGTTTAGCATTCGTCTTGATCATGCGTTCGTTCTGGACTTCGCATTCACTAACCTAGCCCCCATTGTATCAGACAAATTAAACTGCTCAGTGCTCACCAACAAAGTTGAGAACATGAACTACTTAGTCACTTATTTAAACCAAGTAGTTCAAGCTCTCAACTTTGTTGGTGCTGTAGAACCGGTAGCTGTTGAGAACTTCGAAAACGATCTTGTGGTAAGAATCGTCTTTTCTGCCGGCTGTGGGGGCGGTTGCAGGAAGCACCGAGCTGTTGACAGCTTCGCCGGCTCTGTAGAAAGGCACTTCGATATTCGCGGCTTCTTCGGCAGTGTAGTGCACTTCGCTATTGGCAGGCCGGGCTTCTTCGGCGCTGTAGTAAGACACCTCGCTATTGGCGGCTTCGTCGGCGCTGAAGTTTTTAAGTACTCCGCTGTTGGCAGCTTCGTCGGCGCCGTAAATCTCATCCACATCAACATGCTTACCTCCGACTTCGCCTGCTCCGACTTCGCCTTCTCCAAGGGCGTAAGCCGTGATCTTCTCCCAATTCACAGGATGGCAATTCTGTAGGTGCTTTCCCAGATCGAAGTTGCGCTTGAAAACCTTCGGGCCGTAGTTCGCCGCGGCCGGATCCTTGAGGCAAACGGGACAGGGCCACTGCTTGTGGGGAATGTGAACCCTCAAGTGGCTGAGGATGTAGCACCGTCTCTTGCAGCGAACCTCGCAAGTGCCCCATTTGCAATTCAATTCCAATCCTTTTCCGGTGCGCAGACCCTTGCGTCCAACATGGCCGAATTCAACATGCTCCCAGAGCTTCTGCAGGCCCATGAATGACTTCTCACAGCCCTGCCACTCGCAGCGTTGCTCTTCCTCGTGGCCCGCGGGAGTGGGTGGGAATAGCTCAGGATTCTTCATTACAATCTCAAGGACCCGGCAATTCGAGAGTCCGCCGTAGCGATATGGTCCAGCACCACGCTTAAATCCACCATCAGGACCGAATTTAACAGTTGACCGACTGATCCAAGGATCCTCACCGTGTTTGGGGGATTCGGGGGATTCGTAACTGTCGTACTGAGAAGGATATTGGGATCCGGAACCATCAGGCTGGGAAGGACCATGGGGTCCGGAACCATCAGGTTGAGAAGGACCATGGGATCCGGAACTATCGGGCTGAGAAGAATCGGGGTATCCGGAACCGTCGGGTCCAGAAGGACTGCGAGATCCTGATCTGCCGGGCTCAACTTCGCCATCGTCACTGGGGGGAGGGCTGATGCGTTTTTCCTGCTCATTCTGATCATCCCTGTGGGGGAAGTCCATAGTAAATCCCGCCTCCTCACCATCCATCCTCTCCAACAGCAAGTTCGAGTAAAGACCACCGGTACCCACAGCGGCACCTCCGAGATCCGCACCAGCTTCGTTCACGGTAACCTTAGCGTAAAGTCTGACATTATCGTTAGAAGATATGCCGAGAGGTCGCTCGAGGACAGCCAGGCTGTTAAACGTAGTAGAGTAGTCGTTCGGCACACCGTCAGTTCCAACCGCAGCTGGGTCGTGCGCGGCAAGGAAAGCTCTCGCATTATCGCAAGCCTCTGCGTAAGCGCCTTCATAATCGGCAGTGAGTTCGCTCGGCTGGGCAAGGAGAGATCTAGCAACGATGCAAGCTTGAGAGATAAAGTAAGCGCGGGCGTCAGCGTGATCTTGAAAATTGGCTACAGCTTCCTGTAGTTCGCGAAAGCCGATATCAGCACGCTGGCCCATGCGACGAGTCTCGCTGATGGCCCGACTCTGGATGGTGGCCCAAGATTCGATGGTAGAGGAATGCCTTGAGCCGTGGTTGGTCCCATTGCGCGAGGATACTTCGAGATAGTCATAGTATCCTCCGTGAAACTCGGCAGCAGAGGAACTTCCGATGCCAGGGCGAGCCTGAATGGGAGTGCTAGCCATGTAATTGAAGGAGAAAATTTGCGCAACGGAATAGTTCTGGTTGACAACCGGAGACCCAATGGCACCAGCGAGGGCTCTCGGGAAAGTGACGCCAGGTGTATTTCTTGGAAGTCCACCCAATTGCCCGGTGGTCATATTTCCAGCGCCAATCATCTCTGGAGTCTGGTGAAGGTTGCGGTTCTGATTCTATTTTCATATTGCGATTAGCTGAGTTTTTGTTTTTATTTTGGGGCTTGAGGCCAGGATTAAGATCGCTTACCGTTCGATTTTGATGAGACATAGCGAAGGATATGTTCTTCGTATTAATGATTTTTGGGAGGTAGGGGTTAGAGTTTTGTTTGGAATCGAGCAGTGGTGTGAATTCGAGAGTGGTATTTGGAAGATGGTTAAGATGTGAAGTAGAGATGATGGTGGAGAGTGGTATTTGGAAGATGGTTAGGATGTAGAGTAGAGATGATAGTGGAGCAGGGTGGTAGACAGAGTAGAAGAGAGAGGTGACCGAAGGAAGTGGTAGACGAAGAGGAGGGATGGAGAGGAGAGATGGATAGGAGGGAAGGAGAGGAGGGTCGGAGAGGAGGGATGTAGTTGGACTTGGAACGTCGAAAACAGGATTGAGGGTAGGGACAGCGTTGGCTAGCCTGTGTTGTTCCTTTGGTGCACCTTCTCGTCGAGGTTTTGAACTGTGCAGTGAGGCTCCAAGCGATTCTCTCCCGTCCCTCCCTCCCCTCACTCGGTAGGTGTTCGAAGAGCGCCGCCCTTTTTACCACTTCCCACAAGATCCACCGATAACCTCGCACTATCGCTCAAAAGTTGGCGTGTATCTGCCTATCAGTATCTACTCTTTGAGCACCCGGGCAGTATATCGGCGGAGGATAGCGTTCCCAGATTCCGCAGTATAATTTCTGGTTGATCATCAACTGCATGCGGCCTATCTAGAGCTTGGCAGTAGGCACACTATGTTTCCTCGCCCGCTACCCAGCCAGGCTCACGCCAGGTGATTTGTCGTCGCTATAAGCCTGTGCTAACCTACTCCGCTTCCACGCCATTGTCCAACCCGACTTTGATCGAGCGGCCCGATGAGGCTTCCCCTACCTTCTACCCTGGCCTGTCCCATCGGTAGAGAAACAGCGCACCAAAGAAATAACACTGGGAAAAGACAACGTCCGCTCCCTCGAGTCCCTACTCCGCCTCGAGTCTTTTCTCCCCCTCGAGTCCCAATTCCGCCTCGAGTCCTTATTCCACATCGAGTTCCTATTCTCTCGAGTCCGCCGCCCTGGCCTGTCCCGACTCCCGACGAGAAATCTCGCCACAAAAGCGAGTGACAATTGATCCATCCCGAGCGAGTGAGCGATTGTGCACCGCTATAATTCGCTTGATGAACCGTATCTAGAGTACTAATAGCTTGACTCTAAGGCGTAGTTAGTAATTAGTAGTCAGATAGTACCTCGCCTGGCCTATGTACACAGCCGACATGTGATTAGGCCCAAAGCTATTGTCTGCGAAGGTTTAGAAGCTGTTGCATCCGCTACCGGTATGTTATGAATCGCCAGTGACTCAGGTGGTGTACATAAGGCACGGCAATCAGGACTCGATCGCGCTGATAGTCTTCGACCTGTCTACAACTCCCCACGGTAGACGAAAGATCCAACGTATCTGCCGTCACGCTTTCATCTCCGGTGCGGCCGTCTACGATCTCTCCTCCGGACATCATCACCGGCCGTCCAACATTTGACACTTCCCCTCGGACGGATGCTGGATGGAACTCAGGAAAGGTAGGAAAGACAGAAATGACCAGCGGCAGCAAAGAAAATAAACCCACCATCCTGACAAAAAAGACCAAACATCACGGCACAGAAAACCGTTGTGAGATAGAGAGAGAGAGAGAACATCAATTTATTTTCGCATGTGGCCTTACTATTTAGACTATGGCGACCACCAACTTACCAGCCTTTCATTCCTGCCAGCTCCGTGGGGTCGAGAGAAAGCTCTCTCTACCACCACGGCCCGTTGCTGCGCCGCTGCTGCGCCGCTGCCTACCAACCAGTTTTACAAAGGAAAACCATGCTCACACTCATTACTTATCCACACACTCACTATCCGCACCCTCCGCAGTCGCAATAACTTGCCAGGCACTCCTGTTCGGCCGCAGATGCGTCGCTCCCATTCTCGGCCCTAGATAGCAGAAAAACGTTGTTTTACGACGCAGCGGTACTTATGCTAATAGGAAGCGGGTGAGTGGCATACAATGATCCCTCGGAAGATCACAGGTCCGGAGTTGAGAAAAGATTTGAAAGAGGCGACCGGCGGCGCCGCACAAATGGAGTCGAGATGATGCGTGAGTTTTGAGTTTTGAGTTGCATCGTTTCAGCCGTGGTTCAGCCTCCGGGGAACTCGGCCGTGAAGCGGACCGGACCGACGACTGAAGCAGAAGCACCGCCGCGAAAATAACCTCGAGCTTGTAGTGACCAGTGTGGGACACAGCAGAAACGGCGGGCATGCAGGCAGATGCACGAGCGGTGAAATTTCGCCGACCTGTCTACCTGGACTAGATTCGGTGCGGTTAAACGTTCAGAGGGAGAGCTCTTGCATATTTTATCGGGGTCTGTCTGTAGACTGTCTGTTCATCGTCTATCTGTTTCATCGTCTATCTGTTTCATCGTCTATCTGTTTCATCGTTCTCATCATTGCTTTCATCGTTCTCATCAGTGTGCCTTCCCGCTGTTGTTTGCCCGATCACGCTATTCAACTCGCGAGGCTCTAGGATCTCCTGAAGAACACAGGGGGCTCTTTTGTTATGCATACTTGTCGATCCCTCTCGCGTGAAATACAATCGGTCCTCTCCATCTCGCATCAAAATTGCCAAAGGTTCTTCCTGATCCTAGTGCTTCACTAGCTACATAAGCTGGACTGAAACTGTGGTAACAAGGACACCGAAGCGAACGTCGACTACCTAGGTCTGTGTCGGTACTCAGTGCAGGCAACAGCCCTGCCCAATCAAAGCCAGCCCGCAGCCCGGCGCGTGTAGCCCAGCCCGGGCTGGTGGGCCGTAGCGAGTGAGTTCCAATGATGCGTCTCGCTGCTATTATCGTTGAGGGTGATCCGGCGCGGCCACCTGTATCCCAACAACAACCGTAACAGAATCACCTCCCTCAATATAATCACTTCCCACATTACCCTCAATCAGATGTCAGGCGCAACTGACTGGGAGCGCCGGTCTCACACCAAGTAGCAGCCCGGGTAGTAAGCGGAAGTTAATTACTTTCATTTACAAGCATGTACATTCTCTACTCTTTTTGCTGTTGCCTCCGGTCTTTCTTGACGGCGCTGCCGGCGTGGGCCTGTTTCCTATGTATGATACGTTCAATACTCTTTCTTCAGTCATTCGGGGGAGACTTTCAGTTTATTTCTCATGAAGCCTATCTAGACTATGGCGAAACGTCACGCTCCTTTCCTGCCTACTCTGGCTGGCCGGGGGTTAGGGCCCTGCTACCTACCAGCCGGCACGTTGTGGCGCCGCTGCCTACCAAACAAATACCATATAGGAGGACATCAGTCCTTCGTCTCGCCGGCGTGAGCCTGTGTCCTATCTATTGTCGTGGTGTTACCCTACCAAATCCAGGATCCAGCCCGCCCAGCCCAACTGATAGCCTGGGCTGGGCTGCCAGCCCATTGGCGCCAGCCCGGGCTATCAGATCAGCCCACCAGCCCCAGCCCAGCCCATGGGCTTTTCGGGCTGTTGCCTGCACTGTCGGTACTCCCTGCTGGTGACTTTCGCGTCATGTCTCGGATAATTTGAGACACATGAGGTGTTCAGAAATCCAGATGGCAGTCGACGATGGAAGGTCCAAGTCGAAGACCTGGAAATACCGGAGTTAGTTCCGAGATTCCGTCCGAGTACTTAGATGGCGATGACACTGACCAGCGCGAACGAAGTGCCAACTTCCGCTAACACTATGCACTTCAGCCCTGAGGATCCTCTGCCGCTCATCGCCAGTTTAACCACAATAAGTACCCAGGCCTCCTCCCGCCAGATCGCCGAGAGAGAGAGAGAGAGATCTTCGCTTTATTTCGCATGCAGCGTATCTAGACTATATCGAACCGTCGCACTCCTTCCCTTCCCCCTCTGCGCCAGTTCGCCGAACGTAATCTTCAATCATCGCTCAGGAACAGATAGCGTGAGAATCCATGATCCTAGGCGAGACTTCCCCCAGCTCGTCTCGTCAGGTCCAAAAGGCTGACAAGGCGGGCCAAGAGCTTCACCTCACGGTTCTTGTCGAGGTGACTGGTACGCAACACTATTGGAGGGTGGAGGGGTCTATTCCTGTGCTTACAGTGGTCTATAGTCCACTACCTAGCTGCTCCACCGCGATGCCGTTTCTCCACTTTCTTCTCCTGTTCTACAATAATTCACACTATCGCGCCCCACACACTATTCCGCTGCTTCTTTATTACCCGCTACGTTTTTCTTCACATCGATTGCATCACCCATGTGGGCGATGCCGGAGCACCTCCGGCCGCGGTCTGGATACGGGTTCTTCACGGGATCTAGTATGAAACTTTGTATACAGAAGGGACTGGCTGCCCTGACGAGGCTACAATCAAGCAACACGTCTTTCTCCACCGTTTATTAACAAGAAAAATCTATAACCCGCGAGCATCGACTCTTCAAATCTATTCCCGCCCACTGTTCGGGCCAGAACCAAACAATATTTCGCCTAGTAAACCAGCAGCTTCGTCTCCTCCCCCAGTCTCTCCTTCACCTTGGGTTCATTCAGCAGATCCAGCACGCTCGCGCACGTCTCGCGGATATCGAAGATGCCCTGCTGCTTCTCGTTGATCGCGCTCATGTCCAGCACCACGGCTTGAAGATCGTCCAGCTTCAGCGCTCCTATGTACACCGAAGATGAAGTTAGTGAGTGAGTGAGAATCGCGCCGCGCCGCGGCAGTGTGAGCTGATTATATTGTGGATTGCCTAGGTACCTTCGCGGATGAGCGCCAGGACTCGGCCGGGCGTGCCGACGCCTATTCCGATCCTGCGGAGGGTTAGCCATGGTTCAATCCCAGTGTTGCCGGATAACCCCCGACCCCCCACGCAATGCTTACCTCGAGCCGTTGCACAGTTCGATGGACTCCTTCATCTTGATGTGTTTTGCGAAAAATTTGGCAACCATGGACTCTTTTGTCTGGAATCGTTTCACCGCGCGCGAGAGATCTGCGGCACGCAGCGCCGCAGCCGTGACGATGAGGGTGTGGGGGGCGCCACGAGTTTCCGAGGCCTCTTCCAGTCCCTTCCCTAGCAGCGGACCGACGCCTAGCCAGCCAACACTCACATCAGTACATCGTACACACACATACCGCGCAGCAGTAGAGAGGAGAGGAAAGGAGATGAGCAAGGGGAGGGTGTACTCTTCTCGAGGTAATCCCCCAGATTCGCCAGAACCCGCTCGCCGGTGTACGACGTAGTATCCAGGAAGGCGGCGCTGGGAATAAACCTGTCGTCGAGTTCGACCGCGCTGAGTTCTTTCTGAAACTTCCGCAGCTTCACCCCGACGTAGTCCGCCGCAAGCAGCGGATCCATCTGCGCCACCGCCTCGCTGAACTTCTCAGGTTTTGCGGGAGCCTTGAGCGGTTTGAGCGGCTTGGGCGCCGCGGTAGATGGGCGGGACTTCTTCTTGGGAGGGCGGGCGTCGGCGGTACTGCCGTTGCTCGGCCGTGGCTTTTGCGTCGAAGGTTCCGAGGCCTTGGAGGAGGAGTCGCCGCCCACTGGGGCCAGCGCCACAGTGTCCAGCTTCGTCGCCAGCTTGTTGACCTTTTCCCTCTCGCGCTTTCGTTTCCGCTTGCTGCTGGCGCTGGTCTCGGGCTCTGCCGCGGGTTTGTCCGAGGCGGGAATGGAGTCCGATGACTCCATAGGTTCAATCGCGGTCGTGCCGCGGAGCTCGTCGTCGGCCATTGTGTCGGTGTGCGTGAGTTGTTTTTTTTTCTTCCGCGTGTGAAGTTTTGTTCAGCACGGGCGTGGCGGGCAGAGAATGCGGCGGACAGAGAATGCGGCGGGCAGGGAACGTGCATGGGTAAGTACGCGAAGTTTATTTTCTCAGCCTCAGTGCTACACTAATTTAGACCAGAGGCATCGCTTACACACAGCTGCCAATCGGAACTTGACACTATGTACACCAAAATATCTTCTGGGAAATGAGCGACGAACAAGACTTCAAGACCATCCTATTCAGATCCGATATGCTCAAGAAAAATAAGAAAACAATCACTCCACATGCAAACGGCAAAAACGCCAAGACTCAATTCTTTCTGCAGCCACCAGACCACGCACATCAGCCACCTTCAAGTGTCATGTGCGGGGCTGAAGCCCATCCCATGTGGTTGTTTTCAAGGCCAAACCCTCCGCAATGCACCGAAACCAACCTCCGTTGCAAATAGTATTGCAGAACGGAACCACACAGCACCTGTCTGAAGAGAATGTATTGCGAGCACCACTGCGGCGTGATAAAGCTATTGCAATCAGCAAGAGGTTGGCGGGATAGGATATAATATGCAGGGAAGGAAGAACTTACGGGTTGGAGGACGAATCCATTTATTATACCAGTCTGGCTCTTGAATGAGAGTGATGTTAATCTTCCAGTTCTTCTGAGCGTATTCTTTGAAGGCCTGTTTCAGTGTCAGCAGCCGCTTCGGCGATCACAGGTTAGCTGGGGAAACACATTTTGCCTCAAGTTAAAACGCTTCTCCTTGTTCTCGTTGATTAGTGCAGCGAGCTCAGGTTCCTCCTCTAGCTGCAGTATTGGGGGAGGGTATACGAGCATGCTTGCTTCGTATTGTTTCCACTCCGGCTTCAAGGAAGCCATGTCCTTCATTGCAGGACTATCAAGATATTCCGGACGCTTCGTCCACGACAGCAGCGTCTAGGCATAATTGGAGGTGGGTATGAATGAGGGGTGGGGAGGGATTATTGGATGTTTTGATGTTGTGATGTTTCCGAGTGTCGGATTTTGTTACTTGGTTGGCAGGAGAAGATGAGATGAGAGGAAAATGAAGTGGTGTAAGAAAGAAGCTTGGGGGGTGGGCGCGATGCGGGTTTTGTGGGGTAGCGAGGCAATTACCCGGACGGCGGCAGACGACAGAAACGATCAAAACAAAACAAAAGTGCACAGTCAAAGCAAGCAAAGCTAAGCAGAGCAGCACCCGGGTGCACACCCGGTGCCAACATGTGGGCAACAAGTCCGTCCAAGGCCCGCAGCCACGGATCGAACACTATCGGCAAGACGAGATGTCAGTTCCAGCTGCGTCCCACACCACCCTGCTACATACCATTGATACTCCTCCTGTAATTCACATGGTCGTCTTTACTGTTTCAGCTGTTGCGAACTTACAAGCGAGTGGATTCGGGTCTGTCTATCTTTGGGGTGGCAACGGCGGACATCATGCATGATCACTCGATTCTTGCGGCGCCACATATATTCCCATTGTGGTGTGGCGCTGCCTGCACGTGATGCGCAAGTGGTGATGATGCCTTGGCAGACGTGGCGCTATCTTTCGTCGCGTTCGCATCCATCGTCCTATATATACAAAGGTTAGATGTGCTGGAGGGAATGCGCATAAGCGGTCACAGACAGTGATTGATGAGGAGGTGGATAGCTTTTGTCCACTGTACATACAAATACTCCATCAACTATCACTCTCTCGTTCAGCCGCGTCTGGTTTAACGGTGATGCGATGTCAGGTGACTGCGGGGTATCCAGACACGACCATGTTTCGTTCTTTCTTTCTCTCTTCGATTTGGTAGGCAGTGACCGTGCGAGTACATACAAAGCCTCATCTCTGTTCCTCACGGGGCTGGCAGGAAAGATCGAGTAGGCGGGATCGCCATGGTCTAGAACGGCCGTTTTCGACAACATGTAAACCGACGATCTCTAGCTTCCCGTCTACTCACGTCACCCCCAACCGACACGACACACGATGCACCACCGCCGGCTCCTCCATCTGCGCAGCATGTCCACCTTCGCGATAAACTTCACACCCAAGGCGACGCCCGTGACGCGGTCGACAGCTTACACGCTGCTGACCTCATCTCCGGCATGGACGCTCTCCCGCGCCGGCACCGGCCTCGAAAAGACCTACCGCTTCCCATCGTTCCCGCAGGCGATGGAGTTTGTCAATGCCGTGGCCGCGGAAAGCGAGCGGCGGAAGCATCATCCCGAGTGGGCTAATGTATGAGCGGGGTGGTGGGATGCGCCGGCGGTGTGCGGATGTGCGGGTGGATACGAGCTGACACGACGGCGCAGGTCTATGATATCGTCAAGATCCGCTGGACAACCCATCGGCCCGTGGGTTTGGGTGGGAACGATGTGGCCATGGCAGAGTTCTGTGATCAGGAGGCGGAGAGGGCGGGTGCGGTCGCGGTGCCGGTGGCGGCAGAGCGTGGGGACAATGCCGCGCAGGAGCAGGAGGAAAAGGGTCTGCTGGATGGACTCGTGGAGGGGGAGGCTTGCGGAGCTTGTGCAAGGAAGTCGGCGTGAATTGATATACGAGCCGGAGGATCGCGTACTAGGTACAGCGTGTGGGAGAACGCCGTCGTGATACTTCTGTTTCTGTATCGTATTGGGTACCTGCTTACCCTCAGTGGACCCGAGGCATGACGGAGTCCGGGCAACTTTCTTTCATCGATCAATGCACCATCGTGCAGAGTTGGGATTTGGCTATTGGAAGAACCAAAATCTGTGTCTCCGTGGATGGTTTTGCATTTTGGGCCAACCGACGCATCTTCGTTGAGGCGTTGTGCTTATTTTCGTTGCTTTTTCGGGAATGGTAGGTCTCAAGGAAACAAGACGAGTAAGAAAAACTACATATATACATCACCCGCAGCATCCCCCTCCACGTAACTACCACGGCTGATCACTCACTCATGGCAGATAATTCAAGCCGTGAATTATATCAGGACGAGCCAACTGTCGGCATTAACTACAATATAAGTATCAGCTAAGGAAGAAGAGCGCGGCAAATCCAATCTTAGTTGAGTTGGAGCGAAAAAGCACTCAGCACCCGGTTTACATAACCAACTTAATTCCGCGCATGCACTCATGATCATGAGCGAGCATCTGATTCTACAGAGGACGATGAGCTGACAAAGCCTTGTCACTACTTCTGCACTATGTAGAGTACCCTGTGCGGCTCGAGTTGGTTAGTTACACACATAACAGCACTAACAAACCCCCCACCACCTCACCATCCCACCCCACCATCCCATCCCATCACGCTCCCCCGCCCGCGCCTCCTCCGCCGCCTCCTCCTCCTCCTCCACCAACCCCACCCCACCGGCGCAATGACCAAATTCCGCGGCTGCATCGACCTGCACTCAGGGGTAGTAAAGCAGATAGTCGGGGGAACACTATCGGACAGTTCACCATCATCGCTAAAGACGAACTTCACGTCCTCGCTACCATCCTCACACTTTGCGGCGCTTTACCGCACGCACGGGGTTAGCGGATGTCACGTAATAAAGCTGGGGCCCGGCTGCGACGCGGCGGCGGAGGAGGCGCTGGCCGCGTGGCCTGATGCACTGCAGATCGGCGGCGGGATCAATGATGTCAACGCGAAGGCGTGGGTTGACGCGGGGGCCGAGAAGGTGAGACACGCACCCAGCGGCGGGGGGGAAGGGGGGGGGAGGGGATAGGCGGTTGACGGGAACACGGGCAGGTTATCATCACGAGCTATCTCTTCCCCAATGCGACGTTCAGTATGGAGCGGCTACGGAAGGTCCTCGACGCGGTGGGCAAGGAGGGGCTGGTCATTGACCTGTCGTGTCGTCGCCGCGGCGACAGGTGGTGGGTTGCTATGGATAGGTGGCAGACGATTACGGATTTGGAGGTTAACAAAGGTAGGGGCTTTCCTTCTCCCCTCTCCCGCCCTCCCTGCCACCCTCCGACAATTATTGACGTGCCCGTGTGTGGTAGAAACCCTCGACCGACTCTCCGCCTACTGCAGCGAATTCCTCGTGCACGCTGCCGACGTGGAGGGGCTATGTCGCGGCATCGACGAGGATCTGGTCAAGGCGCTGGGGGAGTGGGCGACGATCCCGGTGACGTATGCGGGCGGGGCGTATAGCATTCAGGATCTGGCGACGGTGGAGGAGCTCAGTGGGGGAAAGGTGGACCTTACGTATGGCAGTGCGCTCGATATTTTTGGCGGGGATAAGGTAAAGTTTGAGGATTGTGTGGGGTGGAATAAGGAGCGGGCGTAGGTCAATTCAAAACAAAAAGAACGCCAGAACGATAGGTAAATGGATACTGCGAGAATACTGCTGCTGCCATATCTACCGCGCCTCGGTAGGAAGCTTCCAGTTGTTGACCTCCCACCACCATCTCCTCACCTTGGCTATTCCGCCCGTCAGCATCCCCTCCAAATATCCAACGTATCGTATAGAGCGTGAAAGAGAAAGAGAACCCACCGCCCACTCCCGCGCCGCTAAATTTCACGCCCCTATTCCACCATCGCCACCCGAACAGCGCCAGATTGAAGCCCAGGCCCTGGAGCAGCGGCATGAGCACCTGATCCTTCATGGTGATCAAGGCGACCTTCCACCAGACGCCCTGGGCCGGCGCAATGCTGGCCATGTAGCTCTGCTCGAACCTCAGGTCTGGCAGCGGCGGCAGCGGCCGTCGTGCCGGCCGCTCGTCGTGGTAGTTGAGGATCGACGACGAGATCGAGTGGCGGTCGTCATCGTCGTCAATGTCGTCGTTGTTGTGGTGCGAACGGCGCAGCGGGATCTTGCTGTCGGCAGACGTCGACGGCGCGATGTCGCCGTGCCCGGGATCGTAGATGATGTGTGTGTCCTGCGCGAGCGTTTGCGCAGCGAGAGGGGCGATGGTCGACATTGTGGGGTTGTTGGCGGTGGGGTGGGCGGAGGGGGGATGACGTTCGTGTATCTGTGAAGTAGTTGACCAGCGTCGGGACTCTACTTAGGGTGCCTAGAGTAGCGTAGTTGGCAGCGGCAACCGCCGTCTTGGCTCACCACCCAAATCTTCACGCTCCATCCCACCAGACCAGACCTCAGCACCTCAGCACCTCAGCACTGCTCTGCACCACCACCACCACCACAAACCCACCACCCCCCAACCCACGCTACAAAAATGGCGCCCAAGCCTCCCACGGCCTCTGCCTCGCAGCCCAAGAAAGCGCCCAAAGCCTCCCGGGCTGCAAAGTCGAAAGGCGGGATCCGCAGCACGCACACCGCGCTGGGGATAGCGAAGAAGCCGTTGCGCAACGACAAGCGCACGCCGAAGCGGCGGGCGGCGGACATGGCGCGGCTCGAGAAGACGCTGCCGACGTTGAACACGGTCGTGCCCGCTGCCGCGTCGGGAAAGATCAAGGGCGGACGTGGAAAGATCGGAAAGGTCTTCGTCGACGATCATGATGCTGATAAGCTGCACCGCTTCGTCGAGCAGGCCGCCGGGAAACATGATGTCGGCGTCGAGAGTAAATTGGAGAGAGCGGTATGTTCCCTGACGGGAGGGAGGAACGAGGAACATGCGCTGACAATGCGATTAGAGGAAAGTCGAGGCCATAAGGGAGGCCCGGAGACGCGAGGACGAGAAGCGTGACGAGCAGCGACGTGAGAAGTTCGACGAGACGAAAGACAAAGTCCGGCGGAAACGGAAGTCGGGTAAACCGGAGCCGTCGGCGTTCGGCGAGGAGCCGCTCGGAAAGGGTGGCAAGCCCAAGAAGAAGGTGGGCTTTGCGTGAGCGTGGGCGTGAGCGGTGGGCCGTACTGTGTATACCAGGTCATGTCGAAAAGTTGTGCTTTTGTTTTTCTTCGTCTACAGGTTTACATGCGATATTCATTTTGGCGTTGGGTAATGGTAGTTCTATCTATAGTATTGTACAAAACAAAAGGAACAGATCTACGTTGACGACTGACTATTCTCTGGTATCTCCCCGTGGCTAATCTGAGAGGATGAAAATGCAGAAAAACTCCTAGTGATGCCTCTATTTCCCCTTCCCTTCCTTTTCTCCCTCCTCCTCCTCCACCCGCTTACTCCATCTTCTTTAACTGGGCTATATCGAGGAGCCCGTCCTGCGGGACACCGCCGATGACGACGGGAGTGTCCGGAGTATCGTCTGCGGATGGAGGAACAACCTCGATCACATCCTTGGCGAACGCATTCAAGAAGTTGGAGATCTAGATATATATCGTAAGCAACCACCACAGGAAGAAAAGAAGAAAAAAAAGATCATCATACCGGCTTTGCGAACCACCTCCCACCGCCAGTCTCGAACCAGCTCAGATGCCCCCCACCCTCCGTGACAACCATGAACACGTACGGATTCGCCTTCGCCTCGTCGTACGGCACCGCCTCCTCGACGGCGATGGGATCATCCTTCGCATGGACGACGAGCATTGGCACTCTGACCTTGAGCAGCTTATCTGTCGAGCTCGCATCGCGGTAGTACGCGCCGACGGTCGGGTATCCGAAGACTTTTGCGGTGATCTCGCGGTCAAACTCGTGGAGGTAGACAGAGTTCCTTACGGCCTCGACATCGATGCGCTCGTCCAGCGATAGCTGGTCGATGTGCGACTCAAACAGCCGGCGCATATTCGCCGCCATGACCTTGGAGTACACCTCCTTGCCGACCCACGAGCGCATCAGCGCCTTGTGGCTAACATCCAGCTGCCAGGGGTTTGAGCAGACGACGGCCGCGACGAGCCCACAGCTCTCCCCCTCCTCGCCAAGATAGTTCGTGAGAATATTCGCGCCGAGCGAGAACCCGATCGCGTACAGCGGGCGGTTCGGAAACGTCTTGCGCAGGAACTTGACCACTTCCCGCAAATCCGCGGTCCACCGCGCATTGAATAGCTGCTTCGAGGAGATGCTGCTCATTGCGCACCCGCGCGCATTGATCACGCAGGCCTCCCACTCGTCGCCCCCGGGACCCGCGAGCAAGCCGTGCAGCATCGCGCGCAGGTAGACCTCGTGGCTGCCGCCGCTCAGCCCATGGAGCGCCACGAGCATTGGTCGTGTGTCCTCCGTGCCCTTATCGTGCGCCGCGCGGTCCTCGGGCGCCATGTGGCGCGTGCGCACGGGCAGGTCATCGGGTGACTCGGATTCCGGGAACGCGGGCACGACAAAGTCGACGGCGAAGTGCCCGCCGTCGACCGGGTGCACGAAGTGCCGCCGCGCGTAGTGGATCGTGAACGGGTCGCCGAACTTGGTCACTGTCCAGGCGGTTTGCAGGTGGCCGTTGAAGAGCAGTGGGTTGCCGTAGTAGGGCGGGATCAAGGGCGTCGCGAAGGAGGATAAGGGCACCACGCCGTTGCTATGCGTGCGTAGGCCGACGGTGTGTGTAGAGTGGTGCAGTTCTGGCACGGTCGAGTTGAAGAGACGCATCTTGAGGTGGTATGTAGATAGGTGTCCAGGTTCCGTTTTGCTAGAGATTGAGGGCACGTATACAGTATACTACTACTATACTTATCCCTGAGGGCACCGGAAGCATGGCATCCAGACCCTTTATTTTGCTCTGAGACTTGTGGCCACTACTACTGTAACTAGCAGCGCGTCCGCATAAATCTCCGAAGCTGGAAAACTCCGACCCGAGGTGTGGGACTGCGGACACGTGGATGGAGCACGCTGAGTCACTCGATGCGACCTTCCCTGACGGTGGATCACCTGTGCATGCTGAGCACAATGTGAATGAGTGGCGCTGCGATTCATTTCTATGTAAAAACAAAAAAAAAACAAAAAGACAAAACCTATTTTCCATTCCGATCGCATCATATCGGCAAAATAAAATGTCCCCAGAGCCGAGAGCCTAGACGCGCTCTAACTATCCCTGCAACTACTGCTTCGCCTTCCAAGCGTCATGGGCCTTCTTCTGCCTGTCCCAGAGCTTCTTGAGCGCCTTACTCCTGGACTTCGTGACCTCCTCGCCCTTCGCATCTTTCGTGGGCATTCCGTCCGCATCCCACTCGCTCCATTCCGGCGTTCTGAACATCGTCGTAGGATCGACTTTTGCGGCCTCATCCTTCTTTCTGTCCTCCTCCTCGCGCTTCCTCCTGGCCTCCTCCTTCTTGGCGTCCTTCTCGGCCAGTTTTCGCTCCTTTTCCTCCCTGGCGGCGCGCAGCTCCTCGGCGGGGACGAACTTCACTAGCGCGGGACGGCTGGCGTCACGGTCGTCGAGGGAGACGCCGAGGTCGGCGAGCTCGATATCGCGGAGCCGGTCGCACAGCGAGAGGATCTCCCTGGAACTGGCGGAGGCGGGGTCGGCGATCGCGATGGTGCGGATGCTGTCGCGGAAGGACGAGAGCAGCCGGATGTACGGCATAGCGGCCTCCTCGGCGTTGGCGGCGGCGGTGGCTTCGGTGGTCCAGCCGACGGTGGAGGTGGGAGTCGAGTCGAGGCCGAAGATGGTGGTGACACGGGTGATCCAGCGCGCGACTTCCTTGACGATCGCCAGCGACGCCGTCGATTTCATGTAAATGTTCGTGGCGCTGATCAGCTCGAGGAGGACGCCCATGGCCTCGGCGGTGTTGAAGCTGTCGCAGAGCGCGAGGTCGAGCTTCCGGCGCGCGTCGTCGAGAGACTTGGCGAGCGAGTGTTCGAGCGCGCCGTAGGGCTGCGGAGCAGGCTTGCCAGCCACCTCCGCGAGCTCCTCTTCCGTCATGAGCGCTTTGACGTTGGTGAAGAATTTGTTAACCACCGTTTCCCAGCTCTTGGCTTCGGCGAGGACGCCCTCGCGCACCTCGATTCCCTCCTTCCATCCGCCGAGGAGGAATACGATACGGAGACCGCGGGCGGTCCACCCCCCGCGCTGCAGCGCATCGCGGACGGAAACAAAGTTCTTGAGCGACTTGGACATCTTGCTGCCGTGGATCTGTAGGTGGCCCATGTGTAGGAAGTAGTTGATCCACTGGTGCTTCCCGTCGGCGGTGGCGCACTTGCCGTCGGCACAGTCCCAGTAGGCTTCGCTCTGTGCGATCTCGTTGTCGTGGTGGGGGAAGGCGAGGTCCACGCCGCCGGAGTGAATGTCGATCTGCTCGCCGAGAACGGCGGAGCACATCACCGAGCACTCGATGTGCCAACCGGGCCTGCCCTTGCCCCACGGGCTCTCCCACGATGGCTCGCCGGCCTTCGATGCCTTCCAGAGGGCGAAGTCGTGCTTGGACTTTTTCGTCTCGGGAAGAGAAGTGTTGACGGTGTTGGGGAGGGTGGAGGCCTTGGATGAGGCGAGGGCTCCTTCTCCATCCGCGATCAAACTCTCGTCGCCACGATTCCAAGGTTGCAGCTTAGCATAGCTGTGACCGGCACCCTCATACGCAGCGATGTCGAAGTAAACTGATCCGTCAGCGGTCGGGTACGCGAATCCCTTCTCGACGAGCTTGCGAACGAACTCGACGTTCTCGGGGATGAACTCCGAGACGCGGGTCACCACGGTAGGAGGAAGGACATTGAGGGTTGCCATGTCCTCGTTGAAGTGGCGTTCCCAGTAGCTCGAGAGCTTCGCGAAGACGGCGGGCTCGAAGTCGCGGTTCTTGTGCAGTGAGTCGAGGTATGGCAGGAGCACCGACGTGGTGGCAGCGTAGAACTCGTCGGCCGTCGAAGGGGTACAAAGGATCGCGCGCGACGCAGTGAGCAGCGTGTTGAGGTGCATCTTGTACTTTGTCTGCTTCTCGTCCAGAATGACCTCCTCCTCCACTCCGGACTTGCTAGCCTCCTTCGCGATGAGCTCCATCAGGATTCCGTGCTTGCTCTCTGACCATGCGTCAAACTGCTCCGGAGTCGTTCCCAAGTCCTCCGGGTCCAGAGCAGCGTTCTTGTCGAAGTAGGCGTGCCACGCCTTTCCCGCCGTTTCCAGGACCTCCGCTGTGACGCTGGGGTTCAGTCCCGCGAACTCGTCCAGAAGGTGTTTCTGGCGGGCGCGCAAGATGATCTACGCCGCATCAGCCAGTCCTCTCTCGGTGCTTGCAATCTCTGCCTCGCACCTTGTCATCGACATCGGTCACGTTCTGCACGAACGTCACATCGAAGCCAAAGTAGTCCCGCATGATCCTGCGCAGCACATCGGTGGTGACATAGTTCCGCGCATGGCCGAGATGTGCCGCATCGTAAACTGTCGGCCCGCAACAGTACCACGTCACCTTCTTCCCGCTCTTGTCGATCGGCATGAATGCGTCCTTCTTGCGCGTGAGCGTGTTGTAGATGGAGAGAGGGGGCAGCGGCGCGGACGATTCGGGGGCGGACCAGGGCGGCTGTTCGCGGCGGAGGGGGGTTGCGGACGCCATTGCGGAGTATGTTCTATGAGAAATCGGCACGCTCGCAGCAGCGAAGGATTTGAGACGAGGCAGCAGCAGCACAGGCCGGCGGACGATGGAGGTGGTGGTCGTTGAGGTTACTGCCTGAAACAAGATGCGGGGGAGGGGCATCTCTCAGTTACAATTTAGTTACTCAGGGTTCCCCTTCGCACCTGACTGCGGTAGTTAACTAAATGCGCGCCACAAGTGCGTAGAGGGGTCTCTGCGGCTCTGCGGCTGTGCTAACTGGCCGTAGGCACATTCTACATATGACAAGACGGCCTCTCACATCGCTGCGATGAGTCTGTTCGAGTGGCACAGGGGCGATTAACCTTCTCATCCGATGAAGCCTTGTAATCTCTGCCGGACTGTTTTCTTCGTGACTAGGGCCCTCAATCATCGACGGTACGGTAGTTCCATAAATACGGCATTCTGGGGCGTCGGACCGTCGGTTAGTTCACAGAATTCCCGCCACTTCCGTGATCCCAGCCAATTCCTCGGCCCCGCAGCCTCGAGAGCAACTACCGTAGTTACCGATAGACCACCCACACTGAACCTGAACCGCCCCCCAGCCCAGCCGAAACACCCAAACCGATGCACACGGACACGGCACACCCACGATGTCGCGCCACCTCCTCCTCCGCCCACTCCTGCGGTCCTACAGCAGCAGCACGCGCAAACCTCCCACTCCCTTGCCCACCACCAGCACGCAAGCCTACCCACTGACGGGATTCTACGCGGACCTACTTCTGTACCCGCTCACGCCCGCGAACGCACTCCCGCCGGGCGCACGGGTGATAACCCCCGCCTCCGCCGCGGACCCGGCGGTCCCCGCGACGGAGCCGTTCTCGCCGCACGAGCCGAGTACGCCCCCGGAGCAGCAGGAGCGCGAGGCGCGTGCACGGGTGGTGTTCGGGTCGCGACTGGCAGGGCCGGGCGACGACGAGGCGCGGCTGAAGGATAAGCAGACGCGCGGGCAGATGATCGCTGGTGTATGGGTTCCGCCGAAGCCGGTCGAGCCAGATAATTGCTGCATGAGCGGGTGCGTCAACTGCGTGCTTAGTGCGTTCGTTGAGGACTTGGATGAGTGGAGGCGCGCGAAGAGGCGCGCGGAGGAGCGGCTCAAGCTGACTGAGAGGGGTGGGGAGGATGCGGCGGATGCGGGCGAGGTGGAGGGGCTGTGGGACGGGTTTGAGGACATTCCTGTGGGACTCAGGGTTTTTATGGAAACGGAGAAGAGGCTCAAAGGCAAGGCGTAGTTATTGTGGGTGGGTGGGCACGTCGGCCCCTTGATTTTGGACAAGAACTCGGCGATACCGTCTAGGAAAGATTAAACCATGATACCACCATATCGCACTCTGCAACCCTCTCGCTCCCCTCCTCCACCTCCTCCTCCATTACAATACACGCCATCACCCGCTCTCCCTTGATCGTACTCCCCAACAGTAGTCTAATCCACCGTCACGCCCCTCGCCCGGAGGTCCCGCTTAGCCAGATCGATCTCCTATACAGCCACGAACGCGTCAGTCTATGCTTCACCCTCTGCACCCTCTCCACGCCAGATGAACGAACCGAGACGAGCTCATCGTACGCGCTCTCGGTGTCCTTGAACGTGAGCACGCCCATTCCGAGCGAGAACAGGAGGTAGGCGCCGAAGCTGACGATGACCCAGAACGGAAGGACGGGGATGATTTCGGTTTGGATCTTGGCCGGGAACGGGATCAGCTCCAGGAAGGCGGCGAGGTACACCTGCAGGACGTGTTAGCTGTATGTGCGTGAATGTGAGCGATTGGTGTGTGGATGGGGTAGCGTTACCGAGGAGAGGATGAAGAGGAGCGAGATGTGCTGTGTTGCGCGTGTCATGATGAAGGAGCGGTGTCTGGGTGTTGGGTGTGGGTATCAGAAGATTCGCGGTGGTGGTGATGGTATGGAATGAGCGTGGTGGTGGTTGTTGTAGGTAGATGGAGGAAGTGGGAATAGAGGACAGTTGTTGGCGAGAATCGCTGTGAGGCTTAAAGGAGAGATGCTGTGGAACGCGAAGCTACCTAATTAGGTCCTAGTAAGTTCCCTGCTTCCAGCTCCCTGTAACTACGCCCGCTCAGCAAGGGAGGTGTCTCCAATCCCCCATTCGCCCCACCACCCCCACCATCACCCCATCACCACCATACAATCACTTCAATCTACCGCCGTATCTATCAACAATGGCTACGGACACGCTCATAATTCTCGACAACATCCTGCAGGCCGAGGACAAGTCTAGCAATGCTCTCGAACAGTTCCTCGAGACTCTTACCACCCTGCCCGAAGAGACCTTGAGCTCCGTCTCGACAAAGCTCTGGATGGCCAGCCGCGATGGTATTGTATTTAAATCGCTTCACGAAAGACCCTCCAGCTGACAGCAGCACTTAGAGAGATGGCGGATACCAATCGGCGAGTCAGGAGTGCTTGCCTTCTTCCAGGGATTGATCCCCACTGCAAAGGAGCCAGGTCTCAGGCTGAACGCGCTTAAGATTGTGGGCAATGCGTGTGCGGAGAAAGGTGATTCGCGCTCGGTTATACGAAAGGACAATGGCTGACAGGAGCTTAGATGCAAACAGAAAGCGCGTTCTTGAGGAACCACTCGGCATAGAACCCTTCGTCACCGCACTCGTCGACCCGGAGAGACAACTTATTGCGTCGGTGGTGCTGTTGAACATCTGTACCGATTACGGTTTACCTTCCCCGTCGCATAGCTACTACCACCAACCACAGCTGACTCGTCTAGAGAGCCCTCACAACTAGCCGCCATCGAAAAACAGGCTTGTCAGACACTGTTTTCCATCATCGGCGATGCCGACTTCAATGGCGAACTTGACTACTTCCTTCGCGTCCTCGAGGTGCTATTGACTCACGACGCCGGAAAAGCGGCAACCCCAGAATCCGGCCTCGAGACGTTGCTCCGACACCTCGAGTCTGGCGACGAGAGCTTCGACACTGCGCTATCGCTCATAGCGATCATCTCATCGCTTCTCACCACGCACCGCTTTCAGACGCTCGTGCTAAAGGGAGATGGACTGTTCGCGCGGGTTCTGGACACCATCGAGAAGACCTACGAACTACCGGTCGATCCCGAGAAAGAGGCGAAAGATAGGAGCTTAGCCGCTTACGCTCGTAATCAGCTCATCGAGGCAGTGGGAGACATCGCGACGGAGCCTGAGTTCCTGGATGGTCATCCGCTTGGCAGTGAGGTGATGAAGCGCGTCGAGGGATGGCTCGAGATCAAGCCAGGACGCGAAGAATTGGTGGTGGCGGCTTGCATGGTGTTTGGAAATGTGGGCAGGAGCGATGAGGTGTGCACCACGCTTGTGCAGACGGGGCTGCACCTTCCGTTGTTCAAGGTGGTTGAAGACACCGCGGCCAAGTTCGAAGAGTCGGTGAGGAGGCTCAGGGAGCCTAAAAAGGAGGAGCCCGAGATTGAAGCCGACACCGGGAAGCCAAGGCCGCCGACGGGTGCCATGTCGGTTGGTGTGATCCATGCCGCTGTCGGAGTGCTCAAGAACTTGGCGATTCCTGCGCAGAACAAGAAGCCGCTTGTCGACGGCGGCGCCTTCAGGACGATCAGATGCATGTTGACCATGGAAGGTGTGGGTGTTGGACAAGTCTGGTACTCTGCCGTGAGTCTAGGGAGATTGTCGATCGTCAATACTTGCAAGTCTTCACACACACCCTCTATGGCTACTCCCCAATTAACATCTCCCAGTTGAAAACACAGAGAAGTTGCTATCCAGCACGCCAGACGAGGAATCCCTCTTCGCCCTCTTCCTCAAGCGCTACAGCGAGGTCGAAGAGCTCCCCGTCAAAGTCGAGATCTCGCGCACGATTGCCGCCATGCTCCGCATAATCTATGCCGAAGAAGAGGGTAACCAGCTGCTCCTCGCCGCGCTCCTCTCGCACTCGGCAGTGGTCGAAGAGGCGATTTGGGACATGGTCCGGCAGGACAAATACCCCGTGGTGCGCAGCGAGGGCTGGTTCGCACTCGCACTGTTCGGCCGAGAACCGCAGGGTGCGAAACGGGTTTTCCCCCATCTGGAAGCCGAGAAGGAGCTGGTCAAGACCGTCCTCGAGGGCGACGAGAAGAAGGATAGCGACAATGTCGGCGTCATGGTCATTGAGATCAAGAAGAACTCTGGCGAGAAGAGTGACGCGCTCGACGAGTTAACCAAGGTGTTCTTCAGGCTGCAGGGTGTCGAGATGTGATTGTGCACGGGAGGGAGGGACGGAGGGATGGAGGGATGGAGAGATGGAGGGATGATCCGACAAGTGTTTACTCGGAATATTATGGGCGCAAAATCGAACGTACCGTAGTTAATGCGTTGGATATGGGTTCATAGATCTCTGGATAAATCACTGGGTGCATAGATCACGGGTTCATAAATCACCGCATGTGACAATTGGCTTTCTCTCTCTCCAACGGCGGTTCCTATCGTTTGAGCGGCGGTGCTATTCGTTGGTAGTGTCTGTTCTATTACTCTCCGACGACCACTTAAGCCCGTGACCGTGCTAATTACCCGAGTGATTTCCGACGTGACGCTGTCTTGGCGTGCATGCAGCTTTCAGCTAGGATTTGAGTTTTAAACATTTTTTGCCTTTTTGCAAGTTCGACGCAAAACCGAAGGTTAGCAGGTATTGTTACCAAAACCTCTCTCTCACAACCACAACTCCGCCACACACAAACCTCACGACTACGAAGCAACAAACATGTCGACTGCACCCCCGGGAAAATCAAAGCAGCCCTCCCGCAAGGGAAAAAAGGCCTGGCGCAAGAATGTTGACATCAGTGCGGTCGAGACGGGCCTCGAGCAGGTGCGCGAGGAGATTACTCAAGGGTATGTAGTATCCACTGCGATTCACCCCCACCACGACCCCGCCATGCTCCTGCCGGTAGTGTCAATGAAATGAAGCTGACACCGCTCGCACGCACTTACAGTGGAGTGATCAAGGAAAAGTCGGACGACCTTCTCTTCGCGATGGACTTTGGGGGGGACGATGCGATCGTGCGGCGCGAGGCGCGGACGTTGAAGCCACTCAAGAGCGACCAAATCCTTGCGGCGCGGTCGGCGATCCCGGCCGTGGACACGCGCAAGCGGATCGGTGCGGTCACCGACGGCGTGCTCGTCAAGAAGGCGAAGCGCAAGGACGGCGTGTCGTTTGCGCAGCTGCAGCGGCTGCGGCAGATCGCGTATGGAGGCGCGTCGCGCGCCGCCGGCCCAGAGCTCGTCGCTGAGAGGAAAGTCGTCCCGGACTATGATGCCTGGGGAACCGAGGCCGAAGAGAAGTTCAAGAAGAAGACCGAGATCGAGTTGGAGGGGCTCGACTTCGTCGAGAAGGTGCATAAGCCCAAGGCCCCTGCGACGCTGAAGCGGAAGCCGATTGCTCTTGCGGCGATTGGATCCGTGCCTGCGGTTAGGCTGCCAGAGGGCGGTGTCTCGTACAACCCCGACTTCGAGATGTGGGATAAGCTGCTGCGCGAGGAGGGAGAGAAGGAGGTGGAGCTGGAGAAGAAGCGGATTGCGGAGGAGGCCGAGGAGGCAAGAATGCAGGCGATAATCGATGCTCCGGATGTCGAGATGTTGAGCGACCCCGAGGGCTGGCAGGATTCCGACGAATCGGAGGACGAGGAAGAAGGTGGGAGCAAGGACAGCGCAGAGAGGAGGGAGGCGAAACGCAAGACGCAGTCGCAAAAGAATAAGGCCATCAAACAGAAGGAGCAGGAAAAGCAGCGCGCCGAGGCCAAGAAGGTGAAACAGCAGGAGCGAGAATTGTTGTTGGTCAAGAAGTATGCCCGGGAGATCAGGTACCAAGAGAAGCTCCGGATGGCGAAGGCCATCGCCAAGATGTCTGTGGACGACGACGAGAAGAACCCTAAGATCATGCGAAAGAAGAGACTCGGAAAGGCTCAGTACGATATTCCATCCTCACAACCTGTCTTGCTGGTTCACTGCTAATGTCTGCTTGTACAGTTTGCCCCGTGCTCCTCTGGAGGTGCAATTGCCTGATGAGCTGGCGGACTCTCTGCGAACCCTCAAACCTGAAGGTAACCTGCTGGGTGATCGATTCCGCAGTTTGAGGGAACGCGGCATAGTTGAGGGAAGGACACCCATAATCTATGCCAAGAAGGCGAAGAGATCATCGACCGAGAAGTGGAGTTACAAGGACTTCAAATAGTTGGGGTGGATTCGTTAATCACGTTGAGATTTGGGGCGTTGAAAAGCTGTGTATATTTTTTGATATGGAGCCGGGGCAATTCCTGGGATACTGGTTGACTGAGGTGCAAAACATGTTGCCCTTGCACCCGCAAGGGGGATACGGCACATAAAAAAAAGGCTCACGACCGGCGGTCGGAGACAGTGGGGTGGAAACGGACATGTAAAATACACAGCCATGATCTACTAGAGTCGAATGCTATGATGATTGAACAAAAGAAAAGCAAAAGACACCCTCTGCCTCATCTCCGGCCTTCTAAAACCACGTACGAGCATTCGTCCTGACTGGAAACGCACATCCACTAGGTAGATTATGAAGAAGTGCTTCCGAACTCGGAATAAACATCGGCGTGAAGTCCGATGAACGTTGCTTTGCTCCCAGTACTGGTGACTTCAAAGATAACAAAAGCTCTCTGCTATGTGTAGAGTATGCACCTACATACTAACTGTGCTGTGGCCCGTGGGAGTCGCGGTCTGTGGATGCTGCGCGGACAATGGACACACTGCATCGGCTACATGGCGATCGATGGCGATCATTGACGAAGCAATGTCTCAATATCTAGTCCCCACATGTTGGTCATACATATGTAGTGCGGGGAAGCTGTATATGACCTTCATAGGCGTTGGACAGTGCTATTGTGTTGACGAAGGAAACCACCTCGAGGGACAGCTCTCAATACGATAGCCAGGTTTCCTAAGAGATCAATCAGCTCCATCACACATTTTTTTCCAGTTTATAGGAAATAAACAGCCAGCCGAGTGATATATAACCGCGCAGAAAATCCCCGCGGCGTGGGTACCGGTACGTCCCAGTACCTTCCTTCCCCTCAGGGATAACCCCCATGATGAGAACTACCGTGCTAATGGCCGGGAAGGTACGAACGGCAATCGCCACCATAGGTTAAGGTTTCTACCTTGTAGCTGCCGAAGGATCTTCGGTAGACTCACGTGATAGCACTCGGCTGGCTATTTGCTTTCTTCCAAAGCCGCCCCTCTCCCCCCCCCCTCTTAACGTACATATTACCATAATCTAACTAGGTCACATGGAATCAGAGATTAAAAAGAAAGAAACAAAGTGGCAGAACCGAATTTCAGCGCTGGAAGTGGGGGCCGCCCGTTTCGGCCTCTCCGCGAAATAAAACCGATTAATTACCACATTACCGAGGGACCGCCTAGGTAGTCGAAAACGACACAACAGCTAAACAACAAAAACAGCATTTCAATATTCCCTCGTACAAACGTATGCTCCTAGGAGCCGTAGCAAGGCCCTGATATTGAGGCCCGAGGGCGAGCTCAGGTAGCGAGTTCTTCTCGCAGCGGCTCATCAAAGCACAACACACTGTGCAGATACGCCTTGTAGCGCTCCTACCGCGATGCACCCATCATCAGCCGATCCGCTGCCGCACACACAGTGCACACGGCGAGGGTATCTCAGGTATCTCAGGCAACTCACCCCTATCTTCACCTTCAACTCCGCCAGCGACTTCCTCGTTTCCGTCTGCACAGCGCGCAACTCCTTCTCCAACCAAGTGGAGTCGACGTTGAGGTTCAAGCTCGACGTCGCGACCAGCGCCTCAAGCTTCGCGTTCAGCTGGTGCACCTTTTGCCACGTCTCCTGCAGCACGTCGAGCGTGTCCACGTCCACGTCGCCCATCATCGCCGCTCGGTGCCAGGCCGGTGGCACGTCGAAACTATCGTGAACTACTGACGGTTCTGCCGCGGAATTGGGCCGGTCGTGTGAGGCGGCGGGTGTGGCTGCGGGTGTGGGTGTGGGGCCCGCGCGGAGTCGCTTCGTCGGCCGAGTGCTGGACATTGCTAGTCGGTATGTATGGGTGGGACGGCTGTGTGAATGAGGTAGGTTGGCCGCGGGTGCGGTTCGTCGGGTGGTAGTGGTTAGGTGGCTACGCGGGGCTGTAAGCAGTATCCGATTAACTAGAGTATCATTGGGCCCGTCAGCATTCATGTCCAAGCAGGGCCAGTTGTGGGCAGTCATAAACAACAGGAGAATAAGACCAGACAGACCTAGACCCTTCGTATTGGACTATGGTTCGAAAATGGAATGCAGATTACCGTGCGGAGGGAGCTGTGGGGATGTGGAGTGGTGAAGAAGGGAGGAGTAGAACAAACACCTGTTTCTCTGCGATTGAACAGTCACCGGTGGCTGGTTTCTTATGCTGTTGCTGCCTGGCTACCAACTATCACATGAGGTAATTGACCTCAAATCACCTCCTTGTCCATACGGTAGTCGAAAGGATTTAGTGGACTGTGTAGTGCGAGTGATATCGGTACCATTCACCAGGAGTCGACAAGCAGTGTACCTAGTCTCATCCTTACGTCCATGCTTCTTTCCTAAACACTAAAACACAGCCACCTCCGAGAGGTCGTCGAACCTTCATTTAAAGTTCTCTTGAATCTCTCGTAAGGTAGGGGGCTGTGTATCTTCCATATTGAGCCGTGTACTAAAGTCGTTAGCCTTATGTAGGCCTTGAATAGGCCTATGAAATAAAACAGTCCTCGTATAATCCAGCTATAAGCACGTTGAACTCGTAAGGCCCTCCGTGAGGACTATGTCAAAATAAGGCTGATGTTCTCATTTCCCTAAAATTCTCATAACTCCTACATAATGCCTATGCAGCGAAAACCACCATTGCATAAATCGGCCTTCTCATTTTATAAGCCCCATGGCTTTTTTCAGGCCTATATCGTCATTGTTGAAGTGCACAGCCCTGCCGTACAATAGTGACTGTGAAACTGGAAAGGTTTGTGAAGCATCATAGGAACATATCAGTTGAGACAGAAAATCCTTAGAGCCCCGCACGCTCGATTTCTTCAAACCATTATACAAGCCTTCGATGAGCTTTATTCAACCCCATGGGTTCTATCACTCTTATGAGTTAGTAGTGCATATGCGAAAATCAGCCTGCTTGACACCGGCGACGGCGGGTGAGAGGAGAGAGCGGAGATGGGAGGTTGGCCGTCTAGGTATTCTGTAGATGATGATGAGAGAGAGAGAGGGGCATCTCGGAAAACATCAAACCCGCCAGATAATGTCCTACAGAGTTTTCTGAGGACAGATATGGTGAAGCTTATTTTGAAGTTTAAAACCCCCAAGCCCACGGCACCTCCTCGCCAACAGCCCCCCCTCCTCTTTCTAACAGCTCCTACTCTCGCCACAACTCCTCCTCTCGCCACAACTCCTCCTCTCGCCGCAACTCCTTGTCCTCTCACAGACAACTCATTCTTCACTCCACCACAGCCGTAGAACCAACTTGAACGACGATGCTGACTAGCTATAGGACAATGGGATTCAAGGCGACACGATAGAGTCCACTGCGGCGAGGCCAGCATAGCATTTGCGGCGATGAGCAGTGGTACGGTGCTACTAACTTTTCACAGCGCAGCCAGGGCTATATCCGCGGTGGAGCCAGCAAGTTATCCATGACGAGGAGCAGTACGGGAACACAGTACTATGGTGAGCAGGAGATGGAATGGGAATGGTGGCGGGGGGACTGGGAAGCGGGGAAGAAGAGTAGTTTAGGTGTATAAGGTAAGAAACAAGTGATAATCATCTTGAAATGAAGAGCATCGATAAGTCATAAGCATTGCAAGAGATGAGGCTTGTCGCAGAAGAAGTCATTAGGGAATACTTATGAGCGTATAAGCCATACTAATCCTTATTTTTCAAGATTCCCTACAGAGCCCATATAGAACTCTTATGAACTTCCAAGGCGGGCGGGCCCGTAGTGGTTGTAGAAGGCTTACGAGCCGGGACTGATTTTCACTGCACTCAGGATTGAGGAAGCCATATTCAACAATCAGAGCTGGAATTTGAAAACCCTGACTAAGCCTTATTTTACGACAAGAGTTTTGGGGAAAAAATACTAATATTACTATTTTTTCCCCAAAACTCTAGTGCCAAAATCGCCCTCAGATGTGGCTGCCATAATGCTTTTAACTTTAGTACACGGCTCAATATGGTAGGTATTTGCCTCATCCCCCACCTAAGTACCAAGGCATTCTAGGTTACGTATGTAATCTAATTCAATCACTCCACACAGAAGCCGAACATGCTAAACTTGGTCGTTAGTTCTGCTGAGCAGATTAAGACAGCAAACGGGCAGGTTATTGCAAAGTAAACGTAGCTTGCGGCAATTATTGCCTAGACCACCAAGCCTTATATCAGTGAACCATGCATCATACATTCTCGTTCGCAACCACGAGTGATATCCGAAAGACCCGCGATAACAGCACTCGCTCGCACGCACGAGTGAGACTGTGTGTTCCCGCTCTCTGAGGAACACCAACTCGGTGAATCAAGCAGCGAGACGAAGACCAGTACTGGTGTTGGTGCAACACTTCCAAGCAGACAGGGGAATACCTGTTCAAGAACTGCACAAGTTGGCGAGCCTAATTATAACAGAGAGGGCTGTGGGAGAAGATCAGAAAGGAGGCCGGAAAGGACAAGAGGAAATGGAGTATGGCAAGCCTGTTGCAGATGAGCGCTACTCGGAAGCACTGCTAGAATACTTAAGGACGACGGATGGACGTGGCGAAGAAAATCCCAACGATAGCAGAGGAGGCCGAGGCGGGGAGCGACGCATCTAGAGCCGATCAGGAGTGCCCGGCAGGGTACTGTGTTTGTGGATTGTGCGGATGATGAGTGTAGTTGTGTTTTGTCTTGTAGGCCGCGGTGCAGGGGCTATGACGACGAGTTGAAGAGAAATCACCAGCGGCGATCATGGCTCACTTGGAGCGAATTTCCTACCTGGTGGAAGGTACCCGGAATAAAATGGTTGGCTGTTGGGGTTGGGGTTGGTAGCTGTGTTTTCCGCTTGCTTCGGAGTCGGGTTCATGAATTAGAAATCAAGGGAAATCACAAGCGGTGATCATAGCTCAATTGGAGTGAATTTCCGAAGTGGTGACCCTAGGGTACAAGGAATGCGGCAATCCGCATTTAAGTAAACGCAAGTCTGCATGTAAACTGGTTATTAGCACAAAGTGCGGCTCATTTGCACTGGCAAATCAGGCTTCTGCTGATAAACCGGCAATTTTTATTTGGGCGAAGCCGAGTCAATAGGCGGTTGGTAGTAATTGCGGCCAGCTCACGATGGTCAAATTGGGCGAAGTCGAGTCAATAGGCGGTTGGTAGTAATTGCGGCTAGCTCACGATGGCCAAATTGGGCTCTTATACTTAATATGGCTCTCAGTACTCAATGTGTCGATTGGGCAGAAGCCTGATTTGGTGTTGAGGCGTAAACTGGCGATTAGCAGTAAATGCAATGTCTCTCCACCACTCTCCTCGGGCATCCGTTGGTAAAAAGATACCTTACCGCTCATTAGGCTTCCGGCTCGAGCGACGAACAGGCGACCAAGGATAAATGGACCATTTTCTTCTTATTCGGCCGGCCCCACCATTGCCTCCCCGCCATGCCCACCAATGTTGATGTCCACTACTAACCACATTCGCTTCCTCCCGCCGACAGGTCCTCCATCACGACGTCATCCTCTCACCGGCACCCACGGCTACTCCGTCACTTCCTCCTCCATCGCTTCCTCCTCCATCGCTTCCTCCTCCATCACTTCCTCCTCCATCGCTTCCTCCTCCATCACTTCCTCCACCATCGCTTCCTCATCTCGCCACAGCTCTTCCTCTTCTCCTCTCCTCTTCTCATCTCGCCAATAGCTCTTCCTCTCCTCCTATCCTCTTCTCGTCTAGCCAACAGCTCCTCCATCACTTCTTCATCTCGCCACAGCTCTTCTTCTCCTCTTCTCCTCCTCCCATCTCGCTAACAGCTCCGCCATCTCTTCCTCATCTCGCCAACAGCTCCTTCTCCCGCTTCCTCCTTTCGTCGATAGCTCGTCCATCACCGTCGTTCACTATTTTTTACAGCAGGTACGCATCATGTTCCCATGCTATCTTACAGAGCTGCTTCATTGCGGATACCCTACTGTCATCGCCGCTAATGCACACTGTCCTCGCCCTCCTTCGCTGTCTAACAGCACCTGGCCGTCTTGTAGCCGGTACGTCTCCCTTCCTATCCTGTCCAACACTATCAGGCCTGTGTAGCCGCGGATGTCCCACTGTCATCGCCGGTACTGACAGACTGTGTATTCAGCACGCCGGTCAGTTGAATGTGTGCTAAGATGACGGGGTGGAAGCCGGCGAGCGGGGGAAAGCGGGGGGGAGTGGAGGAGAGGATATATGGGGCGAGCAGCAATAGCTAGAACCACAGCAATCTCAAACAGCAGTTCCCGCTCGTATAATCGTTTAGGCCAGCCATATGAGCTCCTAAAGGCCTAATATTCTCAGCGCCAGTTAATCAACTGTGCCCTATTATGGCCGGAGTAGAGCCCTATTGAAGCCGGAGTAGAGCCGGAATATGGCCGGAGTATGGCCGGAATGGCCGGAATATGGCCGGATTAGAGCCCTTTATGGCCGGATTAGAGCCGGTTGATAATCACCTTGTTTTGCCTATTTATCAACAGCCAATTTAGGGCGCGCTGATTCAGTGTAAATGCGAAAAGCCGCATGACCTGTACCCCAGGGTGAAGGTACCGGCGCCCGGTACTCAAGATCCACACCGTTACAAGGGTAGCAACCTTGGGGAGGACGCTCTTTTGCTGCGGTTCAAGTCCAGATTTTGACGTTTTCTTTTTGCTCGTCGCGCGTTGGTGGTTGGTTGGGTGGCAGAGTGATGGTTATGTTTGCGCGAGTTGCAAACCTCCTCACTCCATCTCACTCGTTGCTTACACGATGAACGTCATTGGTAAGCACATGGCGCATGACAGCGGCCAAAGTGGGCAGGAAAGGAGTGCGACGGTTCGCCATAGTCTAGATAGGCTGCATGCGAAATAAACTGAAGATCTCTCTCTCTCTCTCTATGGCGCAAAACATATCATTTGACCTCAACTGATGCTTGGCATATGGGGACCTAACAGATGGGTATCCTATGATGTCTTTGGTACAGTCTATACGTGCGTCGCAGGCGGCCCTTACGGTTACCAGTCCAGCAATAGTGAAGGCGAGAAGGAACTGCTGGGGATAATCCTGCTAAAATAACAACCACGAGAGACCGTCAGAAATGACGGCCGGGGTTGTACACGACCGGGCGCCAGGCGGAAGGACTACCTATTGACAAGCCTGCCACTCTATTGCTTAGTGGGCAGGGTATTCGCATTTTCCTGCTCACTTTACCTGCATTAGACAATACATCTTGTTTCGGCGGGTGCGAGTGATGATCATGTGATGCGTGCGATTCTGTCTAAGAATAGGTGCCCTGCAGCTCGAGACTCGAGTCTCGACAGCTCTCTTTTTAAGGCTGGAAAGTCCCAAAGCTTACAAGTGGCCAAGCCAAGCAAGCCTGTACAGAGCTAAATGGCTGGCACCTGCTTCGCACGTGACAAACAAACAACGACAAGTTCTCTACCATGAATTATACCGCCCCACATTCTCCCGTTGTCCTTATTTCTTCAGCTGTCCCTTTGACTTCGCTCCTTCGCCCGCCGGACCGGCTTGTCCCATCGATCCTTCCGTGATATTCGCACCACTTCCTCTCGGCTCAACCATACGATCATCGTTCATACTCCTCATCCCTATTGCAATCATCAGCTCCATATCCGGTCAAGTGAATAGTTACACCCCGCTCTCATGGCTCACTCACTCTTGTCGACGTCAGTGTTCTACATAGACCAGACCGGTAGGCCGACCGGACTAGTCGGGATATAACCCAACCCGACCAGACCTGATTTTTTTCTAGTCGGGATATATCGCGACCGACCAGACCAGAGTTTTTTTTAGACGGGATATATCCCGACCGACCAGACCATACCCAAATTTGGTCGGGACTGGCCTATGTAGAACACTGGTCGACGTGCATATCCCCAACATCGTCGTCTTCCAACAATGCATCCAGGATCCTATTGCCCTCCTCAATCATACGCAATCCAAAGGAAGACTGGAAAATGTAGCAGCTACCCCAGCCATCCTTCACCATTTTGTTACGAGTATTAGGCATGGCAACGATAGCGATGTTCGAATTCATATCCCCACTCCTGTCATCTTCCATCAATTCGTTCATACTCCTCATCTCTATTGCAATCATCCAGTTGCATATCCGGTCAAGTGAACAATTGCACCCCGTCCCCATGGCTCACTCACTCTTGTCTTCGTGCATATCCCCACTGCTGTCGTCTTCCATCATTGCATCCAGGATCCTATTGCCCTCCTCAATATCCGAGGGCGTCATACGCAATCCATAGGAAGCCTGGAAAATGAGGCGGCTACCCCAGCAGTCCTTCACCATTTTGGATCGACTAATAGACATAGAGGCGATAGGTAATGATTTTCGAATTCTTATCCCCGCTGTTAGAATCCAAAACAAGTGGCGATCACCTTCTGGAATAAAAACGTACCTCTGTTGATGTTGTAATGAGTTCCTTTCGTCTTGTTGCACTGCGGGTAACCATTTGTGTGTGTATGTTCGATCGAATAGTCTTTGACTCTTACTACCTCGTGAGCTGGTGGGGGGAGGGGGGGGGGGGGGGGGGGGGGGGGGGGGGGCGCCCACCCTTATGTACTGTTGGCTACACTCACTAAAGTTTGCTGCAACCAATTTCGGACCTGTGCTGCGCTGCTTGTTTACACTGGCTTCCTCTGTCGTCGGGGTGTAAACAAACCGCACTCGGCTCGTTTCTCTCGTTCCACCGCGCCCGGCTTGCAACGATCCGGCGTATCAGAGAACGTCGAGAGTGATCGAGCACGCAACAAACCTCGAGCAGCAGCGGTGATCGCAGCGCAGGGGGTAAGGCCGTCGCCATCGGCGAAGTTCCGTCCCTACATACGATGTCCACAGCAGCCACTCCGCTCCACTCCAAGACAGCTGGTCTTGCCAGGTCAGTACAAAGTCCCGCTCCTCCATCAGTGGGTCCCACTCAAAGTCCGACAAAGTCCCACTCAGACCCGGTAGGGTCCCGCTCCTTGGATCATTGGTCTCACTCAGGTATGGCCACGTCCCGCCCGCTGCGGTCGTTGAACGTTGGATTGCTTCTGTTGTCGCTGTTTCTGTTCTTCCTGACACCTGGAGGCTGTTCGTCGTTCGGTCTCTTACATACATATCAGACACTCATCTTGTACATCACCATGACATCACCATCATAGACCTCTTTTCCAAATTCCATTGATCACGGTTCTGCCTCTCACCCGTTTTTGGGTCTCTCACTGTCGACCCTCGGCGGCATACCCATTATTTTCAGCAGCCACCATAGCCCATCCCGACACCTCCGAAGTCGTCTGGTACCTATTCCCTGCACCTGAACGCTATGATATATACTGCACATCCCGCCATATATATATTACTGTGCGCGTTCAACGTAGGTTTTTTGTGTGCCGTTTCTGTTGATTGAGGCGGATGGAATCTGGTCAGGTGATACTCTCGAAACCGAGGATTGGCGTCAGTTAGGCGGTCCCTGCTGTAGCTACTAGCGCCGGCTTTCATGCTATGGTGCCTATGTATTTTCATCTTCGTGCTGTAAAGAGCCTCGAGCTAATCGGTTCAGTCGGTGCGATCGATAATTGTCGTACCATTTGCTGTTGTGCAGCTCCCTTGCCACATCACAATCCACCGCTTCATGTCTTAGCACTCGTGATCGGGTGTGATGAGCTTGTTGGAATGTGATGAATAAGTATTGTATTGAGAGATTCTAAAAGCCTCGAGGGAAGACAGAAAAGAGGGGTGATAGGCGGTCAGTACTTCCCCCGTCATGACCGTGTAAGTGACTAAGCAACGAAACATTCATTGATGTCGGTAGAGAAGATTATTGTAGGCCGAACCGCGATGTCGAGAGTCGAGACACATGCCTATCTCTGCCGGATGAACCAATCACACTCCAGCCTGCGAAACCCAAATCGCAGCTGTTTTTGTCAATGTATGACACAGTCCAATCGGAAAAACATCGAGCGCTAAGGGCAAGAGTCAGGACTGACGATGTCGAATTTCGAAAACTGCTGCTGGTGGCCGTGGTTCAGGTGGGTCGATTCCTTCACCAGCCAACGCACTGTGGAGCATCCTACCGCCAGATGGACAGTAGCCGCTGTAATATTAGTGTGCCATCGTCGTCTATGTCATTTGGTAGTTCCGGAAGGCGTTCAACCACATCGATTGTCACGTTACTCGTGATGTACCAGCCGACGGGCGTGGTGAGAGTGAATCAAGCCTACGCAAACGACGCTCAACTACCAAGTGCCATTGACGTTCAGAACTCGGTGAGGCTCTGCTGCTCTCATAAAACCGTCGACGATAACCATCCTTCCTTCTTTCCCACTCCATACCTCCTGCTTCTATCACCATCCAGATAGCAACAATCCCCTGAACTTCTTTCTTCCTCCACAGCAACCCTTTTTTCCCACAACTTTCACCATGAGAATCAGTTGCTATTACGCACTGATCGGAGTTGCGCACTTGGCAACAGACGAGAATATCCTGGCAGCCATCGAGCTGGCCATGGACGAGGTAAGGAACGGTGCGATGAGATTCAAGGATGTAAGTTCCCGCAATTCATTGATGATATCCATCACGACGAACACCGAGACTGACAGGTATAAATAGCTCCGCAGGGCCTTGCACGTGTTGACGGACGAGCGGCGTCGGGATGCCCACGACGAACGGCACGCTCACGGATGTAAGTTTCTTTCCCCTGCTCGGTTCATACATTCCTCGCTCACTGTGGCGACAGGCACACTGTGCGGATATGAGCCTACCGATTCGGAGATCAGGAAGTACCTCGGGCCTCCCGCCGTCGCGCCCCGAGCATCGTGGGCCCAACTGTCGTGCGAGTCCCCGCTCGACGGCCGATGCTCCTCCGCACCCAGCCTCTCCGAGCAGCCCGTAGACCTCATCCTGCCGGTTGACGTCTACGAGTCGTGCCCGCTTCGTTCTCTGCTTGCCGGGCGAAAGAGGAAAGCTGGCACCTTTCCTCTGCCGCTCGAGCAAGCAGTAGATATGAGGCGGTACGCGGCGGTACGCGGCGGCGAAGAGGTTGGTGATTCTGGCGGAGGGCGGAACCACGATAGATGCGATCTGCGGACGCATGGGGTGGACTGTCAGCACGTGATGGGATGGGGCCGGGCCTCGGGCTGAGTCAGGTGCAGAGGTGAGTGATCCTCCTGATATTCTATGCCCACAGGTTACGTGGTGAGGTTTTTTACCCAAGGGTTTTCCTCTAAAAAAACATCGTCTTCCTGGCCACTGTGCGAGGGGACGAGGTTTTCTGCTTTGTTCAGGCTGCGCTGATGTTTTGCTGCTCTGTAACTTCAAACCCAGCTTTTGAAGTTTACTTTTTGCTTGTGGGGCGTTGGTGATTATATACATACATCTTACTTCTTGTCGTCTATTATAGGCTCTGCGCATAGTCACAGAGTATAGCCTATCCCTTGATAATATCTAGATTGTAGACGTCTACCCCTTCAGATGCTATGGCCGTGCTCCTGCGCCTCTCTTCTCTGCCTAGCTTCACATCAGATGTCCCCTATCAGCTTGCAGCACACTGGTCTCATCGGTACCGCCGTGTGGCGCGGTGGCAGCCATTGTTGTAATGACGAAGGCAATCAAACGAACGAAATGTGAATGATGAGAAAGATGATGTATTCGCTAGCTACTGACGGAGACTATATACTCTGCTAGCGCGATACAGCTATCCGTGTGCAACACGAGCGACAGGCTGTGCCTGCGAGCGAGTGAGAGCAGATGCAACGGTCAAAGTGACAGCTCAGGTACTCCGTGGTACCCAAAGGGTGAGAGCCATCGTCGAGCGGCATTGCCTTGGGGGAACTTAAGAAATATCCCTCCGATGTCAAGCACATTTACGATGTCGAGCACGTTTACATCGCGAACTTTAATCTTTCTGTGGCGAACGATGGCGCAGACGACTCGACGTCGTAATACAGTCACGGTTCTGCAGGATCTGACACAACTTAGAGCTTGAGCTTATCATTTGCAAATTGCAATAGGTAAGGCGACGGCAGCGGAATCGAACCTTAACCGGCCACATGCAACGCCACCGTCGTGAAGGATAATCAGTGGGCGTATTTTCACCAGGAGGCCAGGACCTCACGTCTTGCCATGATCTATGACGATTCGTACAGTGGCCTGCGGAGTCCGGACGTGTTTCGCATCGCGATGACCATTCGCGTTTCTGCGTAGTAGCGTTGGGTTCGCGGTATAGATGGCAGAGGACCGCCTCGTGGATCTAGATATCCGCTGCTCAGTGCCCATTAAGATTCCCATATGCTTATAATCAGTGAATCTCGTAATCAGTGAATCTCGTACGGGCGGATCGTATTTTTAGGTTTTCCGAGGATGATCATCCGTAGACTCTATTTGGACTGCAACAGTGTCAAAAAGCTTGTTCGTGCCTGTGTCGTAACGTAAGTTTCAGTGGAGAGCGGTGGTATAATACACTAAATCCTACGCGGGATCTGGAAGATCCTATAGGTAGCTTGAGCGTATCGTTTGGAAGACGTAAGGCGAAAAAAGGAGACATCGATCGAACCAAGCCAACTGTGCGTTTCTAACCAGCAGCTCAAGTCTTGAAATTCTCCCAAATAATTCTTCCAATAGCGAAAGAACTTTGCTTGCATCGCCAGAATGATTCGCATTTCTAGTTAGTACCGTTGGGGTTCGCAGTATAGTTGGCGCAAAGCGGCTTCATGGATCGTGATTCGTGACATCTGCTGCCCATTAAAATTTCCATAGAGTTACGTCCTGGCGTATCTTATTTTTAGACTTTCCGGCGATAATCATTCGTAGACTCTATGTAGACTTCAACAGTGTCAAGAAAGATCTATTTAGACTTCAACGGTGCCAAACAGCCTGTTGGTATCTGTCCCGTAACTTGATTAGGACCGTAATCCGGGGGCACGAATGGATTATTTAAAAACCTTTTGCCGGATGATGAGTTTAAATAGAGTCTATGTAGACTCCATTGGGACCTCAACAGTGTCAAAAAGCTTGTTCGTACCTGTGCCGTAACATAATTATGACCGTAATACGGGGGCACGAATGGATCGTATAAAAACCCGGCCTTTTCCCCCGCTCTTCTCAGTTCCCCATTCCGACCGCATCTATCACCCACCTCACTCATCTTTTCCTCCCCAAACTGCTGACTTCAGACATCCCACGCTCACAAGGATGGACCCACAGAACTTGCATATGTCGGAGGGAACGCTCGCCGACATCGAGGCGCTCCGCCTACAGCTGACTAACGACCCGGCCATGCTGCTTAACAGTATCGAACGCCTTCCTAGGCTTGTATTTCGCTATATTCTTGTGTTGGAGAAGCGAGGTACGTGTTGTAGCCTTCCCAGTGGTTCTATTACGTCGAGCCCTTCGCTGACAGCAGGATACTAGTCAATGCGAGGAACGAAAGCGAACGGGAGTTCATCGACTACGTCTACGGTAACTGAAGCAGGCGATCACCGACATTCCCAAGGCCCGCGGTATGTGGCATAACCCACCTACTAGCCCCGGCTTCCCTCCAGAGATGCTGCTAATCACGTTCCCGAGGTCGACAGAAACCGGCGAGAATTTGTTGGACGTCTTCATCCATTACCTCTTGATTGTGCATTTTACGAACCGTATGTGCAACCTCTGTCTAACGCTTGTGGTCTTCATGTTTCTCCAGTGCTGACTACTATCCAGTGGTCTTGAGCTTGTTCGAAGACAGGATAAAGAAGCACGGTTCTGTGACGCGGTTCACGGATGACGGAGTGAGTTACGAGGCGGTGGAGTAGAGAACGGATGGATCATGTACCTATGCTGGAAGATTGGTTATTTATAAGTGGTTATGTACTTGAAGAATGTTACTGTATTAATCTCACTCTTTCTCTCCCGTTTTCTCCCGTTTTCTCTTGGTGGGCGCTGTGTTCTGGTCAGGGGCGACCTACTGTATGTTGCAAAGCCAGTGATGGGAGGGTATCCGAAATAAGATGGTTGGCTGTTGGGGTTGGGGTTGATAGCTGTATTTTTCGCTTGCTTCAGAGTTGGGTTCATGATTTAGATATCAAGGGAAAACACAAGCGGTGATCATGGCTCAATTGGAGTGAATTTCCCAAGTGGTGAGGGTACCGGCGCCCGGTACTCAAGGTCCGCACCGTTACAAGGGTAGCAACCTTGGGGAGGACGCTCTTTTGCTGCGGTTCAAACCCAGCTTTTGACGTTTTCTTTTTGCTCGTCGCGCGTTGGTGGTTGGGGGGCAGGCGTTGGTGGTTGGGGGGCAGAGTGATGGCTACATGATCGCACGTGAGTCAAACCACGAAATCTCAAACCACGAAATCTCAAACACGGGAAATATGGGACACCAGAGGAACTGGCCGACACGTATGTCATGATAAAACTTACCAATACCTCATGGTAGAAACAATTGCGGGGTTTTTAGAGGAGCGAGAATGTCCAATTTGCTCGTGGAAGAACTTTGCAGACTTCTTCACCCCATCTCACTCGCTGTTTACATGATCGACGTCTTTTACCATTATTCGCGGGCCCGCGGTGCAGCCCAAAAATCCTCCGCAACATCGAAGTGTACGGACAGACTGGTTCTGCCAGCGGAAGATACAAAAAAGCTATCTGAAGCGCGGGACAATACGTACATCCCCATAATCTCCACTGGTTCAATGTCAGTCTGACAAGGCTGGAGAAACAAACAACAAACGCACAAAGCTACACACCTGCGTATTTCGTAGTGAAGGAACATAACTTGAACACATCCATTCCGCTTGGCTGCCCCCGTGGCCTTCATCTTCACTCTTGCTGACGGCTTTAGGCTGCCGAGACTCGGCATGACTGCTTCCACGAGCGGTAGATTTCAGCGGATTTGCTGGCGCTTGAAAGGGATTCGGTCCTTCGTGTGGGGCCGCCACTCAATAATCCTTTCATAACTGCATCACGGAAGAGATTGAACAGGCACACGAGACGTCTATCGAGGTGTCAGAATATCGAATTTCCGGAGATGACGAGGTTCGCGCGGGGTATATATCCGAGCGCGGGAGACCTACATACCTTCTGAGACGATCAATATTCGGATACTCTGGTTCATGAAGCTTGTATATAGAGAGAGCTTGCTGCTCACCATATTGTTGCTATATCGAATTGATTACCTTCTTCTATCTACCTCATTATTGAACACGAGGAAATCCAGGAATTCGATACTCGGCCCGGTCACTCGTTCGTCCGGCGCGCAAAGGTCCGAAAGGGGACATCGGCGAGGATGGGGAGGCACACTGCCAGGCTCCACCTGAGTAGAGTATATGGGCTGTTGCACGGCGAGCGACCACTATCACCACCACCACCACCCACATCCTCTCCACCGCTCTCCAGTGTCCACGCAACGGGTATCCAATCCACCACATTCCGCCGCATGCCGAATCCTCCGACCTCAAAGCGACTATAAGCGTGCGATAGCACCGCCCTTTCCCCGCAGGCCATGATCCGTCGGCACCGGCGAGCCATCGCCACACCCCTAGCTCTCCAAATCTCGATCCCGAATCGACCAGGTATACGATCCTCTACGATCCATCTCCGCGGACTGGAGCGGACGGACGGGAGGCCAGCGAGCGAGCGGCCCCAATAGTGCTCGCGTCTGCGCAGATGTCGGGACGTTTGCTGGTATGTAGCCATCAAATGGGCGTCGGTACCAACTGCACCGGTGGCAGGTGCCGGGTGGCGGGTGGCGAGCGCCGAGCGGTGAGCGAGCCGCTACCAACAGCATCGCTGTCGAGGGTGACGTCGGGACCGAGGATGGCCCCGATCGTTTTTAGGCCGGCGCGCTAGGCCTGCGGTGACTCCGTGAGTGAGAATCACATCGGCAACCACTTCACGACCGGCAATCACCTCACAGCAGCTGCTTGACTCACTCACCTCACAGCAGCTGCTTGACTCACTCACCGTTCGGAGAATCGGAGATGTCAAAGACCAACACGAAGGTGCAGTTTTGCACATGCAAGCTGTACGGAGCCTGGACGGTCAAGGAGTCGAGCACTTTGTGCTTTGCTTTCGGGTTCATGCTTGGTTTCGTGTTCTCGACGTCCCCGCTGCAACGGGGTAACCGTTTGTTCCAATCATACTGACTCTTCGTACAGTAACCTAACACCACTCGGGAAGGGGGCTTGTGGAGGGTATGCTCGGAGAGTCGAGCGAGGTCGGCGAGCTGGTGGCATAGGCATCAAGGAGTAGCCTGCCGGATGGAAGCTGAGATTGAGGATAAAGTGGTGCGAAGATCTCGATTCGCGGCACAGACTGGAATCCTGGCTGCAAACTTGATACACGAGTGATTGTGCATGACGATTCCGATTTCGACAACCCCAATTGACATTCCTGGCAAGATCCGTGGTGTCTTTTCTCCAAACACCAAGAGACATCAGGTTTCTAGACTGGTCGCTCGGAGAGAGTGAATTCTGGGTTTGGTAACCTTCTGGTCTAAATATGGGATGGAAGTCGAATAGAGATTCTAGGATGATTCGGAGAATTGAGATGCAGCACATACGGTACATTCCGGGAGGGAAATAATCCACGACAAAGGGTTACATATGCGCGATAATACCTGTCACATCGGAACGGAAGGGCCGGTTCTAAAAGCCGCGGAGACTCCACCATCGGTTGGACACGCATCCAGGCCGACGTGCGGGGGAAATCGGTATGGTGGTTGGGCTAAACATCGAGATTCGCACTGATGGTCTTAGGCACTCGCGCTAACGCTACGGTTCCGAAGCGCAGCAGACTCGTGTGGGTGTGCGTGGGGGATAACGTGTGGTGTCGAGTATCAGATGGGTGGAATACAGTACATACCGGTGTCTAGGCAGTTTGCCCGTGGCATGGTGGCCCGTGTGATGGAGGCCAAAGGGAGCGACATGGAGTTGCACACGGTGTGTGAAGGCATAGGTATCATACGCATGCCGCAGTGATTCACGGCGATAACTGCACATGCGCGATACAAGACGCACTGTGTGGACCTACTATTCCAGGACACTGAACGACTGAGGGGACGCAATCTGGTGTTAAAGCTAGAGATGCCATTCGGAACCGGCCTGAGTGTACATCCAAAACAAGCTGGATGGAGCTTCTTTTCTCTTCTTTTGATGGGTTGTTGGGTTGTTGATGATGGTAATGGTAGTTGTGGTGCAAATGGTAGTGTTTCACTGGTGGAGATCCTGCCGATAATTTAAGGCACTCGCCTTACGGACCCAGGAGCGCGGAGCTGGGAGGGTGGGGTCACTGGGGTGTGGGGATTCCGCATACTGTTGACACACCGGGATGGAAGAACGACACGAGGCAAAGTCTAAAGGCCGGCATTCCGCAGTGTTTCACGGCCGATTTTGCCCGTACAACGTCTTGGTCGGATGGAAACGATGGATGAACGAAGAGGATAGAGCGCCGCCGTACGCAACCGCGCTGCGGACAAAGGAAGTGAGTATTTCACTTAACCGCGAAGCGATCCGCGCCGCGCCGGCCTGCTAAGTTACTCTAATTATGCTTAGGCTCGCTCTTGACACCACTCGCCTAACGTACCCGTCGGGCCGATGATGATGGTTTTGGTGATGCGCCTCAAAGTCGCAGAGTCAAGTCAACATCTTTGATCTGGCTTCACAGTTCAACCCAGGGGATACCGCGCTGCACTCTTCGGATAACGGATGGCGACTCCAGCGACGGGTGGAGAGGACAAAGCTTGACTCTGAGACTTTCAGTCTCCCGTCCTGCTGGCAACCACCAGTAACTAATCAGTTACACTGGACTCCGGTGCTACTCCGCTGTCCACTTCACACCACTCCGGGGGCATGTGTTCTCAGCTAAGGATCCGATCCTTCACGTGGGTCGATCCCACCATTCCCGAGCGGCTCTCACTTTTGCAGCCATCTCTTGACCGTTCCTTCCCCTTTCCCCGTAAACCTGTGCGCCTCCCACAGATCACCAGATCCACAGTTCCACGGCCCTCAGTATGACGGCTTCCTCCACTACGCCTACGGGCGATATTTCCCTCCCCGCGGACATGTCCCGCTTGAAGGGCAAAAACATCCTCATCACCGGCGGCGCGAGCGGCCTAGGATTAGCGATGTTCCGCGAGTTCGCCAGACATGGGTATCTCTTCTCCGTCCCCCGTTCCCACGCGGTGTCCCGGCTAAATTTGTTTACGCGTCGTGACAGCGCCAACGTCGTGATTGCGGATTTGAATGCTGAGAAGGGGAATAAACTTGTCGAGGGGGTGCGGAAAGACAGCAATAATTTGCAGTAACTGACATCCCCCACCCCTAGCGCGGTATGGGCGAGCACTGACCGGAACACCTATTCAGTCACTACTTTGTCCTTTGCGACGTGACCTCGTATGAAGCCCAGCGGCAACTCTTCCGCAGTGCTATCGAGCTCCTCCCCGGCGGCATCCTCAACACCGTTGTCGCCAACGCCGGCGTCAGCGAGACCTTCGACGTGACGAAGCCACACACTCCCGTCGACGACGACCCTCCGGAGCCGGACCTCACCACGATCGACGTCAACCTCAAGGGCGTAATCTTCACCAGCCGACTAGCGCTGCACCATCTTCAGCGGAGCCCCACCGGGTCCGATCGCCACCTCCTCCTGGTGGGATCCATGGCGTCGTTCGTGGACACGTGCGGCGTCGTCGCCATGTATGCGGCGAGCAAGCACGCGGTCCTCGGCTGGTTCAGGTCTTTGAGGCTGTTCCCCGGCGTGCACAACAAAGGTGTCCGCATCAACCTGGTGTGTCCGTATTTTGTCGCGACGCCCATCATCCCGATCATGGGACGGGTAATGCTGGCCGGGATGGATCTGGCCACGGAGGAGGACGTGGTGGAGGCGACTGGCCGCCTCGTATCGGACCCGGGTGTGCGCGGGCGGGTGCTCGCGGTGATGCCGCACAGCGCTGGCGGCATCATGGAGATGGATGTCGCCGAGATGAAGCTCGTGGAGCAGTTCTCGAGGCGCGTCATCAGTGCCCTCGAGGTCGAGGACAAGGTGAAGAGCTGGGTTAGGTTTGCGTGGGGCATGATGCACCTCCTGGGTGTCTCGAGGCTTCTGGGAGTGCTCGGTCTGGTGGTCGCCGTTTGCTGGTTGAGGGATTCGGCCGCATAGTATACGGCCTGCCAGCAGAGGAGGATATAGATCATAGTTATCATAATATGTAGCCGCCACTTACTTACAGGCGACAAAGTAATTGGGCGATGAAGAGCGATATAATACCCCATGTCTCTCTCCTTGTTCGGTCTCCAGGATTGGTGGTGGGTCAACGTATGCCCAAGGGCTTTCGTTGGTATCGGGTATCAAAGCTCGTCGATATCCCGTCGATACCCTCTGCCCCATGAGTACCCACACACTGGGCTGTGCATATTTAGCGACCCAATTCTCGGTATGCGTGGTTTATTTTCTGTCCCACAAGTGGCCCATGAGCTTCTATCAACCCATTCCCACGGACTTTTCCGTCCCACATCCCACCAGGCACCTTTGACCTTGGTGCAATATGGCCACCGGGACGGGCCAACTCGTATGGACCGATTCCTCTCTACCCGAGTACATGGCTCTCCCTCTGTCCGCCGCCAAGGATCCACAAAGGTCGACACTACGCCCATGCCTCTCCCTCTTCCCCCCTTCCCTGAGTTTTTACACCCTCCTCCGGTAACCTAAATATTTATGTATGTTGCCACAAGGGAGTGACGCCCATGGACGAGTTAACGTCGCGATGGGCGCCTCATCTCCGGGCATATAATCCCCCGCCCTCTAGGCTCCAAGATCTGTTGCCCGCTCATCTCACATCACAAATCGAGCACGTCCACGATTGATTCACTCCCTGTTAAATCGCCATAGTCTCTGATATATACCAATACCCCCCCTCCCTCCAATAGCGACCAAGGCTGGCCTCGCAGTATCGATTCTCGAAATGATTGGGCACGTGCTATCGATCCTTGCATCGATAACGGCGATATACCACTTGGCTGGCCGCCTCCTGAAGACTCTTAGCACTCGGCTTTTGCTGATTTTTGCGCTGCAGTTCGCGGATGTCATAACTGGATGGTGAATCCCCCCCTCCACGCTCGTTGCCTTCTCGTTAGGCTGGGTGGCCATCTATATATATGTTTGTTTGATTTAAGGCATGGTGCTCTTACGCAGGAGATGCCCAGACCCTTCAGTTCTCAAGGCGTGCACGGTCCGTCGGGGCTACCGCCGTATCTACGGATAACGTCACTCGGAGCCCTTCGGGATCGTGAGTGTTCTGTAGCCTTCCCCTAGGACAGTCCGTACCTATCCTTCCGTCCCGACAGTGTAGCTGACTCCGGCGTTAAGCGTGGGCATTATCGCGCAGAGCATCAGCATTGCGAAGGACCACTTCGATCCGCACACGACGGTGTGCAATGCCATTGGGACGGCGATAATAGTGACGGGGGATGCTCGTGGAGTTCCTGACGCTCGATGTCACCGTCGTAACGATCGTCGGCGTGATGCGGCCGATCTGGCTCGACTACTAGCGGCCGTGGATGACGGCGGTCGTGCTGCTCCTTGCCACGGGGGTGCCGGTAGCCACCGCGCTGGCCGCCCTCCAGGTAAAGGCCATGACGCCCGTCAGCGGAGGCTACTGCGGCATCGAGCGCGATCCGGAGTACCTCAGATTTGTGAGCAACCTCTTTATCGTCGCCGGCGTCGGCACCTGTGGTCTGTTCTGGTTCCCGTTCTCGTTTCGTTCTTCACCAACCTCCGCCGCACGCCCCCCCCGGCTGGCTGGTTTCAAGCATAATCGTTATTGGGGAATTGATACGGAGCAGGCGATCATCCTCGCAGCGCGCATGGCCATCATGGTCGCCGTCCCCCGTGCTTCACCTGGCGCTCCTCCTGCACGTTCGGAGGCACCTGCTCTACCACGCCGCCGTCAGTCCGAGCGCGCTCTCGCAGCTGCTCGCCCGCGTCCGCACGCTCCGCACGTTCCGCACCACCACCGACGAGGAGACCGCGCACGCCCACACCCGCCTAGAGCGCGTAAAGAGTGTCGATACGTGCCACACGTGCCGCACGCTGCCGGCGCAGACCACCTCCGCGACTTCCGCCTCCGGGAAGGCGTACAGGTCCATCGGCTAGTCGCTGTGTCTGCGCTCGTACCCCACGGTGATCATCTTCCTGTGGCTGCCCGGAGTGGCGAACCGGCTCTACGAGACGTCGGATAGAGAGTCGCGGGCGCTGGTGTTGCTGCAAACTACTACGGCGTATGTTGGATGTGCTAATGCGCTGCTGTATCTGTGGAGCGAGGGGCAGCTGAGGGAGTGGAGGGAGCGGAAGGACCGCAGGCGACAGTGGGAGAGAAGGCAGCTGTGGGAGCGGCCTGAGCTGTGTCCCGATTCGGGGGCGGGTGGTGCGGGGAGTTGACAGAGTACCTGGAGGGGGGCATTATTGCTGGGCAATGATATGCTGGAGGAACTGAGGAGTTACTTACATACGTTGTTTATGATGGGAGCACGAGATGCTCACCGAGGGAGGTACACTCTACCCATAATACAGTTCGGGTGGGGAAAATAGCTTTCTTTCTTTCCTTTTCCTTCATTTTTATGCGACGGAGCCTTGACGGTTTACCGTTTTTAATGATTCACCAGAGTATCGCGGTGTGAATAGTCGCGACTGTACAGTTTAATCCGATGAATTATGTACACACGAAAGGAAATGCACATGTATATAGGTGTATATTTCGTTCCATTAGCTTTCGATCTCGCACGTTGAAGCCTCCACTCGTATGTACAGCTGTGGTTACACCCACTTTCCACATTTCAACCCCACCTGCCCCTCCAAGTTCCAACCCCACCTTCGCCCGTACAGTGACAGCGAGAACAATGACCACGCCTACCCCATCCGACTCCGACCCGGACATCCACATCACTCTGACCGAAGATGTGCTGGACCTGACGGCGACGGCAGCGCTCGTGCGGTCGCCCAAAGCCGGTGCGATCGTGCTATTCGTTGGTAACTACGGCATTGTCCTCCCCCCGTGCCAACCGTAACTAGCTGACACCTCACAGGCACGACACGCGACACCTTCGACGGGCAGCCCGTCAAGACGCTATCCTACAGCACGTACTACGCCAAAGCGCAGCGGACGATGGCGTTGATCGCGCACGGCATTAAGGCGCGGTTCGGACTCACGGGGATCGCGATTACGCACAGGCTGGGCGAGGTGGGGGTCGGCGAGGATAGCGTGCACATTGCCGTAGCTAGTCCGCATAGACAGGCGGCGTTTGATGCGGGCCGCGAGGCATTGGAGGAGATTAAGAAGAAGGCGGAGATCTGGAAGCTTGAGGTCTTTCAGGAGGGCGGCGGCGTGTGGAGGAGCAATAGGGACGGCGAGAAGGGCGTCAGGGTCGATGATGCACAGGTCGAGAATGTGATCGAGGCTGAGAGGGATAGTAATTTGCCGGTTGTGTGAGGGGAATTAAAACCGCGTGCTCCCATGCGGAATCGGAGCTTCGGCACGCCGTTCTTTTTTACACATGTATTTTGTTCCGCGAACTTGCAGGGGCAGCGGGGGTTGCGAGCCGGATCGCCGCTAATGGCGGGGCATTAAAGTTGCACATCCCGACGCGCCTCGCAAAAAAATCCTCATCTGCAGACCGAGTGGAGACCCCTGAAAACACACCCAGTCCACCCACGAGAACCACGTACCCGATGCTCGTCGCCCGGCGCTCCCTCCATTGCGCTCGTACCCTCACCCGCCACAGTCTCCTCCCAAAGCCCGAGTACTTTTGCCGCGCCTCCGCCGCCAGCAGCAGAAGCAGAAGCTTCGCCACCACTCCCGCCCGCCGCAACGAGATCGTCGCGAACAATGGCACCGCCGCCGCTGCCGTGCCCAAAGATCCACAACAGCAGGTATACTCCGATCCGTATGCCAACGAGCTGCCGATCGAGGCCTACGTTCGGAACGTGCGCGAAGTGTGGGGAGAAAACTTGCCCGAGGGGTTGCTGTCAGAGGAGGAGTACAAGATCTACGAGCGGTATTACGGCCCGCCTGTGCGCACTCTCACGCCGGAAGAGGTCGAGGAGGAGTATGGAATAGCTGAGGGTGAGGATGGGGATGTGGATGGACTCGCGACGCTGCAGGATGCCAATGGCGTGCCGATCGAGTACGATGTCGAGCCGGTGGAGGAGGAGGGGGAGGAGGCAGCGAAGGCAGCGAAGGCAGCGAAGGCAGAGGGGGTAGAGGAGGTAGAGGAAGAAGTGCCGGAAGGGTTCGTGAGAGCGCGGAGTGCGGAGGAGGCAGCCATGTATGCGCGCATTGGCGAAGATATCCAGCGGTCAATGAGTCTGGCCGAGGAAGATGGCGGTAGGGTATTGGAGGGAGAGCACGATGCGGAGGCGGAGGTCGACGAAGAACTTTTGATGCGCACACATCCGCTCACCGAGCTCGGACGGTTCGGAACGTTTCCCACCACCACCTTCACGCCTGTCGGCATCACAAAGCCAACGGCTGCACTGCTATCGGGCGTCAGCAATAAACATCTCGACGATGCCATCTTCAGGATCCTCGGAGCGTCGCTCGAGAAAACCCCCATCAGGACGGAACACTCCGACAAGGCGTACAACTCTATACCCCTCAACACGTCCAACGCCATGAGCGAGATGGATGCCAATGTCCACATGGCCACGATTCTTCCCGGGTACTACGCGCAGTCGCTCAGCACGCTGACGGAGCTGCGACGGCGGCTGGGACGGGACTGGATCCTGGGCAACGAGCACAGCGGGGAGAAGGGTGTCAAACTTGTTCTCGATGTCGGAACGGGTGGTGCTGGAGTGCTTGCCTGGCGGGCGATGGTGGAAGCCGAGCGGCAACTTCTTGCGGACGAAGCATCCGAGATTGATGGTGCGGAGAAGACTGAAGAACCAACACCGACCGAAACTACAGAGGAAATTCCCACTCCTACTGAGCAGAAGGCAGTGGTCGTGATGGGCTCACAACCACTGCGTTACCGCATGGCTAAACTTCTTGAGAACACCACCTTCATCCCCCGCCTTCCCGATATGCCCGGTCCACAGACTGTCTCCCTGGACGATCTGAACTTTGAGGCTAACATCGAGCCCGAAGGCACCCCCGAAGCGCAAACTCTCGAAGCGCAAACTCTCGAAGAGCAAACGGCTGAAGAGCAAACCCTCCAAGAGCAAACCGCTGAAGAGCAAACCGCTGAAGAGCAAACCGCTGAAGAGCAAACCGCTGAAGAGCAAACCTCCGCACCGGCAAAGCCTGGATTCGTCGATAAGCAACCACGAAAGCTTTACGATCTCATCATCGCAACAAACACCATCCTCCCCATCTACGAAAGCCACAAGCGCAAATCCCACGTCCAAAGGCTGTGGTCCCTCCTCAACCCCAACGGCGGCGTGCTCCTCTTAGTAGAGAAGGGCACCCCGCGTGGCTTCGAAGCCATCGCAGGAGCCCGCAAAGGGCTGCTGAAATACAACATCGCCACCGCCGACAGCGAATTCGTTCCGCTCAAGGAAACGGAGGACGTCTCATCACCACGCACACGCAAGGAAACGTCTAGCATCGTAGCGCCATGCACGAACCACAGTGAATGCCCGCTCTACGTCAATGGCCCGGCCAAATCCATCAGCCGCGACTTCTGCAGCTTCTCGCACCGCTACCAGCGACCAAACTACATGCAGCGCGTTCTCGGCGCAAAAAAACGCAACCACGAGGACCTGATCTACTCGTACGTCGCCGTCCGCCGCGGCATCGACGTCACTCGCCAGGAATCGCCGCCCATAGAACCCAAAATCGAGGACTTTGACACCAAGGTCACACCCCCCGTCAGTCCGTACTCGATGGCGCAACTACGGGCACACGCTTACACTCTCCCGCGCGCCATCTTTCCGCCAATGAAACGCACCGGCCACGTCGTCATCGACGTGTGCACGCCGAAGGGAAAGATCGAGCGGTGGACTGTCCCGCGCTCGTACGGAAAGGTTGCGTTTAGGGATGCGCGGAAGAGCAAGTGGGGAGACCTGTGGGCGCTCGGCGCAAAGACGAAGATCGCGAGGAATATCAAGCTCGGCGAAAAGCAGAAGAAGATGAAGGTCGTCAAGGAGGAGAAGAAGGAGGTCGAGTGGAAGGTCAAGGGCAAGAAGAAGCATTGGGGCAAGAAGGAGGTCGAGATCAAGAAGGAGAGAGGGAAGGGCCTCACTTTGGAAAGGGCGTCGCAGAGGAAGAAGAAGGATGCGGGTATGTAGATTGAAGGCTTGAAGGCTAGGACTTGGATGTGTATATAGGGTGTGAATGTACGATAGATGCATGGCCTCCTTTCTTGGTGCAATTGATCTCTCCCCCGCTCGTGACAAGTGATGCATTACTGCGTCGCTAAAGTCATTGATTTTTCTGCTTAAAATCGCGTAAGCTGAGATCTCCTGGGATTGGCCACCCTCCCCTGCACCAAACACCTGTGCCCCACCGATCACTCCCGTGCCCCGACTTTGCTCACCCACCCACCCACATACTTTCAGCCCACGATGCTCGCAACAAAACTCCGGCCGTGCCTCCGCACCCTTGGCGGTCCCACATCGGTCCGCACCTTCCAACAACGCGCGCCACCTCCCGACTACGGCTTCGCATTTGAGTAACCGCCCCTCCCCCGCGCTTCCCCACATCCCGTCTTCCCCTCTATGTAGCCGGAACTGACCCGTGCGAGCCTCGGTATACAGCATCGATGGCGTCCTTCTACACGGCTCTACGCCACTCTCGGGCGCGACGCGCACATTGCAATACCTACAGCAGAAGCGGCTCGAGTTCCTGCTGCTAACAAATGGCGGGGGCACGTCGGAGTCTCGGCGGATCCGGCAGCTGTCGAAGCTGCTCGACACGCCGCTACACATCCAGCAGTTCGTACAGTCGCACACGCCGTTCCGCATGCACGCGCAGTCGCGCGGCATGGAGAATGTGCTTGTCGTCGGGGGCGCGGGCGATAACTGCCGTGCCGTCGCGGAGCAGTATGGGTTCCAAGATGTTCTGATCCCAGCGGATGTACTGGTCAAATGGCCGGAGGTCGCGCCGTTCAGTGATCCGGCGGCGTGGGAGAAGTATGCTCGCCCCGTCGCCAAGGGGAGGAAGGTCGATGCTATCCTATGCTTCAATGATTCAAGGGATTGGATATGTGCCCCCGCCCTCCCGCCCCCACCCTCGCCCCTTCGCTTCTCCGTCCCTGGCTAACGAATTGTGCACGCCCTGGACCTGCAGTTGATAATCGACCTCCTCCTGTCCGACTCGGGCCGCATCGGATCGCGCCGTCCGGTCTCGAAGGTGCTCAAGGACGGGCACATCCCGCTCTACTTCTCAAACCCGGACCTGTGGTGGGCCAACGAGTACCCGCAGCCTCGTCTCGGGCAGGGCGGCTTCCGCGCGGCGCTCGAGGGGCTGTGGCGGACCATCACGGATGGAAAAGGCGAGCTCAAGGCGACGACGATAGGCAAGCCGCATCAGCCGACGTATGAGTACGCCGAGAACGTCCTCACCGCGTGGAGAATGCAGCAGCTGGGCGAGGAGAGTGAACATCCCGAGCTCAGGAGAGTGTACATGGTCGGCGATAATCCGAAGAGCGATATTGCCGGTGCGAATGGGTATAAGAGCCCCTGGGGCACGGAGTGGGTCAGTATCCTGGTAAAGACGGGCGTGTACAGGAATGGAGACGATGATGGGGGTGCGAAGGTAGTTGTAAATAATGTGGAAGAGGCCGTGAGGTGGGCAGTTGCGAGGGAGGAGGAGGCGAACGAGAATATGAATGCGAGGGGTGATTGATTGGAGTCACCAGGTGGTATTTCCATATTCCCTTTTCTTGGATGCGGAGGTGATGGGATTAGGTGTTGATAATTACCACGATGTACAGGGTGGAGGCTGTCTGTCTGCTAGGAACCGAAACATAGGTTTATTATACTCGGACGCTCCGTTGTCAGTTCACGTTTTGAGGGCACGCACATAGGTACCATGGTCAAGACTTTCGTTTGCTAGGAAGGACCACGTACAGAAATGAAAGTCTCATTTGACGAACTCGACACGATAACCGCATGCCATCACGTGAAGAGAGCAGTATGTGTACCAAAAACACCAGCAACCTCCCATTATTCATCCCTCTACCTATTTACATCACCGATATGATCCTGTCGTCAAGACGTCTCCCCTCCCCGCAGTTATCGGTCAATTGAGCTTCCGAGAGTGAGGGCCTTGATCCAATCCGCCCGTAAATCGCCACTGCTATCATCCTCTAGAACCTTCCCTCTATCCCACTCCCTTGTGTCGCCCTTTTTCGTCCATTTTATGTTGTTGGGGTTCTGCGTGTCGTTGTCTTCCCACGCCTTGATGAAGTCTTCACCGGGTCTCTCGGCGCGCAGTCGCTGGGCGCCCTGATTCTTCAGTCTCTGTCGATCTCGGAACGCCTCCACTTCGTCGACCGGAGATTGACTGTCAAGCGCGGGATTGTAGTCGTCGAGGAAGCGGGAATCCATAGCTGCTTTGCCGGTGGTGCCGCGGCCTCGTGCGCGGGGTTCCGCTTGCGTCTGGGCGGCAGGTCCGATGAAATCTTCCGAAGCATCAGAGGATTGGCTGGCGGACCGCTCGTGCCTGCTAGGACCGCGGTCGCCCAATTTCCGATGATCATCGTGGGCATCCGCCGGCAGATCCTTGGCTTTGGAATCGCTCATCCGCCGTTTCTTCTCCCGGTGTCGCTCATCCACCGAGCCGCCATCTTTCTCTTCCAATTCCTTGTCACGGTGTCTGCGTCTCCGCCGTCCCTGCTTCGACCTCGATCGACTCCGGTTGTGTCTCGAACGTCTATCGCGGTCCTTGTGTCGGTGATGGTGGTTGGTGTGTCTATCACCCTCCGGGGGTTCTGACCGCGACCGCTTCTTGTGCCTGTCCGTATGTCGCGCGCGATCCGTCTCTCCGTTCTTCGGCGACTTCTCGCGACTGCCGTGCCTGCGGCGTCTCTCGCTGCGGCTGTGATCGTCGCGCTCGTGATGGCGACGCCGGGCTTGACGGGCGCCCTCGGGGGATCTCGACAGGCGCCCTTCCCTCTCCCTCTCCCTCTCCCTCTCCCTCTCCCTCTCCTGCTTCTTCTCCATCGCCTTCACTTCCCGCTCCCTACTCCTCTCCCGCTCCCTCTCGGGCGACCTCGACAACCTCCCATCAGCCTTCCTCCTCAGCCGTCGCAGTCGCGCCTGCGCCTCTGCGGCCTCGCGCGCCAGCAGCGCAGTGTTGTGCGAATCGACCTCGCGCACAATGTTCCGCAGGAAGCGCGTGTTCGGTTTCGGGATTCTGGCGGGTCTGTAAATCGGGGGCGGTCGGTCATTGGTATCGGGTCGCGTGTGGAAGGGGTGATGGGTGGTGGAGCTTCCTACCTAGTTGCGGGAGCCGCGGGGCCTCCGAAGCGGGTGGCTTGCACCGCTGCTTCTTTCTTCAGCAGCGAGGTTATAAAGTCGTCTGTGTATTGGCTCATGGCGGTGGAAATGGCGGTGGGGGAGGCTGCGGAGAGGCGCGATGGGTGAGCTGTTGTGTGGGTGGGGGAGGCTGCGGAGAGGCGCGAGGGGTGAGCTGCTGTGTGGGTGGGAGAGCTAATGCTTAGAAGGTCCTTGGTCGACGACTGGCGTTGAACAGGGTTGCTTGCTTTCATAATCTCAGGAAGCCGCTAACTACTTTCAGAAATAATGGTCAAAATTCTTTACCTCTCTTGTGGGCATGGGAGTATGAAGGCACGAGATCTGACGGCGAAGCTATAGAAGGTGCATTCTCAGTGACTCGATAGAATTCAAGCTCGAGCCGCTTGTATATAACTATAAGAAAGGGAAACCAGGCACTATCACGAAGTCTAGGTATATGTACAACTTGGTTATAGGTAGTGACTTAAGCCCTCACACCGTGGAGCCATTCTGGCCATATTTGTTGACAGACCTAAGCTAAAGTTTGTTCTCACTTGTCATGTCTAGATCCCTCCAGCCTACGCTCATGGCCGAGGATGATAGAAAGTAAATTGCCCTCCAAGCGGCCGTGTAGGGACAGGTCCGAAAGAGAGGTACACGACGTCTATATATAAGGGACCAAGTCTAGTGTTGGGCACGAGCTAAGTTGACCCAGGTGTTCGTCCCGGATTTTTCGGCCCGACCCTAACGAGCCAACTCGGGTCTGCTTGAGAGCCCGCATCCCACTCAAGGATTTGTGAGTGACGACTCATGATTCTTCAGTGCTACCTTGCCGTACCAGGCAGCAGCGAGCGTACCGGTTCTCACGTGGAGGCAGGTACCCATCCCTAACTAGCATAACTGGCTAATCGACAAGAGGAGGTATATTTGGCAACAAGGCAAGATTGATCGGCAACAAGGCAAGATCTTCAATTGCGGAGAACTAGACGGGACTGCCTGAGAACGTGCAGTAGTAGCCGGAGGAGCTCGAGGACGCAGACGTGCACCGAGGAGCTCAAGCAAGCGATGGTACGGATGACGGAGACATATGTACTATGTAGGCAGATGGCTGAAGAAACACTTCCGGTTGTGAGAACGTGGAATCGTAAAATCCACGAGCCGCCGAGGTGAGGTTGGGTAATGGGACTTCCGATGCAACTATGGTTCATTTCCATCTCCTTTCTGATCACGGGATTACTAGTACATCATCGAAACGAGTAAAACACAACTTTTGCTCAGAGGTATAGAATTTATGAGTAGGTCATTGAAAATATCTACTCATCATCCTCCTCATCACCACCATCGTTCTTGGCCTCAGCGGCCTTGGCCTTCTTGCGCTGAGCGCGACCGGCGCGTCCACCACCGAAGGGCGAGCTCAGAGCGAAATCGATGTGCTTCTGCGAGTCGAGACGGACGACGAACGAAGGGACGTTGACGATCTGCTTGCCGACACGGATGTGACGCTGACGGATCAGGACACGGGCGTGGTGGATGGACTTGGCGAGACCGAGCTTGTAGACCTGAGTCTGGAGACGACGCTCCAAGAAGTCCTCGACGCGAAGGGCCAAGACGTAATCGAGCTTCATGCGCTGGTCGTCCAGGACACCGACTCGTACGAGACGGCGAATCAAGGCGTTACCCTCGAACAGACGCTTGGGGTCCTTCTCGTCCAGGGTCAAAAGCTGACGGGCAGCACGACTATCACCATGTCAGCCATTGTCATCCAAATGTAGAACCGTGATTGCGAGTGGCACCGACCGAATCTTGGACAGGGTGAGCTGGACACGCCACACCTCACGCTTGTTGCGCAGACCGTATTCACCGACGGTCTTCAATTCGGCATCGCTAGAAATCGCAGGGAGGTCAGTCGGTAGTCCTTATGCAGCGTTTCGAAGGAGACATGTGAAGAGACAAGCTCGACAACAGTGGAACTCACAGACGCGCGGACTCGAAGGGACGCCTGGGAACCTGTGCATGGCTAGTCAGCGCATAAGACTTAGAGTGCTCGGGTGCCGGGGAAACATATTGTAGGTCTTGGAGTAGGAAATAGGGGCCATTGTGATTAGATCGACGAAGGAGTGCGATTAAACTGATGTCGTTTCCTTCGAGTTGTCGGCGTCGGTAGTCGGTGGGCGGAAGGGTTGTCGGTGGGCTTCGATCGTCGTCGGACAATATTGGGCGGGCGCGTGCCTTGGTGATGATTCTCGTTTGTTGTGTGCGGCACCAAAGTTTGTGTGGGGGTAGATGGGACTGCTAAATGTAGGGCTAACACCCCTGCAACGCACAAATCCCACCCAAGCGAATTTCCACACCACCAACAATTCGGGCACCCAACTGCGAAACGAGAATCACCCCGACGACGACGACGACGACCCCAGCGACCCAGCGAATCCACCGCCCTCCGACCACCCGACCGAAACGTTCAGCAACAACCCCCGAAAAATAATCAAAAATGTACGTCTGCCGACATGCCGTCAAAGCATCGCCCGCGGCTCTATCTCGCTCGCGGAGATGTGCTCGTTCGCCTACTGACGGAGCTTGTTTGAAGGGGTCACTCCGGTGGTATTCGTTCCGGCACGAGATATGCCTTCTCGCGTAACTTCCGCGAGAAGGGTATGATCGCCATGTCGGTCTACCTGCAGCAGTACCGGTATGTTCTATCCTTGGAGTGAATGGTAGAAGATTGGAGGTTCTAATGGTTTTAGTGTCGGTGATATCGTCGATATCAAGGCAAACGGTGCCGTCCAGAAGGGGTGAGTCGAACCTCCTATGATCCCCACCGAATTCCCTGCGTCGAGCACGCCCGAAGCTCCCGCTCCTACACGGTCGAATGCGCGGGTTCGGTCGACGCAGAATGGAATCCGGTGTCGTTTTTCGATCGGACTCTTGCTGACCCGCATCGCAGTATGCCCCACAAGGTCTACCACGGAAAGACCGGTGTTGTCTACAATGTCACCAAGTCGGCTCTCGGTGTCATCATCTACAAGCGTGTCGGCAACCGCTACCTGGAGAAGCGCGTGAACGTCCGTGTCGAGCACGTCAAGCACTCCAAGTGCCGCAAGGAGTTCGTCGACCGTGTCAAGGACAACGCCGCCAAGAGGACGACTGCGAAGGAGGAGGGAACCCGTGTGCACCTGAAGAGAATGGCTACCCAGCCTCGGACCGCCCACACCGTTGCCGCCGCCGAGCCGGAGACCGTCAACGCGCTGGCGTACGAGACGACTATCTAGAGAGGTGGATTGGTAGCTAGTGCTGTTACCGTGCTCAATTCCAATCTCTTTATGTGTCCCTCCCCTATGGCGTTTGCTTGTTTCTAAAAGTCGGTGAATCTTGTATGTTGTACAAGCTACATGATGATGCTCTTTTGTCCCCAGCTTCTCCAACAGAATTGACCGCTTGATGTGCCTGAAAAAGTGCTTTTCGTACTACCATCCCTCGTTGAATTTCCAGTTACTACAACCGCTTGTATCTTAAACATTAGTATTCCGTCTCGTACCGTATCCGAGCTTACCAGGTAGGTGTTAAAAGCTTCCCTACGAAACACTAGACATACACTTCAAAAGTCCACCGGAATGGTGACGTTTCTGCCTGCAATTGGCCGGGGATACATAGGCGACGTCTTTTCCGCGTCGTGGGATGATTCAGAATTGGAACTGTGAGCATCTGGCTCGCTATCGCGGTCAACAAGATGGCCGGTCCTCATCGCGGCCGTGTCCTAACCGTCGGGTGCTAACCGTCCTATGCACACTGAACTGGTAGCGCACCGGCTTCGCCTGGCCGCTCACGTCGGACAATCCGGTGTCATATATTCGCGTCATCTATGGTCAACGCGATAAAGCAACCGACACCTCCAGCATGCTAAAATGTCATGACGTTTCATGCAGACAATCACGGGATATCACTCGGCTCTGTGCACCGATACGTAGTCGAAGAAATTACACCTGCAGATCTAAATTGCGAGAGTCTAACCATGCGCATTACACAATGCGGGACTGGCCTGCGATTGCTTGTCCAAATCTTTCGTTCTTTCATGCGGAGGCTTAATTGTGGTCTTCGGGAACGAGAGCAATATTCGGATGCCAGCGTGAAACTGACGCTCAACGGACAAGTCACGAAAGTATCCGCAAAAACTCGGTTGGCGATACGTATCTTACCCCAACTCCATTTTTAGTCCACTTGAGACCGCGATTTAAGCTTTCTACGGAAGCAGATGTGTTGATGTAATAGCGGCCATGGCACGAAACGGCCGTCAAACGTAATGGTGACTCTGACCGGTTCTCCGGGCTGTGTTGATGATCAACACAGCCTTTTTTGGTTTTGCTTGACCAGTGCTTGAGTGAGACATACCGAGATCAGGCCATATGAGGTTGACACAGTCGATGCCGCTGATATAACCCGTCAAGTCGCCACAATGCTCACTCGCAACATCCGCTCCTCTCGCGTCGTTTCGGCACTCTGGCAGTAACAAACGCAAACAAACGCACATTTTGGCATAAGTACACACCAGACTCCCTCCGTTATTTGTTGATAGTGATGCTGCAGTAGCATGAACATCTCCACTTTGCTCTCCGAAGAAGAAACGCTCACTCACCCCGGGCAGCATGCCGAAGCTCAGCGTACCTCGAACCTAGAGCTAGCACACCCAGCTCCTCTTCATTCGTCTGCACGCCTGTCCCTCTTCTCACCACGGTGTTCGCCGCACATCTCGCAAACCTGTCCGGCCCATAGTCCCACGTTTGCAACTCTCCCAGCCCCTCCCCGATCACCCGTGGAACCCTTCGAGAGAAAAACGCAGCCCTGGCGAACCGAGGAGCTCCGGGTGCTCGTGTGCGCGCTGTTCAACTTCATCTCGCCCGAAGCGCCGAATAGCAAGAAGGGCAAGTGGAAGGAAGTGCGGAGGAGTCTAAGCGCCGCCGGTTTCTCGCGGTCGATCGATGCTTGTCGCAAGTGCTACAAGAGGGTACTGGAGGGCGGCGATGAGCCATTAAGGGGCACTCCTGAGATGGTCTTGCTCATCAGCCTTAAGCGTATGTTGCTTTCAGAGTTCGGGGCCGAGTTGTGCGAGACAGCCCGCTGACAGACGGCATGGGATAGAGCGAGATACCGCGAAGCAGCAGGCCGAGGTGCCCGAGGTGACCGAGCGGCCGACGGAGTCACCGGCTGTGGAGGAGGCAATCGCGGAGGGAGCAACTAAAAAAGAGATTTCTGGAGACGAGGGGTTAGCAAAGTTAATGGAGTTAGCGAATGTAGCGGCTACTTTAGAGAAGCTGCCGCCGAAAGAGAGACCAGCTTCTGGGGCGACAAACTATGATCAAGTCCAAAAAATATCCTGTCCGAGATGAAGGCGGTAATTGAAGTCATTGGAAAGAAAGGATCCTCCAAATGCCACGCAAGAAGCCGCGCAATTGACGCCCGTGCCCGGATGCCATAATGCATTTGCAAAGACTTGACCGAAAATTCGTATGTATGGGTGGCTTTTGTGCGATAACAGAAGTTCATCCAAGGTCCGTCTCTTCCAGAACCAAAATGTCTCCCCTCCCCAGCACCGACCACATTCTCCCCCACACCTCTTTACAGAGCCCTTAGAGCCTGTAAAAGCATCTTCGCCCTCTTGTCCTCATACTGGTGCCTCTGCGTCTCCTTCACGCGGGAATAATACACCGGACAATCGAGGGAATCGCACTTCAGCTCCTCGGGGCGGGAGACATCGCTGCACGATACACAGATCCTCCGGATATCGTGCATCCGCTTCTGCGCCGCGCACAGCTGTATCTGTGTCTTGTAGATTGATACGTCGCGGCTCTCGGAGCAGGATGGGCACATTACTTGCGTGTTATGTCAGCACAGGTGGCGGGTGGAAGAGTGCGTGGGGGGGTGTCTCTTACCTTTTCCGCTGGAGGTTTTGCCACGGCAGATGTAGCACACCAGATTGTCACGTATGAGCCACCCGTCCAGCGTGGGAGCCTTGCGCTTTCCGTCGTCTACGAACACTCGTGGGCGTCGGTACTTTGGCATTTCCTTATACCACAGCGCGACGGGTGCACCGATGACATTGAAAATGCGCGCCAAGGGTGGGATCATCTTTTTTTGAATGTAGTAGTCTATGTCGAGCATCAGGTGCGGCGAGTGAAGGTATCTGTCCACTTCAATGGCGCGGTCCGAGATGCGTTGGTGCTCGAGACCGCCAGCGATTACTACGTAGCTGGTGGACTGTCAGGGAGTGGACTGGTGGAAAGAACGGGAAAGAGGGCCTACGGAATGCGCTCGCCGAATTGGGGCTCGTTGCGGTGGTCGACGTCTCTTCGTTTTTTGGCTATGGCCATGTGAGGCTGGATGGGTGCTCCTTCGCTGAGGAGTGTCAGTAACGATTGCGAGAAATCAATAGGGAGATTTGGTACCGGGAGTTTGCGAGCTTTACTTCTTTTGCGATACAGAAATCCTGAACCGAGACCTTGCCTTGCATCATCTTGGTCCACTGCCGGAGACAGTATTCCTTGACCTGCGAGAGATCCTGAGTGCGGAAATGGATCCTGCCCGGTCGCCTACATGTAAGCTATTTCTCGCCCAGTTCCGGTGGACGAAAAGGTTCCTTACTTGAGAGCAGTTTCCTGCATCTTCTGTATCGCCGGAAAATAATCCCTCCGAACTGTTTCGATTCCCTTGGCGTCGAAGTCCGGCTCCTTCTGGTCGCGGTATTCATACTTCAAGCCAACGTACCGCTTTTTCATCAGCAGCACCGAAGGCAGATAGACCTTCTCGAACTTCAGCTTGATAGGTTTCGGATTCATAGCGGTCACCCGTTCGGCAATCTCGTATCCGATATCGAAGGCCTCGTCTTTGCTTCTGCCGGGGAGTTCGACAAACAGACTGTCGGTATCGCCGTATACAACTCTCGCACCCCAGCCCTCTTCGTTATTGATGAGGTTTATCGCCTACAGAGCAGTTGTGTAAGCCAGGATACTCAGTACTGCTCTGGATCCACGGACTTCCCCACCTTTTCAAGCGTCTCCCTCCCGGATTGTACGATACTGTCCGCGATCTCGGAACATGGCATACGGCCCGAAAAGCTCGCCGAGGTGTACCCATATGTGACATTTGCCGTCAGCTTGAGCGCCAGCTGCCAGCTGTTCAACATCTGCTGCAGGTGCTTGTCGTCCTTGTCGCGCTTCATCCGGTCCTTCACCATCACGCGTGTGTCGAGGATCTCGGACAACATCTTTGCCAGCAAAGATTGTCGAACATGCGGTTTGACGAACATCATGCCGTTGGGAGATACTATCCAGATATTCTGTCAGGATTTTGATGGTTCATGGATGAATTCGACGTACCATTGATATTCTCTTCGTGCAATCCGAGCAAACCAAGTGGACGTTTGTACTCGGTAAAGCCCAGCTTATTCAGACGTCCCTTCCTAACTATTCTACCCAGACACGTCGAGTAGCAATAGTTGTACGCGATCATGATGGAGGGATAGAGTGATTGAAAATCCAGCACTACCACCGGGTTGTTATAGAACCGCGAGTCGGGCTCCATATTGAGGGCTATACTCTCGATGGCGTTTTGACTAGATACCTAGCCACTGTCAATACCAGTCCCAATACGATTAGATGTAGGTACTCACTTGTCTCCTAGACGGCGATACCAAAATGTAGGATTCCGGCTTCGCAATTCGAAACATCAACGACTCCACCTTTAGCTGCGAGCCGCGGTTGAATACGGACTGAAAGTCGACACCGATGAGCCGAGCATGCTCGCTGTACACATCAGCTTCTAATCGCCGCACCAAGACAGCGGCACGTCGGAAAAATCCTACCTGACGATAGTGATAAAATCCTGCTTCTCCAAAATCTCCAGGTCGAGCCGGACGCGTATGAGGAAGTATTTGATGACTCGATGAATGAAGGCCATGATACCACCCTGGAACCAGGCGGTCAGGTCCTTGTATGCATAGTGCGGTATTCTTTCACACCGTCAGCTCCTTCAGGTTTCGCTCACATCCCAGCTATGAATCCGCCTTACCGTTTACCCAGCAAATGAAACACCACATTCTCCATGTTGTAGCCCAGAAGTCGCAACTCACCCTTCATGGCCCGCCAGATGTTGATGGTGTGTCTTCCCGTGATCTTGACCACACCTTGGTGGCTCACATTGTACAGATCCACGTCGCTTCCGGCACGGCCGGAGGTGTAGATCTTGGCCCTTGAGAACTCGTTGATAAGATCCAATCCTAACACTACAGTTAGACTGATGGCACGGACACGGTAGTGCTAGGAGGCGAAGCTTACCCTCAAGATGCTTTGCGCGTTCGATGATGTACCCCCACGAACTCGAATGAATCTCGTAGCCCGTGAGAATATCAGGGTCCAGGTCTCGCACGATATTCACGAGTGAATTCATCATGTACATTTCATCCGGCTCGATGGAAACTTCGACATCGGCGAAGCGCCGGAACATGTCTTCTGTGAGGCCGTCGCCGACTGCCAGGATGCCTAATCGTGTCTTTCCACCACCTCCGGGCTGGACACACCAGAAGACACAGGCTATGGAATTGATTTTTGGATCCGGCACCAAATCACCAATCGTATTGACTGCGATAATAACGTTAGTCCTGGCATGGATATGTGGAGGCTTGCAGAACTCGTACCATGGATTTCGAGACCCATTACACACATTCCAGCGCTTTTCTTCAGAGGGCCCGATTTATTATTTTTCCGTGCAGGTTTGTGGGCGAGACCATGACTATTCTGCGTTGGGCCTTCGATCTTTCACAAGTCAGCAATGCCAGTAGGATTATCCGGGCAAACACACCAACTCACCTGAGAGAGCAGCTGTGCTCTGACTCTGTCACCGTTCAGTTCTCCACTCTTGGCCAGCGTATCCGACTCCCACTTACAAACCTCTTCCAGCGTGGGAGCCTCCAATGCGTACATCCAAGTCGATATTCTAGTCGACCGTACCCTTCCATTTGGCCACTCGACTTTTGGCCATTTGTAGGGCCTCTTATACCCCTTCCCCACATCAGGATCAAAAGCGGGCAAGTGAATTGGATCATGCGTTTTTATGTCGAACTTCGTCGGTCCGTATTGATACTTCTTTCTGGGCATATCTGCTCGCTTCCCGTAGAAAGTGTTCGTGTAAATAATCCCCAATTTCGACTCGGATTTCTGGATTTCCGACATCGATGGAGGTTGTTTGGAGTAGTGGAAAATCGGATGGGTGCCTCCGATACTGAAGGCCTCACGTAGACCTAGCACAGCGGAATCAGGCGGCTGCGAGGGGTCATGAGAAGATCGAAGATCGAACCACAGCAGTGGTAAACTGTCTGCGGTAATGGCCGAACCCGATCAGCGACCATATCGCGAGGATTCAAATAAGAGGTGGATTTACCTGAAATTTCAGAGAATTTACGTTTTGCATGTTGCGTCAAGATCTCAGTACGAAGTTCACCACTTGCAGGCAGAGACGGGTGACTTTCAATATGGTTCTGTTCTCCTAGCACACCGTGTTCCACCGTTTGCTGATCCTCCAGCCCTTCGCAGCCCAAGGCTTCCAGTGGTATAGCATCGAAATCGATCCCGTCGAGGCCATAATCCTCGTCCTCCTCGTCCCCCTCCGGTTTTCCTCCGGCTTTCCCTTTCATCTGAACATCAACCGTCTTATCCATGGATTCCACACGTTCTGCGGCGGCATTCTCCCGGCTTCCCACCTCCTCAGCGGCCTGCTCTCCTTTACCAGGCCTTCTCGGGGGCACAGTATCGAAGGACGCCAGATAGTCGACGCTCTCGAACGCCGTGGGAATATAGCATTCGTACGGGATCCTCCTCAGGATATTCCTGAGCGTGACCTTTCTAGCATGGCGGGAGCGGTTCTCATAATCAATGTGATCGCGGATGGCGTCTCTATAATCTTGCTCCTCCACCCACGGCTCCTGCTTGGTATCCTCTCGCGCGGTAGATGCCGGCACAGACCAGCCGCTAGCCTCGGGTTGCGTCCGCTCGCCGTGCGCTTTCCATAGCTCGTCGAGACTGTGAAGGTGCTTTAAGCCGGTGGAACAGGCGGCGGCGGACTCGGCGGAAAAGTCTTGGTGGATCCGACGCTCGACAATCTCGTACCGGTTCAGAATGTCCGCCGCTCGTATGTCAACTTCCCACCCGTGGTAGGAATGTTTCGGGAATCGGTCCTCAGGTAATGCATCGTGATCTTCATCAGATCGAGAGCCTTCCGGTGATCCCCACTCCTCCTCCTTCTCCTCCTCGTCCTCATTTTTTTTATACACCCGCCTATACTTGACCCTTTCCTCATCAACCTCGACAAACCCGCAGCCATAGAGGTTATAATCAATTAAAAACTGCATAGTATAATTGATATGGCCCTCAAACGGCTGCAGCGGTCTTCCCGCGACCCCTCCACCGAGGAGTTCATCCATCAGGCCGGATATATGCCTCGGGCTGTAGAGGTAAATCTTGCAGTAGAGCTTCCAACCGACATTGTAGCCGTAGAACGGGACGCCCTTGACGAGGGCAATCGTGGCGACGTACTGCTGGACGGTCTTACCGTCGCTCTTCTTCCTCGTCCTGTTGTTATTGTTGATGTATCCTCCCTTGGAATACCGTGCTTTCAGCGCAGCATCGATGTTCCGGCGGAGTTTCCGGATCTCGACTTGGGCGGTTTCCACTGCTCACTGACCGTCAGACCTTCGAATCCCCTATTACCTTCCCCACCTTCCTCGCACGGGAATACTCACGGTTGAACTGTTTCGGGGTGACATAAGCGGCGGGATACTCGACGTATAGGTACGGGAGCACTCCGTGGACGTGGGCACACACGCGCTCTCCGCTCTCGGTGGACCCAAATATCCGCAACACTGGGACTTGCGGCGAGACATCGCGGGAAATCGTGGGCAGAGAGGGATCTAGCTCGCTCGGGAGTGTGCTGTAGAAGTCGAGGTTGTCGAGGCGGACGCGGAATACCATCACTGGACGATGAAGGAGGTGGGGAGTCGCCGTGGAGAGCCGTAGGGGGAGCTGTAGGGGAGCTGCGCTGGCGGGATATATAGACGATAGTGAGATGACGCGACAGGGGACGTGTAGATTGGCCTGGCACGTGATAATCCGTGACAAGACACGTGATATTCCACGGGCGAGTTCAAGTGTCACTACACACACGATAGGGAGGTTTCTGCACCGCTGCATATCACACATCTTGTCATCGGTGGTATTATGTTTTCTTATAACAGTATGATATCATTAACACCCCCGTCTATGCTATGCCTGGGTATTCTATGCCCACTGTCTACGAATGACCGGTCTTGCAGGATCCCATGGTCCATGAATTTCGCTGTTCATCATTAGCACGCACACGTAGCCACCATGGAGGGAGCCGACATACTTCTTATACTTCTGCAGATCAATCATCCACCAGCCACAACCTCCCATGCCGGCAATGACACCGAGGACCCAAGCCAGGGCCCACCCCCAGCCCGCCACAAACCACAGGCCCGCAGCGGCGCCCAACACCAAGACCACCGTCAGGGCCACATGCCAGTTCCAGCTGATATGTTTCAGGGTGCGCCTAAAGACCGGAAACAGGCCGAAAACCTGGATGCTGAAGAGCATGAGCGAGAACACGTGGCTGGTGTCCGTCAAACGCGACGCGAGCACGACGCTGCTGGTGATGGCCGCGTTCGTCGAGAACGACGCGGGAAAGTTCCGCTCCACACTGCTGCTATAGTCGAAGCTGAGGAAGTTTGCCATGAATAGCCACGTCGCGATCGCCCAGATGCTGTCCGATGTTACGCCTTTGGTTAGCGAGCGCAGGATGGGCGAGAGACCGAGCAAAGTGAAGTAGATTAGGAGCGCGGATTTGAAGGTGCTGATTATGCGCGATTTGCGCAGGGAGGTGTTGGCGGGCTGGTAGGCCGGCGGCGGAGGAGGAGTAGGCGGACGCGGGGTGGTCGGTGAGGAGCTTGGGTACACAGCGGAGTCGAATGGCGGAAAGTAGCTGCCGCTGTTGAAGGACGACCGCTGCTCGCTCGAGAAATCTAGTCCTAGGCCTTTATGGTTTAATGCTGTCGCCGATCCTCCTCCACCGCCCCCTCCCCCTCCAGCAGCGAGATCGTCCCGAGAAGTAACCGCACGATCCCACACCGCCCATCCCGCAATCGTGAGGACCGTCGAGACGGCGACAACGGAAACAGGGGAAACAATCTCAATGTAGATGGCCACGAAACTCGTCACGAAGATGACGGCGCTCGCGAGGTGCTGCACGACTACGGTACTCTCGGCCACCAGCGAGTAGAAGTCGTACGGGTGCACGTTGATGTTCCGCTGCAAGTCCTTGAGGAAGGTTGGGTCAACCCAGTTGTCGGGATCTGTTTGCTTCGCCAGTTAGATGGATTCAGAGCGAAGGGGGGAAGATGGGGGGAGGGGAGGGTACAATCTTGCTTCACCCATAGAAGCTTTTTCCATGCCGCCCGCCGACGGGGTTGATGTGAGCTCGATCCGTGCCGCTTTTTTCGGGGTTCGGAGGTGGACATGCGCCGGGTCGTTGTGATGCCATTCGCGGCGGTGGTGATGATCGGTACGGGTTGCGGTAGGGGTAATTGTGATTGCGTCAGGGAACTCCGTGGTGGGTGTTGCGGGGGTGCGACGGGTGTGGGCATAAAGAGTTCGGGCATCGTGGCAGTGGCCGGTGGGGCGGGCAGGAGGTCGCGAGTCGAAGGTTTCCGTAGACTTCAGGGAGGCATCGGTTACTCGAGCACGTCAAGCACGTCGAGTATATACTCCGACACGTCGGATCCTCGGACGCCAAGGCACTAGACGAGAATGGTTGTAATTACTTTTTTCGAGTATTCTCTTTGTCTTTTCCATATATTCTTTGTCGGTCTCTATCGCTCTGAAGATTTTATACGGTCGCAATGGTCTGCATTCGGGGCCGGATATAAATGCTTTCGACTAACAATCCGATGAGATTTGGTGGGGAACGAGAGGTTTGTATTGAAGAGACATACAATATACGTAGTAGAGTATGCTACAAAAAGCTCCTCCGGTCACATCCTGCCCACCGTCTTGACGTGAAAATCTGTACCTATCGCTATGACGGATTATACTTGAGGATCAAACAAGTCTTTGCTTGAGTCTATCGGATGAAAACTGGCTGCGAAGAGGAGGCCTATGCAGGGCAGACGGCGAAGCTTCACCAACGATCACTCGTTCTAACAACACCAACACCCGACGTGTCTAAATAACCGATGCCCCTATCTGGCAAGCCTTTTGCTAGGTGATGGAATCGGCAGGCAGGGATGCGCGTTGGTGGGGCTCGTCTGTATCGCAGGGCTTTTGGGGCGGGAGAATGGAGGAGAATGGGGGAGAATGGAGATTGCGTTCCATATTATCTTCACGAAAATGGGGCTGGACTGGGCGGAGAGCAATCGTTAGGGAGCTGACGACCATGGGTCGCGGACAGTCGACAGTGGGCGGAGAAAGGGTTCGGCAGCTGTCATGATCCAGCAACGTCGATGATGCACCGATGATTGCAAAAAGAAAAAAAGGGCGCGGGCGAACTTTCTCGCGTCGAGCCGGGGTAAGCTTCCACTACCATCCACTACTCTACCACCCCCGCAACCAGCAATCCGCGACCGATATATAATCCGCAACAACGGCCCTCCACCAGACGACATTCACGAGCCGCAGACCGCATTTCCCACCAAACCACAGCTGAGCCCGACCGTCTCTCTACGAAGACCACGATGCCGTCCCCGCCCGCCGCCGCCGATGCCTCCTCCAGCTCCATCACCACAACCACCACCCCACCCACAAGTGACTCGGTAACAGCCTTGGAGTTCGTCATCTCTACCCTCTAGCTGCCACGCGCTAACCCGCAGTAGTTACATCAACTCGCAGCTACAGCTCGAATCCGAAGCGCGCGAAGCGCTCCCGTACAGCTTCGACGCGTGCACGCGGCCTCTGGGGGTATTACGGCAGAGCCTGTACGCGTGCAAGACGTGTACGTCGCGGACACCCAGCACACCTCCCCCGTTCGGCTGGCTCAACGACCACGCCGGCGGCGGCGGCGCGGCGCTCTGCTACAGCTGCTCGATCTCCTGCCATGGCGACCACGAGCTCGTCGAGATCTTTGAGAAGCGCGGGTTTCGGTGCGATTGTGGAACGCTGAGGGTGCCCGGCGTCGCATGCAAAATTAGGAAGGAGATAGATGCGGAGGCGGAGGATGAGAGACTATACGGTCAGAACTTCTGGGGCAGGTTTTGTATCTGTGAGGCGGTGTATGAACCGGAGAAGGAGGATGGTGTCATGCATCAGTGTTTACTCGGTGACGTCTGCCAGGAGGATTGGTTCCACGATACGTGTATGGTGGGACGCGAGCCGCCGGCGTATGTTAAGGAGCAGAAGAAGAAGGAGAAGGAGGAGGCGGAGTTGAGTGGGGAGGAGAGTGTGAATGGGACGAAGGATATGAACGGAAAGTTACCGGCCGGCACAGGTGAAGAAGCAGCTACCACATCGGTTGCGGAGAAGGAAAAGGACAGTACACATACTAAAGGTTTCGCTACAGTAGCAGACGAAAATCGGGAGGAAGATGAGGAGGAGGAGGAAGAAGATGACGATGACCGTGCCAAACGTCTCGGCTTCCCCGAGGACTATGCCAACGTGATATGTTGGAAATGTCTGGAAGCGAATCCGTGGCTGAAGCAGCTCGCCAGCTATCCGAAATTCTTCGCACTCGAGCGGAAAGGAGCAGTAAGCGAGCAGGAAGCAACCACCACGGTCGCCATTGGTTGCTCCCCACCGAAGACCGAAGCCTCACAGCCAGAGCCACAACACGGCCATAAGCGCAAAGCGTCCGATCCCTCGGAGGAAGGGTCCTCCTCCTCCTCCACGAAACGCGCACGGGCGGAAGACCTTAAGGTGGAGACCACGGTCACCTGCACGCTCCCCTCCCCATCTCCCCTCCCCACTGTATTCTCGCTCCTCCTACCCAAGGCATTCCGCAAGGCGCTCTGCCACTGTCCCTCCTGCTTCCAGCACCTCCGGGCCTTCCCGATCCTCCGGGAAAAGGAGGAGGCGCATGAGCCGCAGGTCAGCCGCTCCGCCTCGCCAACCGGCAGCATCTTCGAGGAGGGCGAGCGCGCGCTCAACGGCATGGACCGCGTGCGTGCCATCGAGGGCGTGCTGGCGTACAACCAGCTGAAGGATCGCGTCAAGGCTTTCCTCGAGCCGTTCGCTAAGAGCGGGAAGGTCGTTGGTGCCGAGGATGTGGCGGCGTACTTTGAGGGACTCAAGGAGGAGAGAAAGTAGTGCTCAAATATCTATCTATCTTTCGGAATGGAATGGAATGACATGTGATGGTTGCTCTGTATTGTTACCTATCTCCTGTTTCCATGTAGCATACATACCCTCGGGAAAAGCATAATTGTCATGTACCTACCATTCCTACTGTAATGTGCTTTGGTGATTTCGCTGGCGCGGTGTATGTTGACTGTCTTTGTGCTGCGGCCCGGGTTGAATCGCCGGTGGTGATCCGGGAAGCGGACTACATATTCCCGGGCTTCGATTCGCTTCTTCTCGCTAGTTAGTCCGTCGCTTTAAGGTGAGCTGGCATGCAGCGACTTCCAGGGAGAAGCAATTCACGTCTTCCATAGCTATCTTGGCGTCGGCGCTATTCGACACTATTCAACACCATGCTTGTCGGGTTCATCGGGTTCAGCGAAATTCATCGGGTTCATCGGCCGGATTGTAGTTTATTCAATCATAGCATTCGACCTCAGTACTGCAGATTATAGTTACTTGGAGCCTATTTGGGTGGCTGCTGGAAGCTGCATCTTGAATCTACCATACGATACCAAATTTGGATGCAGTTTGAAAGTTGAAACCCTCAGTTTCCGGGTTATGGGGACTTGGTGAGCGTTCGGCACACCAGCCCAAGTGGCATGATAATTTGAGAAACTACAAATTGTCGACTGAGATACAACTTTACAGATCAACTCTACGGTCAACTGGCACGTAGACCCGGAGTGAGGTGTGCTGTTGAACATCTGGGATGCTGAATGGGCCATTGGGGGAGACGAGAGCTTGTGGCTGCAGCTTTGGCAACCTTCCACTCGTCAGAAACCCCAGGTTTGACATTGAAATTGCAGTTGGTTCCCGGACAGGCACGTGCACTATCCCCAAAATTCAATTCCTTTCCTTTCTTACCACCGATTGTGAGTGCGTGACGTGTGTTTTCCCTTCAAGGTGCTTGCCCTCCCACGTGGGGCGTGGGTTTCGCCGCCGTCCGGGTAAATTCCTCGCTACCCCACAAAACCCGCATCGCGCCCACCCCCCAAGCTTCTTTCTTACACAACTTCATTTTCCTCTCATCTCATCTTCTCCTGCCAACCAAGTAACAAAATCCGACACTCGGAAACATCACAACATCAACGCACCCAATAATACCACCCGATTACCCATCCTCAGTCACTAATGTGAGGGCCAATTCAAAGCCCTACGAGGGCGTTACTACCGACTCTCGAAAGACGAAGACGAAAGAAATCCTGCGACAAAATCAATCATTTGGTTCGATTGCCCTGTATATCAAATGTTTTCCTTCGACGGAAGTGGCACTGATCGTGCCTGTCAAAGCGGCTATTGAGTTCGTGGTTGGTAAGTTTCTTCCTTCCGTGCCTATCCTATCCCATCTCGCCGTTCTCTTACTGATTGCAATAGCTTCTACCACTTCTCCAAGTTTTCTGGCATGGGAGCCTTTTCCGCCCCCCAGTGCTAGCACCGTTCCCCGAAGGCTGTGTGTCCTGTGACGTTCCGTTTCGCAATGCTGTTTGCAACGGAATTGGTGTTGGCGCATTGTGGAGGGCTTAGGCCCCGCTACCTGGGATTGGGCTTCGGCCCTTTCTATGACACCTGGGATGGGCTTCGGCCCTGCCCACAGCGAAGGGTTTCGCGGCTGCCGACAATTCCGGCTACAAAGGCCGGTCGAGCGCACTGCTGAGGATCCCGATGAGATCCACCTATCGGCTGTTGCCTGTGCTTTATGCACACCTGCTCAGAATACCCCATATGTATGTTGAACCTGTTGTTGTTTTAATGTTCAAATGGCTGATAATTGTTTCAGGGATAATAAGATCCTTTGCTTCGCGGCGCCGGATTGGGCCGGCAGGCATCCTGCGACTCAACCAGAACAGCAGACTTTTCTCGCGCGCAAATGAATGAAGTTGACGTGGAGGAGGAGATCTTCGCGGTGTCAAGAAATGGCGAGCCGCGTTTCTGAAAGAGAGGGCGCAGGCGTTGCTCGACGAAGACACACGGGTTCGTGTTAAGGAGATGATGCATGGTCTGATGGCTGCAGAAAGAATTGAGTTTTGGCTTTTTAGTTGCTTGCATGTGGAGTGATTGTTTTTGTTATTTTTCTTTAGCATATCGGATCTGAATAGGAGGATGGTCTTGTTCATCGCCCATTGTGCCTGAAGATATTTTGGTCTAGTGTGAGAGATTCATTGTAATAAAAAGGCGTGGATACTTGTGAGAGTAACCCAACATCACCGTCCGGCGACAAGAATAGTGAATACTGCGCCTTATCCTTTTGATTGTTTCCACCGAGCCGAGCTACGTCACAGGGGGTGGAGAGACAGGTGTAGGTTATGATGTCGAGCTGATGTCAAGTGGTATATGTATGGTGAGGTGACTGTGCGGCCGAATAAGAGATCCCTCGCCGCCGACTAAGAGATCCCTCGCCGCCGCCGCACGACCTATGCCCGCTCCACAAGCCAGCCTTCTTCAGCCAGCTGGTGGGCGGTTCCTTGCTACATAGTGACGCAATTCTGACTACCCCCTGTGTCCCCCACTCGCCCTCCGTTACGGTGAAATATTTTTGACGATCTAAGGGATGTGAGATAATCTGCATCACAAAGCAAGAGTTCTGTTTCGAGGCATGTACAACACATCACGCGTCGATTCTCCTGCGGCATGCTACTGCCTACTGTGCCTACTGTGCCCACAGTGCTCTCGACCAGGGACTCCGACTTCCCTCCGCACTCCAGAACACTCTCGATAGCCTTGTGCAAAACAATCCTGGTATCGACCGGCTCATGCTATTAGTAGATCCGAGAATGCCATCTGATGCTTTCAAGTAAACCTCCAGGCTGCGGACATCTCCATATGGAGATTCTAGATTCCACCCGACCCAGTAGTCCACGATCCGGGACAGCAACCGGTGTGACGCAGGTTGCAGGTGTGTATTCATGGATGCACACGCCGACTACACGTGGGGAAGGGGTGCACTCGTACATAGAGTCGGTAGGTACCGGTAGCTTTCCGCAACGACGTGGTGACGCGCGCGCGCCCGGCAAAGTGGGCTCGGCGACGAATCCCACACACACACACACATGGACGGGAACGCGCTCAGGATCGCTCGGTAGGGGGTCGCCACGCTGAAACGAGTCGGGTTCTTGGGCGTGGCTGGAGTCGTGACGGGACTCGGGAGGGCTTGGGACGTGGGCCCTGGGGACACTGGAACGTGGATCGCGACAGGGTCAGGCACCACACCACACCACCACACCAAATCTTCGTTGGAAATACCGGTAGGTACATATCTATGTGGCTTCGTCCGTTGCGACGGTTCGTGGAGGCGGCGGTGGACCGGTTTCCCCTGTGCCACAGATACATATCAATTCCATCATGTATATAGGCTTGGCTGGACGCGAGGGATGATAGAGTTCCCTGTGTTTGGGCGTTGCTGAGGCTATCCTCGTGGTTAGTCGACACACATGGGACCCGACGCTTGCGAAGTGTGAAACTCAGATCGCGTCGCAGCGTGGTGCCTGGTGGCAGTGGCCATGTCGCGTAAAACCTCCGATGCAAAACCCGCGTCCCCTGAGGACATACACTCGGCCGATTAGGGTTTCCTCCTCCAGGTGATAGATCTGCCACTGCATGCGCCGGCTGTTCCTGGGCTCTGCCTATGGTTCGCGGTTCTCCTTCCTGGTGTGCCACTCCTTCGCCAGCGTCAACCTGTGGGGTTCTGGAATTGTGGTGGTTTCTTCGGTTGGTGAGGATATCCCACGGGTTCCATTGCCAGTCCTCAAGGTCTTCGTTTCCCTTATCCGCAAGGTCTCCATACAACTCTAGTGCACGTAATCCACGGAATCCCGCCTCTTTTCAGTACGAAGTGCACAGTGTTAGCTCCATTGGGAAATCCTGAGGCTGGAAAGTTGAGCGAGTGAGGTACCATGAACGAGTGAGCGAAAACGATGGAGGCTCTTCACACCTGTCGACGCGTACTATGTATTCCCATCTACACACACGATCGCGGTCAAACATCTTCCTCGGCATCTAGTGCAATGTTTTAGATGGTATTGGGGTGCTTTAAAAAGCTTCCTCGCGACGTGAGCCGAGCGGTTACTCACATTGTCACGTCTGCTGGTAGTTACTCGGTTCCCTTCGCGAATGTTGGAATCCCCCGGCTACAGGTGCCCTAACCATACCCTTACCTCACCTTGCTTCCCTACCACTTACCTCACCCTACCTATCCCATCTACATACACCTGGATATCATCCACTGAACCCTCCTCCATCAACTCCCCCTCTCCATTCCAAACAAACCGCCCCTCCACCTAGTCGGATCCCACTCACTACAACCGCCAACCCCCCGCTCTTTCTCTCAAACTCCTTACCTGCTACCCTCTTCTCTTCTCTCCCACACCTAATCCCCTCCATCCCATCTCTCCCCCTCCCTCCTCCTCCCCACCCTGTTCCATTTCACCCACCCCAGTCTTTCTTCAACCCCCCCTCAAGAGATCATCGCGAGCAGCACACTCGGGTTTACAATCAGCGACCTCGAACTGTACCTCTCGAATACACACCTCGGACTCCGACAGCTTTCTCCCGAGGAGCGAGAACTTCTCGATCAATCAGTAGGTTTCAAGCACACAGCACGCGCGACCGCAACAAAGACAATCAAAGCGGTAGCGAGCAGAAACAACAGACTAATCCCTCTTGGAATTCCCGGGAATCGTCTCCTACCTCGATCACCCACTACTCTCCCATCGTGTTGATCCGAAACAACCCCTGACTTGATCACACTCCAACTAACCAAACAACCCTTCGAAACTTCTTCAAGTTTCCTACCTTTACCACCACAACCACCACTACCACTTCCACCTAACGACAGACCCACCTCGTCGCGTCATTTCCAACAAGAAACCCCCATCACAAGTTAACAATGGCTACCACCCGCTCGTTGAAGGTATGTACTCTTCCCACCCGACGCGAAGGAGAACAAATACCAGTTCCCTCTCGTTCTGCCTCCCCAAGTGTGCGAGCTAATACGGACGGGTTACAGTGCGTTGTTACCGGCGATGGAGCCGTCGGCAAGGTAAGCAAAGCTCCTCCTGAACCCTTATCTATCTCTCCACCTCCTGCTTCAAGCTTTCAACGGCGAGAAACTTAGCTGACATTTGTCCCCGCCGTGCCAGACTTGTCTGTTGATCTCGTACACCACCAATGCGTTCCCTGGAGAGTACATCCCGACTGTGTACGTTCCTTTCCTCTTCTGTTTCCTCTGCCGAGAACATGCCCAGCTCATCTCGACGTTCACAGCTTTGACAACTACTCCGCCAATGTCATGGTCGACAACAAGCCCATTAGTTTGGGCTTGTGGGATACCGCCGGACAGGAGGATTACGATCGCCTGCGTCCTCTGTCTTATCCTCAGACGGATGTCTTCTTGATCTGTTTCTCGATCGTCAGCCCCCCCTCGTTCGACAATGTTTTGTCGAAGGTATGTCACATCTGCCCCCCTCCTCCTCCTCCTCCCTCACGCCGTTACGATCACTGCGTCCGATAGTCTAGACCTGAGCTGATAACAACTCACCCTTCTCAGTGGCATCCCGAGATTTCCCATCACGCGCCGAATGTTCCGGTCATCCTCGTTGGCACCAAGCTGGATCTGCGCGATGATCCCAAGACCGTCACCGCCCTCCGTGAGAAGCGCATGGCGCCAATCACGTACCCGCAGGGGATACAGCGTTGTAAGGAAATTCACGCTGTTCGGTATGTTCCCTATTGCAAGTACGTCGCTACACGTGCATGCGATGACCCATTTACGGAGACGGCGATACTAATTGTCCGGGACCAGATACCTTGAGTGCTCGGCCTTGACGCAGAAGGGCCTCAAGAATGTCTTTGACGAAGCCATTAGGTGAGTTTCACGCGATCTTACCTGTAACGTCTATCGTTCGTTCTAACCGTTGCGATAGGGCCGTTCTCATGCCGGCGTCAAAGCCAACCAGAAACAAGAAGTCCTGCACGATCATATAGGCACTGGATACCGCGAATCGGTGTACTTGGAGAGGCGGGAGCGAGTCACGAGGTTCTTTCAACATTTGTGTCTCTGTGTTTGCCAGCATGTCTTTCCCTGTTTTCCTTTACGTCCTAGTCGGTGATTGTGAATGGGTTGCCATTTGGCACACGACTTCTTTCTGATGATGGCTTTCCCCCGCAAGATCGCGATAACAAGTGTGCTTCAAGGTTGCGAATGTTTTTTTCCTTTTTTTCTTTTCCTTCTTATTATTCCCCCTCTTCTTGCCCCAAGTTCTGTTCCACCATGTAGTTTCTCTTTTCTTTTCCGCGCATCAGAACGTTGTGTTTAACTAGTAGGTCGTTTGTGTACAATTGTTGTTTCTGTTTCTGTCTCTGTCTCATCTCATCGTTCTCCCTTCGTGAAACCGACTCCCTACTCAAACATAACACCCCCTCTATGGTGGTCACGGCGCTTCTGTGTTTGGGCGGTTTCGCGATTGAATCCTTTAAGATCATGCACTTGTAGGCAATGGCGTCGTTTCCCGGTGCCTTTCGGAGTATTCCAAACATCAAATGGTATTCCTTTCCATCTATCTGACTAGATCTCTATACCTCGCGGTGACCTTTCCAGAGCTCACACATACTGATGTGAACATTCCAAAGCTTACAGATACCGATGTGACCTTCCAGCGCACGACAATTGCTAATTAATCCAGACGACGTCTTCGGCTCGGGTGCATCCCATTGCCCTCATCGTCGGCCTGAGCCTTACGCTCACTCCTGTCCTTCACCCGCTCCGCAGCCGTACGCTGTCGCTCCTCGCGCAGCTTCTCGTTCTTGACCGCCAGTTTATCCCTGCGCACTTTACTCTTCCCTCCGCCACCTCCCGCACTGTATATCCCGAACAGTCAGTTCAGCCATCCATCCATCCATCCAGGGTTGGGGAGGAAAAACGTACGTCAACTCGACATTGATCTTCCTCGGCTCCGACTTTCCATCGTTAAACATGCTGTGGTGGAATTTCGACAGGCACAGCTCCATCTTGTCGTAGCGTGCGAACTCGAGGAACGCGTAGCCCTTGCATTTGGTCGGGTTGTCCTTCATGGTGAGCAGACGGACGGAGGTAGGCTCGACGGCGGCGAAGTGCGTGGTCACGGTGGCCTTCGTGGCTGTGTAGGGGAGGTTGCCTGCGACTGACTGTTAGCAGTCGGGCCGTGGAGACGGGGGACGAGGGCACGAGGAGACGGACCGATGAAGACTATGAACCGCGACTTTTTCTTCGCTTCCGTGGACTCCGCCGCATCTTCTCCTCCTTCCGTGGTGGTGTCCTTCGATTTCGGGTCCTTCTTCGCCGCAGGCTTCTTCTTCTTCGTCTTCGGCTTTGCAGACTTCTCCTCCTTATCACCTTTCACGGTGGCAGCAGCAGCCTCCACCTTCTTCTTCTTGGTTTTCGCAGGCTTCTCCTCCTGGGCGGCGCTTCCGACTGTTGCAGCAGCAGCCTCTACCGTGGTGGTAGCGTCGCCCTCACCCTCGGCGGCCTCCTCCTCCTTCGAGCGCTTCTTCTTCTTTCGGCTCTTCTTGTCCCCCACTTCTTGCACTTCCGCGTCTTGCACTTTGTCGGATTTCCGTTTCTTGCTCTCGCCCGACTTCGCCGTCTTCTCGGGCTTCTCGGTCTTCTCCGCCTTGTCGCCCTTCACCGTCGCCGTCACTACATCGTCCGAGGCCTTGTCCGATCGCTTCCGCTTCTTGGTGATCTCCTGGGTAGACATGTTCGCCGTTCTATTCCGTTCCGTTTGGGGGGGAGAATCGGTGGGGGGTACGTGGTGGAGGGTGGGGCGGGATGTCTGGCGCGCGTGAGTGCAGAACTCTTGGTGTTTTACTTTTACTTACACCGTTGCCACGGTCGGTCGAGCTTTTTTGCAAGGGCCAAGACGGAGCTACAGAAAACTACGTGACGCCGACCGGGGTCCGGCACCACACCACAATCTGGGATGAAGTTGATCATATGTGCGTGCTCCACATCGAGCGTCTACATATCTCTCGGGTTGTCAGTCATGGGATCTGCGTATGTACGGTACTGCCGTCACTGTGTTCATGCAAGATAATGCTTTGACCAACAGAGACAAAGAAACTAACGGGGAGAGATTGGGAATATTGGAAATTACTTCTGCTTTCCACGGTAGTTATGCCTGGGAACTGGCCACCGCCGCCACCTAGGTACATAGGCCCCAGGTGTCGATGTCTGGGCAGTCAGCCTGCGTACCGTGCTGCTCCGTCGCTTTCCGTCGTGGCGTGCGCATTCCTCGCAACCTATGTCCCAATATTGATCCCGGAGGCTCCACGCTCGCAGCAGCATCCTCTACCGCTCCGACCGACCGCCCTGGTAGCCACGCCTCCTGAGTCCTCATCCGCCCAGCTTCCACCTGCGGAACATCGTGAGGAATCAGGCCGAATAGTACCCCTCTTTATCCCAGGTCACGACCGCTCACTCGCTGCCCATCCCGCTCGATAAATTTTCCTTCGTGTAGGTAGTGCGTAGTGCGTAGTGCGTATTCCTTGCACCAGAACGTAGCACCGCTCCCGCGTACCCGCGCACATCGTGGGCAGTTGGAGCCTTGCAGTAGGTACGGTACCGGGGTTGTTTTCCGGGTTGTTTTCCGGGTCCTTCGCCTCGGCTGTCAGCTTACTGTGTTCCGTCTTATGGTTAAATCGACGTCATCTGGCCAGGTGGGTCCGATGGAAGGTAGGTAGACAACAAGGCTGGCGAGTCGAAGGTCAACGGCTGTAACGGAGGAGCCCACTCGACACCGTTGGTCGATGCTCGATTCCTGTGAATATGTAACCAGACGTGGCCGTGACTGTGGCAGTGCAGCCCGAAATAACCGGAAAAGCTGCGGCATTGGTAGAAATGTGGCTGGCCATGTCTATCTCGATGGACCGGAAGATCTGAAGCTATGCATACGAACGTACTTCGCATCCACCACAAGGTCTCGTGATGAGACAACCTGGTACCAAGCATGGGTGCCTTCTTGACGAGTAGAGTAAACACCTAACATGTATGTTGTACACCATGTTCATTAGATAACCCAGCTTCACGCCCACCACGGTCATTGTACCTCTCCAGCGAGCCTTGCCGAGATTGAACATGGCAGTTGGGTGATCAGAGTGTATCAAGTCGGTATAGTATAGTGGTTAGTACGAAGCTTTGTGGTTCCAACGGATCAGCTTAGACCCATGTTCGATTCATGGTACCGACAATATGAGAATTTCCTTTTTTTCGCATGTTCTCGGCTTCTGGGACAAGCGGATGTGGCTGGAGAGGGGTGCGTCTAATTTTTTTTCAGTGGTGACGATAGTCGGGTCGAATAAGTCACCCATTCGGAGGCCTAGGCTGGTGGTCCCGTACTCTACATGTCAGGAAGTTGCGAGCTGCTGTTGCTAGAGGCTCATCGTCTCCGATAGAGGCGACCACGCAAGCCACCGCGTGGCGTTGGGAGTGGCGGGACTGGAGAGAGATACGCGAGATATCTAACGTAGGGGACGCACCCTTCGGCCTACTAGCTGTGGAAACTAGCCACGAACTGGGAAAGGAGGCCTCTGGTAATGTTGATGGCCTTCCGGAAAATGAAAAATAAAGTAGGACTGGGCTGGAGTGAGGTGGAGCCTTGCGGCAGCGGCGGAGGCGGAGGCGGGGGTTGGAATTAGGTAGGCTCCTCTGGAGGGATCGGTGAACTACTGGGTAGATGGAGAAGAGAGGAGGAGTAGGATAGGGAAGAGATATGGAGGAGGATAGGGAAGAGATATGGAGGAGGATAAAGAAGCGGCGGTTGAGGGGGAGGGATATGTATGTAGTCGCCTGCTATAAATGATGAAACAAGACTGAATACCACATCTTATACAATGGTACTGGAGCATTCTAACTGGAAATTGTGGCCGGCAAACACCTTCTGTTACGACAAGTGTGGCTGCCATTCGGGGGTAGCAAACATGAGTGTTCAAGTCCTCCGCCGTCAAGCTAATCCGTGAACTCTTTCCTTTCACTGCTGAATATCCCAGTCTCGCTCATCTCCTGGACTTATATTCACGATAGGAAAGGCCAGGGCGGAGGGTTGGGGAAGCCACATCTGGCCGCTTCACGAAAGTTGGGTTGGTCAGTGAACATGGAAACGGCATCTGTGTATTGGCCACCAATGCATTCGTCTGAATGTGACGGCCAGGAACGGTGTTGATCCGTCGCTGGTTCGTCCTATTACCTGTACAGCCGAGCCTGCTCCCGACGACTGCCATCACCATTCTTCACGATTCGGTCACTGGATCTGACTCCAATGCAGTTCTGAGAATGGCCGTTGGCACGTTCTTTTCACGCCACTTAAGGTTACGGATGAACTCTGCCTGTTTGCACCTATTCATTTCGATTCCACCGCGTCGGTCGGTCCAGCGACACAAATGCCGTCTTTCAACGGGCGGACATTGTGTGATGGCCAACGTATGTACATCACCGTCTTCCCCAGAACGTATGATACCTACCCATTTTCTTATCCACGCGAACCAAGCCTTGCTGTGCGGAGACGCCAACCGCAGCTGATGGTCAGCGTGGAAACTCTGTGTCTTCATCGTAGTTCTCTTTCCAGCCACACGTCGCCTCCTCTCCGCATTATGCTCAGTCCCCTCCGGATTACCTATGCTGGGTACCCTGCGCATCATTCCAGCGTCCATCGCATTTCTCGCCGCTTGTTTACCGCCCGCTGTTCATTCCCTTGCCCCTGGAATCACCGCCCATCGCGAACACGTCGCAACGATAGGCCAGTACTCCGGGTAGTAACCCCTCACCGCTTGCCGCCCTGAGCACCCGCTGCAGTAAGCATCCCTACGGCTCGCCTGATAGGTCCACCAGCTGAATTCTATTTAGCGTAAGCTACGCGTTCTAATTCTCCACGTTGACCTGCAGGGAGCTTTTTTTTCTCCTCGGTCCCGACGACGACAGCGCACACCGCAAACAGCGCGAGGCTTTCGAAGGGCTGTGGAGGCGGGAGGAGCATTTTCGAGGGATACTTAAAGACGCCTTATTCTCCGTGCTTCCGAGGATACATAAAGACACCTTATTCTCCGAGCTCTCGAAGATACACAAAGCCGCCTTCTTCTCCGTGCATTCGAGGAACTAGCTCTGAAACGCCCGCGAATCAGAAACGAAAACCACAAACCCACAAACCCACACCGGTACCCACGCTACCACCACCATCAGCATGCAGCTCCAACCGCAGCAGCGCACAGCCGCACACCGGGAGCGAACCACACACGCGCAGACCGTCGCCTCACGGCGCTCCCGCATCGAGAAGCCGCGCGGAATCATGACCCGCTCCACACGGCGCGCCGAAGCCGCCAAACACATGGCCGAGCGCAATGCAACCCTCGCAGCGACACGACGGGTGCACTGGGCGGACGAGGACGCACCGACCGACGAGAAACTGGCGAAGGAGGCAGAGTATGTTCTGGCCATGTTCGAGATGGCGTGGGATGGGACGCTGGTGAAGGCCGGGAAGGGGACCGATACTAGGCAGTGGCGGACGTGGGAGAAGGCGGCGTGAGAGCCAGGTGCACGGGGGATGGGAGAAAAGGAGGCGGCGGAAAGGGCTGTGATGGATGTGGCGTAACTCGGCGTATTGGGCGGTGGATTGTTTGCTTTGCTTTGGCCTTTGCTTTGGCCTTTTCTTTAACCTTTTCTTTGGTCTTTTCTTTTTCTGAATTTTGTGTTTTTCGGTCTGTGGGCTCCACAGGATAGCAGGCTGCAGCGACGGCAGCGAATAGTAGTAATAGACCGGCTTTCTTCCCGGGCTCAAATTAGTGATCGGTGAAGTAAACCCTCCAGCTGCCGCCGCATAATATCATCGAGAGGACGAGATGTGTATGGTTTATTCGTCACGATTGCGCATCGTTCGTCAGGCATCTGGTGTGTTAGCAGCCGATCGTATGACACTGCGCCAGTGGGGGAGTGCGGGAAATATCCCTGCTCCCCCGCCTCGCCCCGAGGCTTAAACCAACGACACGCCCAGGTCCGCACCAACTTCCGCACCGATGTCGACCCAAGTATAGTAGCGGTTTCTATACTGATGGTACACTGGGTGGGGTCAAGCCCTTGGGGCTGATACCGGCAGTCGCCAATGGGAGCGCATGGTTCCTGGTTCGCGAGTACCCCCACCGACGTCAGTGCGAGCAGTTTGCTCAAGATCACGGTGCCATTCATGATACACGTGCACGGAAAGCTTGAACTTTGATGGCTGGGGAAGGAGAACACTATTGGGGGCTTCCGAAGAAAACATGTGTCGCTGCAATGCGGATTGCTACATGATATATGAGTCGGGATTGTGACAGTGACGGTGGGCGAGAAAGGGTACATATGGAGGACGGGGTATTTGGTGATAGCAAACGGTCGTCACTCGTGCGGCCATCACTATAAGCGACGCCCATAGGTACCATATAAGGTTGCAATTGCAACTTATCAGCTGCAAACACCAGCGTCACTGTGCACACCATACGATTGAACCGCAAATCCCTTCAATTCCCTCTCAATCAGACTTCGCACTCAAGACTCAAGCCCGACCCTCCACCAAACACTGCGACAATGAAAAAAAACAGAACAGAAACAAGCAAGACACGACCCCTTTCCGCCCAGGTATCCCGCCCCCGTTCCACCCAATTATCTCCACCGTAACGGCTTACTTGGTCTCAGTCTCAGCATCGTCGCTCTGGTCACTATTGTTAGCACGATCCTATAATAGAGTAGCAGTCGATTGTGGGGGGAAGGGGGGAAGGGGGGACGTACGCAGGGAAGGCAGCCTCCACAGCCGCATCCTTCGCCGCAGGCGCACTTCTTGGGGCCGCCGCATCCGCACATGCAGACGCGGTTAACGAGCTCGGTGGTGGCAGAGATCATTGTGCTTGTCAGTGATGAGTGTTTCGTTGGTGGTGTTCGAAGTGCGGATGTAGATATCGAAGCAGGTGTGGTGTGGTGTTTCGATTCGAGGATGGGGGTGATGATTTGATTTGATTCGATGTTCGCTTCGGTTCGGTTGTTGAGATGGATGAGGAAGGAATGTGTCGGAGTTCGAGGGGGGGGTTTTATGCGTATTTCCGTCGGCGAAAGTGAACGTAGAAAGTGGATGATTGGGCGGAATAGAATGCGGACGAATGTGCAGATCGGGGAGTGAGACCTCGTGAGGTCACGTGGATTCAACGAGTGAGGCTCTGCAGTCGGTAGGTCCCGTTACACTCCCGCAACCGAACCGCCACAGGAACATCGCAACCACAGCCAGCCCTCCGCAATAGCCAACCCAACCCGCCAGAGTATTACCCAGACAGCGGCCCCTCCTGACCGCCAGAAGCATGTCTGCAGGCGACTAAACACGATGCCGCACATTCCTAGTGCGAGGCAACTGGGTGGCGGAACGTAAGAATCCGTACGGTACTGTATTCATGCTGGAATCGTCATGACATGTGTCACTGACGTAACCAGCTGAGATACATCATCGAGACACACAAGACCATCAGGATACTGCCCGGAAAAGCAGCGTTGCGGAGCGAGCGTTGGAAGCATATTAAGCGACTTCCGCACCGCCGTGTCGAGTCCGTCCGAAGGCCTGGACGGGGGACTGGTCAGCTGGTGAGAGTATCTGGACTGGACGGACTGCCGCTGGGTACACGACTATGTCGAGCCTTCTCCACCTGTGAGCCCGAGCGGTTTTCGACACACAGCTGGAAGGCTTCACGAACTGGTGGAGTTTCAACGCTGTTCGAGCTTCTATAAACAGAGTTTTGAATCTGCACCAGAGCTCTCAAAGAGCTGTACGCCCGCCAGTCCTGTGGGGCTCTCCATGACAGTCTGATCTGGTGCTGATATTTGTTGGACTAGGGCTTCACAAGGCTCAGTCCCTAGCAAATTGATAGAACGGCGGGGGTCCTGGAACTGACTGGTAGCACACTGCACTCAATATTCTCCGATATTGTGACCAATAGTGACCAGTTGCAGGTATTTGGGAAGCATCCAGTCATATATTTTGTGTTCGATCACTTGGGATGGCCATGAATGCGAATGTTCAACCGGCAATGGCCATTCCACTCCAGCGTGAAGGTTGCTGATCGCCATTTGCGGCGACTTGGTGATAATTCCTGAGTGTTATACTTTGTCGTGCAAATAATAGGTGACTGTCGGCATGATTTCCGTGGCATCTTTTGGCGATGTGGGCCGTACTTTCCAGTCAGTTGCCGTCTTCGCAGCAGGACGCCCGAGTTGGCTGTTTGAGAAGTCCGATCCGCATCTGCCATGCCCTCCACGTTCATCTCCGTGGCCCGTTCTTTGGTCCCACATCATCACATGCTCCCTCCCATTCCAGGAAGGGAAGCGCGGCCGTAAGCAAGGGGACAGCCCAACCCCACCACGCGTTCTCACCCCGCACCCCGCACCCACTACCTATTGTACTGCTATAAGTCCATAGCACCGGTACATGTCTATCGTCGAATCCTACAGCTAACCTTCTCGTTGCACCGTCTTATCGGGGGTCTTCCACCCATCAATATCGCCTCACCTATCACAGCTCTCCCCCCGCAGCAATGCCAACCTCCCTCGCCACCCTCCCACTGGAGCTCTGGGGCGAAATCTTCACATCTTTTGACCATCTCGAAAGCGCAACACGGCTCGCCAGTACCTGCCACCTGGCGAACAGCGTGTGGCTCCTCCATCGTCGTACGCTGTGCACCAAGCTCGTCTTCCTTCATCCCCTGATCGAGACGCCTGCAAAGTCTCGGTGCCCAATTGTGGAATTGTCCCTATGGGATGAGGCTTCCGAGCTGGAGAGGGTTCAGAGAGGTAGCTACATCCAGTTTATCCGGTCAGACATCTTCTCTAACTTGTCATCTGTAGACAGCAAGGACAACGAAGACTACTCCACCACCTGCCGTCGAATCCTGACAAGCGCACGCGCGGTCCGCCGGGCAGCAATCGGCATCAAACACCAGCTGACCGAATATTTCGATACCACACTGCCGTTCGGACACCTACATCGAGGTGGAAAGATGTGGGGCGACTACAGCGTCTACGCCATCTCACGGATCCTGTACAAGCTCCTCATCAGGCTCGAACGGCGCGAGGAAATCTCCATTCGGAACGAACATTGCTTGGGGATCACCTGTGCCTTTGCCTCGTATCACCAGAAACCATTCTGGCAGTTTCCGGATGTCTCGAGGCTACTCGTCGATGTGAATCCGAGGAGGCTGGACCTGATTTCTGTCGAGGAGTGGGTGCCGGTGGTGTGGGCGATCGAGGAGGAATTCGAGAGACTGGACGAACTGTATTATGTTGACGAGTGAAGTGTACTTAGACAGGAGGGTGCTTCAATGCGCACGACACTCATCCGCCCGCTTTTCGGGCCCAGGGTTTTTCTGTGTGGGGCTAGGGTCGAGATGAAGCAGAACAACTGGGCGATCGATGCCGTTGTATGAAACGTGATGGCGACTGGGAGCAGCCTCTCTTGAATGGATTTATTCGGCAGCGAACTTTCAATGTATTGACGCTATAAAGCCTCACTGACCAACTCCTACCTGCTCTCTCTACCTCCTCTTGATAACTACGATATCTTCGATAAACCTCCACCACCACACTCACCACCAACACGAAAAATGGATCCATCGCATCACCATCCACCGACCGCCCCAGTGGCTGGTCCCAACAATAACTGCAAATCCATCTTGCACTCGGGGTCCTCACCGGATTCGAACAACAGCAGCATGCACAACATGCCGATGGGCTTCATCGCCTCCACCGTAACGCTGCTTTACGGCCGCGCCTTCGTCCCATCCAGCTTCGGCGACTACGTGGGCATCTGCATCTTCCTCATCCTCCTCGGCTTCACTGCCCGCCTCTTGATCGCGTTGAAACACGTCATGGAGAGGCGCTGGACGGTGCACGAAAACAATCGCCGCGCCCAATACTACCTGTCGAGTGACCTCTCGCATCAGACGAAGTGGACGTGCTCCGGAATCTGGGCGCGGCCCCATGGCAGGAGCTCCATGGAGTGGTGCGACCTCATACGTGCGCTGATGATGACGGTAATCACGGGAGTCGAGTTTCTACTGTAAGTCTTCCCCAGGGTCGATTGGTAGTACTGTGTGGAAACTGATCGTGTGAAGCATGTTGGCCGTCATGACGTACAATGTGGGATATATCTTTAGTGCTCTGGCTGGCATCTTCATCGGCGAACTGCTTTGGGGAAGGTTCATTGTCGAGTCGGAGGACTGACCCTCGGCGAGAGCACCGTTTCGATGGAATTTGATGCTGAACTGTGTTCTGTTGAGAGATTTCGGTTGCGAATACACCACGGCAATCTGTTATATGTGCCTTTCTGCGATGTTATAACTTCTGTGATGGATGAACCACGACGACGGATTCCGTGAGAGTACGGGAAACACGGTGGAGTCGCCCTTTTGGAAGGAGAATGTGTGTGTACCGTGGGTGAGGATGTTCCAGGGAATGGGGGCTCCAAAGGCGAGCCGCACTCTCTAATAGTCCAATTAAAGGGACCTACGTGCGAGTTCCTCCGTGACTCGCCCCCTCCTGACAGTCGCTGTTGCGCAATCGCAGACCTTCACAGCATGCTCTCATTCGCACTCGTTTGTTTCACTAGTTCCGCCAGCGACTAATGCCTTTGCGTGAGGTCAATGATTCGACAAAAGAAAAATACCTTCGCGTGACTCCGAGATAGAAATACTCGGATGTTGGCGAAATGGTCTGTTTCCTGAGCAATCCTACTGGCATGTGGTGCTCCCGCTTCTACCGATACGATCTCATTAAGCACATGAGCAAAATACGAAGTTGCACCTTCTCACCGAGTTGAGATCATTCTCTTCTGGGGGGTTGTTTTCTGCGTTCCCTCAAACCGATATAATGTATTGTAATACCTATAGAGAAAACACTGCGGGCAACAGAAGGTTTACATAACAGAGAGATGTGCAGTTTAGATCACCATCCTCCTCCGTATAATCATCGTCACCATCGGCCACTCGATGTCATCCTGATATTTTTTACGAGTTTTATCTGGGATAGTCCACCGGCAGTGCACTGTGTCTATGGATGGTGCGGGTAATGAACGTGGGTATGGCTTTCCGTTGTAATCGTGCGGTATGTAGCGTGAGCGGGGAATAGGCGGACCGTGAGCGTGGTTGTGTTTTATGGCTCACTTGAAGCGAATTCCCTAAGTGTTTGTGATTGGGTGGCAGAGTGATGGCTACATAATCGCACGCGTAAGTCGAACCACGAAATTTTAAACACGGCAAATATGAGACATTAGAAGATGTTCCCGACATAGCAGCCACGATAAAGCTTGCTGTTACCCCAAAACGGAAACAATTGAGGGTTTTCTGAGGAGAGAGAATGTCCAATTTGCCTCGGAAGATCTTGGCAAACTTTCTCACATGATCTCACTCGCTGCTTGCACGATTGAGGTCATTCGTAAACAATGGGCGCAGTACAAGGCCCCTGCCTCACCGGCCAGTACCTCCAGTGGACGAGAAGCCGCCCGGATGGCCGCTGTGGCTGGTGTCTGTACAAGACACAGACACGGGAGCACCTTTTCAAAAATTGCCCTGAATGGAAAAGTCAGCAAAAGACACTCGGGGCAAAAGCTCAGAACCAAACACGGAGGAGCAAAGACCACTTCAAAATCCGGGTTCTCTTCGCAGACGAGCGATGTAGTAAGGCCGTCCTAGAGTTCCTCTCCAACACTGGGCAGATGAATGCTAGAGGCTGGTGAGGACGATGCAGCAAGCGAGGCATCCGAGTGGGAGCTTAGGGAGCCGGAAGAGAGAACGGAGCTGAGGCGACTCGAGGAGGAGGAGGAGGAGGGTGCCGAAGCTGAGGAGGAGGGCACTGAAGCTGAGAAGCCAAGCGACGTAGAATAGCGGGCCAGAGACTTGCGGTGGAAGTGGGACGACTCGAGGGCGTGGGTGCGGGGGGCGGAGCGAGCGGTGGAGGCGGATGTGGCGAGAGGGAACGATTGTTGCCTCTTCCAAGCTCTGCCTCTGCTTGGTGCGCTGAGATACTGTCGGGGAAGGCCAGGGCGGAGGGCAGGGAAAGCCACATCGGGCCGACTGATGAAAGTTGGGTTGGACAGTGGCGTGGAAAAAGGGGGACGCACAGGTAGATGATATTGCCATGATCTAGATAGGTCGCATGAAATCAATGAATGAACAAAAAAAGGGTTTCTTGGCCATCGCGTCCGCCTTTCCGCCTTTTCCTCCTTTCCCGGACACCACAAGCCGGCCGGCCTCCTTCCCGAGTCCTGACATCATCTTCTACCCTCCCATCCCATCTGGTGGGCCACACCACAAGGACCTCATTCCCTTCTTACTCTTCCACGTTTTTGAGCCCGGGAGTCCTGTGGCAATCCAGAATATTCCCGTTGCTTACGATTTCGGGTTGGATCGCGGGTTTTGTAATCGAAGTACAAACTCAGTACGTACGAGCTTCGGTAAGTCCTGGCAATACGGAGGCCGTTCGAGTGGTTGGCGAAGTATTTTCCTAGAGTAATGTCTGTGGAGCGAGTGGGAGATGAAGGTCCAGCCTCGAAAACAGAGAAATCCATCCAAGGCGCACCAAGTCCTGCTCGACACTTCAGGTTCCTCACCACCACCCGTTTATCGCACCATTCCCTAGCGAAGTCGCGAATTCCGACAATGAAACCTCCGCATCTCAATGGCGAATTTCCGCCAAGCTGAGAGCGGAGGAGCCACAAGGGCCCCCAAGGCCCCAAGTCCCACGTAGAAGTTTTTGTCATCTTCGTCGACGGTGTTCTTTCGTCTTCGTCGATGCCGTTCTTATTCTCCTGGGCCTATTCAAGGCTAGCACACACACCACCCACACGCCATCTCGCAGCGCAAAGACTTACCAGAAGCATCGACAAGATCGATTGCTCCATTTTCTTCTACGCCGGTCTCTGCCTATACACCGACTTTGGATTCACTATTCCCGGCTGCAGGATATAGCTAAAGTCTCTCGCTTTTGCATGAGGCTCAGCCTCCCCCTCCGCCTCCACATCCTCTACAGGAGCCTTCACCAGCAGCTTCTTGGGCTTCTCTGTCTCGGTAACCCCACGGGTTCTTCGGATTGAACACCGCAGAGACCCCCCAAATAATATTTGGGTGAGACAATGTGCAGGGCCGCTCAGCAACGGCTCCATAGAGCGCACTTGCTTCATCGCGGCTACCGGACCCGCCGTTATTCCTCCGTAGTATATGGCATTTTATCGGTCGTCGAGGGCCGTCCAGCAACGGCTCCATAGAGCGCACTTACTTCATCGCGGCCACCGGACCAGCCGGTAATTCTCCGAGGTATACGGCGTAGTTTTTGGGGATGGAAACCTGCTCGGCAACGGCTCCATAGAGCACGCTTGCTTCATCGCAGCCACCGCACCCGCCGTTATTGTTCCCTTGTGTACGGCATAGTATCGGTAGTAGTAGCGGTCGTCTGGTCTCTTCTGCGGTGAAACGGAGTGAACTAGTAAACAATTAGCAAAAACAATCAAGAACACTTGCAGTATATTCTAACCTTTGTGGTAGTAGAGAAATTTTGATATGGTAATGGTGTTGCAGGCGGTTTTTTCCGAGAGTGACTACCGGTAGTTTGGAAGATGTAGAGGTGCTTCTGATAAATAGTTAGCAAAAATAATGAAGGACACTTGCGATATTTTCTAACCTTTGTGACTTCAGCATTGTTCGATGATTGGAGAGGATGAGTGTTTCAAAGATGAGGATGTTCTGGGTTGGGTCGTTGGAGCCAGGTCAATTTATAGTTAAGGTTTGTGCGCTAGCGTCGATCATTCTAGGGGAACTACGGTCACGTTCCCGCTAGCGTCGGCGAAATCTCGCAGTCACGGGTAGTTACGTGGGAGGTCAACATTTGTGTATCGCACTTTCAATGAGCTGGAGATGGGAAAGGATTCCTACCCTGCGAACCGAGTACGGAGCCGCACTGCTGAAAAAGTAATAGTACTACTCCATTTGTAGTTACGCCGCAGAAAGTGTACTCACCCCGCAGAGGGTGTATTCACGCCATCATCGCAAACATACTGGATATTGCACGCTGATGACGGCACTTTGTGGTCGAATTTTTATCATACTCACATCTGGCCTCTAGACTATGGCCGTGTAAATTGGCAGTTGGATAGAGATAACATCAACCTCTTGTCGCATCGGCCTATTGGCAGCCGGATTTCAAGCTGCTGGAAAGCATTACCTAGGTCTACCGAGTGATGAGCCATGGATTGGTGGAGAATCGTCTATATCTACATTATAGTGCAATTCACGTTGTATCATCTTTGCTGCATTCAGGGTGGAGGAAGGCTATACCGCCCATAGCAACCACCCTCAGCTAGGCACCTTGCGAAGTATCTTCAGAGCTTTAGAAGATCGACCGACTAAGACATTCGGATCGCGAGCAGCCGGTCATGCCAGCCGTGTTGTAACTTCTCAAATTATTCACCGGATACTCCATGGACGGCTGGCTGTGCGGATGCACTCTCTCGTAACTAGTCTCACCCTCTCGCGTCTCGAGTAGACGTTGTCTCAACCGAGTGTTTCTCGATGCCGGAAAGTCTACAAGCCGAAAATTGAAAGTTCAGGGGGCGTCTTATGGAGCCCAGGGCTTTCCTCACCGTGATTCGGCTGATATTATCCATTCCCTGCGAATCCCCGGAGGTAGATTCCGTGGAGTCAAAATTCGTCCAACCGCTCTCCTTCGCCAGAAAGATTGGTCACGGCGAGGTGGCGGAGGGAGAGATACTGGCATTTCTCCGGCTATGCCGAAGAGGGCACTGACAATTAGATGTGGGATCAATTGGCATGTGTTGGAATCATAGAGAGAGAAAAAGATGTTGCTTGGTTGTGGCCTCATCAAGGCGGTCAGACCCCCTCCATGTACAGAACCCCTATCGAGATAGCAGTCGGAGGTGCTCCGGCAATGAGACCATCCTCCAGACCATCATCACCACGGATCAAATTCAGCTGGCATGTCACTGAAAGATATGCTGCCCAGCGGGGGGCGGTCAACCGGTGTCTTAGTGTATTCCATAGGAACGATCGATAGTATTTGTAGTCGGAGTGGCGAGTGGTAGAGATGTAATCGGACACATGAGGAGGATAGTATCACGTTGCAGAATGTGAAGAGTCCGAACGATTGTCATAATCTACTTTGAGGTCCCTAAGAAAATGCCATTCATGCTTCCAACATCCTCCCAGCCTTTGAGATCCACCCCTAAAATGTGAAGCCACCCGAAATACCTGGGAAGGGAATGATATCTACAGAGCACTTTGTCAGCCTTGCTCCTCCCCATCGAACGGCTACCTGTTAGGGAGAAGAGATTGACCTAAGCGTTTATGAGTGGTAGTACAGAGGGCTCTCGGTCGGACCAGCGAAAACTGGCAAATGCTCGGTGCGTCCGGGGCTCCGGTTCTGCTCGGCAATGATCGCCTCCAGGCGGAACTGCATCGCCTGGGCCTCCAGGTCCGGCCCCTGTTGACGCTGCATCTTCTCTCGAACCAGAAACCCACAACGAATAATAACCCCGACGACGAAACTAGAGGCGAGGATACCAATGGCGATCATAGTGCCGATATCATGGTGTGCGGCCATATTGGTTACTGTTTCCCAGTTCTGGTGCCGACGCCGTAGATTAGTTTACTCTTCCCCGTGTCTCTCTCGCTGGATCAGAAATACTGGAAGTAGGGAAGAACTCACTTCAAGAAATCTGGCTCGATATATCACAACCTTGATGGCCTTAAGGCCGCGGAGGAGGCGATTTGTCGGGAGGGGAATGGTGACTGGAGAAAGCGGTTATGGTGGCCGGGGTTGTTCGATGTCGTGAGTTTGTTGTCCGGAGCTGGTGGTAGCTGGCTGTATAGTCACGGGATCTAGGAGTAGCTGGATGTGATAGTCACGGGATCCGGGTGTGGCTTCCAAAACAAGTAGGCACCCTTGCGGAAGGCTTGGTAGCAATCGCTTCGCTAACAAACCGCGACAGAGCCGCCCGCCAGAAACGCTCTTGGATGAGCTAGCACCGGATTGAAACCGTCACAAAAAGGAGTCATTTTAGACCGTTTCAAAGCTCTGCAAGCATCCAGATGTGGTTCTTCATATCGAATAGCAGGAACGACTACAGTGGTGGCCCACTCTCGGGTCGTTATCTGAGCGGGTGTATGTTTCCACCCAACTTTGGTCGGACGATATGCCATCGAGCTCACCTTTTACCATCGAGATGTCTCATCGCCACCACTAAACGAAAGTAGTTCCAGCCGCGGCTTAGCGCTTAGACGTAAACAGTATGCGTAAAGAAGATGCGTAAAGACTGCACCCTCGGTCGATCACGAAATGTGGCCATAACGGCGGCGCCGATGGGATTGTGGTTGTTCCGCTTAACATCATGGTTGGCAGTAGATCAGCGGATAACACCGAGAGCCGGTTGCGAGACTCGCGGACGATTAGACGGAAATACAGACTCAGGTCGGTATCGAGAAGAAGATATATCGATTCACCTACCATCACTCGGCTCTCGCAGCCTAAGTACAAACTTCAAAACATTGTTGGTGGATGCATGTATATACACCTCCGCATTATAAGCACATTTACTCTCTGGTGCTTAGGAAAAGGGCGCAGTAGACGAGGCTACCACAAGGAGCCCGGCATCGGATGAGTCACTCGTCTGATGGCATTTGGACAAGAAAGGAAATAGAAAAAAAAGCATCTTGGATGGCATGAATGCGAGCACGATTCAGCAAGAAAAGTTATTGATGAATAACAGGAAATAAATGTCTTTGGAGCTCGGTTTCTAGGAAAAAGAAGAGCGAAGAACCTACAATATGGGAAAATTAGCTGACAACCGCGATAGTAAGGTGGGAAAGGGAGAGGAGACTAACCTCTGGCACTTGCAGCGGTGCAGAAGCCAGAGGGATAATCGCCTGCTCCCCCGCGGTCACCATCTCAAGCCTGTATGCTTCTTAGCAGGAGGTTGGAGCTTTATGTGGTGAACGACGGACCTTTCCTCAACACCAAAGATCTGGCAAACGGACCTTTCCTCAAAACCAAAGATCTGACAGTCTGGCTGGCAGGCCTCCATCTGAGTACCAAAGGCCTGGGAATCCGGTTGATCACTCGAGTGAATACCGGGGATGGTGGGCTTTCGTGAGATCCTCCAACCGAGTACCATAGGTCTTGGAATCCGATTGATAGCCTTCGGGCGAGTTAGTACCACGGATCGTAGGCTCTTTTGAGATCTTCTGACCGAGTACATACCTCAGATGTAAGAATCCTGTTGACTGATATTTCCGTCCCAGAATCAAAGGTGAGGAGTTCGAAAGGTTGTCGGTGTCGAACCTGAGCCCCGAATTTCGAGTGCGTATGTGTGTAGAAAGATGGGGACAGGAGTTGTCTGTGCTGGAGAGGATGTCTCGGTGCTGAATTTTTGGCGAGTATATAGTAGAGGGGGCGGATGGGGCAGGAAGGAACAGCAGGGACCGGTGAGGATGAGGAGGTTCGGTAGTCGCTGAACCCTGTCGTGATCGTGAGGCATCTCGTGCAAAACAGCCACATTTGTGCAGTTTTGGCCAATAAATACATAGAGTTCAGTGCATTCAAACAAAAAAAATGGAGAGAGAAGTAAAGGTGACAAGAAGTATGGCCACGGTGGCCAGAATAAATAAAGCGCCCGTCGGCTGGTGTTGGAACAAAGAGATGGCAGGAAAGAAAGTATTGGACTCTGGAGCGGATGTGAAAGCTGATTATGTCACGGGATACCTGGGTGGTGAGCCCTATCGTCCCGCCGCACGACATGCAAGGGCCGAATAAAGTCTCCGTCCTCTACACCTCGAAACCACCCATCACATCTTCAGCAACCCCACCAAGAAACACCATGCCGAAACTAACCTTCAGCGACTTATCAAACAGCGAGGAACCAACTAGCGACGAACCAACCAGCACTCTCCTTGTTACCGGCGGCGGCAGTAACTCCCCCAACTCTCCTTCCAAGTCGATCCGAACTGACGAGAATGCCGCACCAGGTGTCGGAAGAGCTGCTGGTGGTAATCCTTTACGCGCGATGAAGAGGAACTTGGCCGAGATGGAGGTTGTAATTCAAGAAATCAAGAAGACATTCAAACTCAAACGGGCGTTGCCGCCGGGCCGCAGAAAGGAGATTGAGGATTTGATAGAGCAGCTGGCGAGGCATGATGACATGATCGAAGATCAAAGTCGGATGATTCAGCAGCAAAAGGAGGACCTTCAGGCCTTGAATGACGCGATGGAGCGGCTTCGCGAGGGAAGATAGCTGCGCGGGACGAATGTTGCGAGAGGAATTGCTGGAGATTTGGTGCAAGATGGGAAGGGTCGTTATGCGTTCCTACGTCGTTGTTGCTACAGATCATGGCTCATCCGGTCATCTCCATGCTGTCTGTCGCAGCGCGAGAAATAAAAATACTGTTGTCTGTGTGCATGCGTGAAGAGTGTCGAAACGGTTGAAGATGTACCTTTGTGCTTGGTTACCTGGAGACAAAACCCCTCTCTACGTGAAGAACTTTGCCTGATGGCCCTCCCAACACAGTCCTATTACTGCAAGAGCCTAAGTCCTCACAAAGCAAAAAAAAGGAAGGTATCCGGCTGGGGAGAGAGTGATGGGTAAGGTGAAGCGGAGGTTTCCATATATCTTGTACGGCATCTAGGCGAATCTACAGTACGTGTACTGGCATCAGAGACGTATGTAAAAAGCGGTATGCAAATATGTTTCCAACTGCCTCGTCCCGTGGGTGTTACCATCATTTTTCGTCGTCCCGACTCACTGCCGGCATATTCATCACATCTCTTTTCAAGCATGGGAAAGCAGCAAAAAAACTGAAAACGTTACTCCTATCGATCGTGAAAATAGGCTAGGTACAAAAAATGATCGATAGATTTCGCAGCGCAACCTGAAACCACCATTTCTAACACCCAAACAAATGGGCTACAACAAAGGATAGATTTCGCAGGACAACTTGAAACCACCCTTTCCAACACCCAAACTTGCCGACAGAGCGCCCACCACCATCCTACCACAAGAACTTGCCCGTCAAGCTTCCGTCTTCGTCCTCCGTAGAGCTTCCACCTTTCTTTCCGTCGTGCTCAGACTGACTGCCTTCGGCCTCTTCGTCGGACGAATCCCAGCACCCAGGAGCGTACGGGTCGTCTTCCCCGTTCTGTCCCCAGCCCACAAAGTCGGTCGGCAGAAAGCCCTGGTAAAAGCGGTCATCCTTCCTCAAGATTGAATACTGCCGCACGACTTCCACCTTCTTGACCCGCCTGAAACGGTTGCCGGTAGAGTTCTGGGTACCAGTCTTCGCCGGCTGCTGCTGCGGGTTCTTGTCCGTGCCCGCGGGTTCACCGGCGGCTGCCGATTTCTTGCGACTTCTGCGGCGTTCTTTCTTGAGGTCCTTGGCGGTGGCGGGGGCGGTGGAGGGGGCGGCCTGCACCGGGGGATGCAGCGCAAAGGGCTGGCGGGCGTGGTGGCGATCGCGACGGAGTTTGTACTGGAGCGAGCCGTCTTGGAACCAGTGTGGCAGGTATCCGGTGGTGTCGAACCACGGCTGCGCGAATTCGCTGCTTTCCGTGCTCACTGACTCTGCACGCTCCGGTGGTTCGACCGGACGACTCTGCGGGGAGGCCGAGGTGCTGGTGGTGCTTTCGAAGATGGCCTGCATATCGGGGGTTGAAGTCGAAAGAGCGGTTGGTATCGATTGGTCGGTGGAGACGGGCACCTTCCAAAGCAAACACAGTGCGTGGGAACGCAAGTGTTGTGCGTAAGGAGTCGTTGTGGGTGAGGAAGTGTCGTAGGTACGGGAGGAAGTGTTGTGGGCAAGTGTTTGTGTAGGGCTGTGACTTGAAGGAGAAATACGGTACGGTTGGCTGTGGTTGGAGCGAGGCCAGCCGGAGCGAGTGGATGAAAGCAGGCACAAAGAACCAGGCTGAGTCTGAGGCTGAGGCTGTAGCCCACTAGTTAGTCCTAGCACGGTGGAGTATTTTGGCTGAGAGCTGCATGCGAAGCTCCCCACGTTCTTTCCACGTTGTATCTTTGGGATCAACCTTTCCACACCCACATTCAAGGATTACGATTGCCTCATACACCGGTAAGCTTAAACTTCCAGGCCCCGAGAATACAGTTCTGTCAATACGCAATTTTGATTACAGTTACTGAACTCAAAGCAAATCCACACAAACACCACGCAGTATGGCATATGGAGAGGAAAGAAAACCTGGAATGAATGCAAGAGCAATTCCGCACCCCCTCCCAAGTACGCCCTGCTAAAGCCTCCGCTCACTCTCCTCTCTAGGATACAGCCTAATTACGGACCCCCCAACACGCAGCATCTTTTCTGTCCGATTCCATCTAGCGTGTCCTTCCCCTCACTGCGGCCTAGGTCTTTCCACGTTCTGGCTACCGATGCCATAGACATTCTCTGTCAGCACCTGCTTCCGCTTTTGTTTCCAGGTCAAGGTTCGTTCGAGGCGTTAGCATTTCGTCAGTGGGGAGCTGGCATATGCCCCGAGTCTCAGAATCTTATAGCCTACTCGGTTGATGCACTACATCGTGCTGACGTAGCTTCCGCGGAGATATAAACAGCCAACCTACAGGTGGACAACGGGTACCATCGTACCACCCTTTGATCTCCGGCACAAATCGTGGACAATATATCTACAGGCGGAAAACAACGACTACTCCGATCTACCAGGTTTGGTTCCCACCATTGTATGGTCTTATCGATGCAGCAATGTGGCTTAGACTTCTCGATTGAGCATGTGGTGGTTGGATAGTCGACCACGAGGATTGCGGATTTTTCCCTCTAGAAGGTGCACTTTTCAGATGTAACCAATCTAAAACTGCCGCTGCTCCCAACTCTTCCACGGCAATGTTGTTTAAGCTCCAATACGGAACCAAAAGCAAAGTGGGCTTATTCGAGAACCGAGTGAGGGCTTCGTTGCCGCTGCAATCTTATCGCTATCTTTAAATCTAATCTTATCTCCCATCACCACACGGCCCTTGCACGTGCGTGACCCCGAACCGTGGCATCGCCCCTTCAGCCCTCCAGCCTTCCCATGGGCCACATCCACCCGTCCACCCGTCCGCCCTAAACACGCTTCTCTCCGAGCCCCTTAAGCCCCCAATGCTCCTGTCCCTCGTCGCTCGGATTAATCACCAGCGCCCCGGCCGCCTCAGGAAGCTGGCACACCCAGTCCCTGGTCTCGCTCCCCGCCGGCACAACAGCTATCTACATCTCCCTCCACGACGCGACATTCCACCGCAACGCTCTCCTACGCGAAGATGCGCGCTACGTATCCATCGACGGACTTATGGGATTGTTTCGGCCAAGGAACAGCGTGTTGGACGTGAAGGGAGGGCGTGTGGTGTAGGATCGAGGTCAACGGGACGGGGGCAAGGTGAAGGGAAGGGTGATATCCGTACGCGAAAGTTCGGGTGTGCTAGATACTTGCTGCGGAAGGTTAGGGGCTAACTATGGGGTTGGCGGCCGAGATACCAGAGTGGCATTAGGTTCGCGTTTCCGACTCCTCCGTCTTCGCGGAGCTAATTGGGGCAATCGCGTTTGCGACGGCAGTGCTGGTGAATGCCGACTCCGCCCTCGTGTCCTGAAATGTCTGTAGACCGGAGAAAAAACGCCGCGTTCGTGACGACGCTTGTGCCCCTAGGCGGCCGACGTGACAAGCCTAAGAATGCGGGATAACTATGGGGTTGGCAACGGTCGTTAGTGGGATTATGCGAGCCACGGGCTACGGGTGCGGGGCCGATGGGGAGAGGCAGTTGTTGTATTATAAGGACTCAAGTGTGAAGGTGTCTAACGGAGGATAGCCGAGGGCCTGTAGGCTTGCGAGGACTCATCACAGTAGCTCCTGATTCTTCATAAAGACAACCGCCAGCGCGGGCCACCATGCATACATACAAGTACGGCGGGGTAAAGCAACAGAAAACCAGCTAAGACTGAGATAACCATCCTTCCGAGGCTTCGTGAGTCGACAAAGAGCAGAAAAGAAGACGGGAATGAAACATCAAAAAAGAAGTACGCCGATTGATAGCATAGAAGAAAAGTGAAGAAAGAAGGATCGTAAAGGAGTCCATCATCGCCGAATCACAAAACTCCTCAGAGTAGCAGCATAGCAAAACGCAAGGTAAAGACCAAAACCAGGGAGAAAATACAGGTCTGAGTTACCACAGCAATCATCAGTCAGTTTACCGTGACTACATCGACCACGAAGAGCGATCCCAATTAGGATCCTGCACAAAGCTCGCGAGCACCTTGCTCCCCGTCTGCAGCAGCGGATGTCCCACGACGATCTGCAGGAACCTCTGAAGTCCCTCGCGTCGGTGTTCGATCACGTCATCGGAGAAACGATTGGTGAACACTTTGCCGGGGAGCGGAGGAATGGTGACGCGCGAGGATTCACGCTCGAGCACTTCGCGGAAGTGCTCAAAGTCGCTGTATCGTCGGCGGACACTGGAGAACTTGAGCTGTGTGTCGAGCGAACGAGGTGCAGCAGTTAGCGCGAGTGGTTCGGACGGCGCGATGACGGGGAGGAGGAGGAAAGGGAGCGGAACTTTGAAGGCCGGAATGTTCGTCTAGAAAAACGAACCAGTCAGCATGCTGGAGCCTGGGAGCGCGGGGGGAAGGAGCGCACATACCCGACAGACCACTTCGTAATCCGTAAACATCTTGCGACCGAACCCGTGGGTTTGTGGGTTCTTGACCTGCGACGGGATTGCTTTAGTGGAGGACGTCCTAGGAGTGTGCAGCGTTACGCGGCCAAGTAGCTGCGTTATCGCGAACGCACCTCGACCTCTAGAAAGTTCTCTGGTGGACCGTAGATCTCGTCGAAGCTCTGGGCCCGGGTGGATTGGATAGGTGCTTGCATTGCGCGTGTTGTAGGCCGGTAGGGAGAGTGATCGACAGGAGGCTGGCGGAGTTCGTGGTGATTATGTCGGTGGGTGGGTGGGTGAGATGGAGGGGGAATCTGCACGTGCGATAGCTCATGCTCACGTATGCGGCTCTGCCGACTTTAACCATCTCCGGAAGATGTGGTCAGCACCTACCAAAGATGTACTCTACTAGATCGTTGCATGGGTATTCGGACAGGCTGAAAATGTGGCCCCTCTTCTGGGCGCTAAAACGAGGCTGAAAAGCGTCAGAGCTCGGAGTGGATTGGCCACCAAATTCTCCAGATTTCAATACCATAGAGCTTATATGGTCTATTTTAAAAAGGAGAATTCTGAGTGGAGACGCAGTGAGAAGATTATCACTCGTCTGATCATTTCTATTTAATGGTTGATGGTTGGAAGCTGCCGGCGCCGGAGACACCTCACAAGCAAAAGGTGCTTACAAGGCTAAGCCCCTATTTCAGCCTGTCCGAATACCCATGCAACGATCTAGTAAGTTAGGCGGCAACGTGAAACTTTAATGTCACTTAATATTACTAAACAGGAAAATGGCGGTAAATAATGCAACTACTGGTAGGCACGGTCGCGGTGGGTGGCTGTGGTGGCTGTACCAATACTAATGGCTGGTGGACACTCCCGAAGGACAAACCAAGACGCAGACTCAATTCGACAACAGCGCGAATGACTTTGTATGAATCGCATAACCGAGTTGTCACTAGAATAGGTATGCAAACACATAGAGATAATTGAAGCGATGGACTTGGGTTTGGGGAATTTGGATCAAGACGTCAGACACCACCGCAGGCGACGAGAAACCTCCCGCGAAGCGTAGACAGCCTCCAGATCTGTTTATCCTCCCGGTGACAGAACTTTTACCTCTCCTGCTTCTCGGGAAACCTTTATACATGCCCTCCGGCGCTATAGCACGCTCTTTTCCTGCAAGAGCTGTGTGGACTACACGCAGGACAGGGACGGGTAGCTCGCAGTGAGTGTCGCTATATATTTTTTGTAAACCATCAGCTGTTTAGATCGATAGAGTCACGGCGGTGAAGGCGTTTTTTTTTGCTTTCTGAATCGTAGCTTTTATCAACGCGTGGTCTCAATAGCCGCCGGTATAATGTAATGCTAGATGCGAACGTGCGTTAACTTGATCCAACTTCCGAAACCTTCAACTTCGCGAACGTGGGGGAGACTTCGGTTGTTTCTCTTCCTTATTGCACGTAACCTGTCACCTAGACAATTTTTGGCGGTAGGCCGTCGCTATACCTAGTAGAGGGCTGTCTGGTCTGCTCTTGATATCGCGAACGGCCCTGTGGATTTTCTCAGCAACTACGCAAACTCACCAAACAAATTCAGCATGACCAAGCGAAGCACGAACTGAATTACATCCGAATATAAGGTGCAAGCCCACCGCAACCGTCCATACCACCCACCCTCCCTCCTGGTAATCGTCTTTTTTTGTTGAACCAGTAATTGCTTGCGACCTAAATAGATCATGGCAATATCACCCCGTTAACCCCCCACCCCCTCGTTTCCGCGCCACTGTCCAGCCCGGCTTGCACCGAGCAGCCCGATGTGACTTTCCCTGCCCTCCGCCCCGGCCTGTCCCAGATATGTAGATACACGGTAAAGACTGAAATGGGCCTGCGTGCCCGCCTCTTCCCACCTCTCCTCTCTCCCCTACAGGTCAATCGCCCGCTCTTCCCCCCTGCCCTCTGTTCCTTCGTTTGAAGGTTTTCCGAATCCTTGAAATGGGGCATGCGTGACTTTTGCGGCCCGGCATTCCTGCTCCCGCCGATGAGGACGGTCACATATACGCCTCCCCTGCCGCGAGCATTATCAACCCACGACGGGACGCTTTCCTCTCTTCCAAATCATACCCCTCTCTTCCCTCCCTTCCCTTTTCCTTTTCGCTTCCTCTCAACCTTCTTCCATCCCTCATCCACCTCACCATGGAGAGGTGCGGGCCCGGGGGCCGCGGCCGATGTTGGCGGTAGGGGTTTCTTGGGCTCGGTATTCACATCGGCATGCTCTGAGTGCATGAGAGTCGATGTCGGAGAGGTGATCCTTAGCTGCTTCGCTAGCTGATGGGGTGTTTGAGGTCCCGTCAATTTCCGTTTTGGCCGCTTAGGTGGTGTCGATGCAGGAGGCGTCGATGCAGGAGGCGGCGTCGATGCAGGAGACGGCAGCCGCTGTGAAGCTAGCACCGCTTGTGCTTGCGCCCGGAGTTCCTGGTTCTCCTCTGGGAGCTTGTCGATTTTCTCACTCATCGTAGTAACAATAGATGGTGGAGAATAAGTGCGAGCTCTGAGAACTCTTTTGGAGGATTGGGTAAAACGAGTGAGCAAACGTGAGCGAGTTGGTGACGTGATCAGGGCAGTCGGGCATAACCTATTCCCGCACATACTCGGTCGCGTCGGACAATATTGTCCTCCCTCAGACGGATGGAGTTGAATTCCATATCTTCTCCGTCATATAGCCCAATAACCTGACGAGTTGTGTTGCTGACTGAGGCGCAAAGCCAATTCCGACTCCCTAGGGATTAATTCGGACACAGTCCTCCCGATTTCTTCAGCTGGAGGCCTCGCATTAACAATCGACAGATGCAGACGGAGGTACACGCTCCAAACCGACGACGTTGTAGACTGGGCAGTGCCATATCCGAGAAGTATGTGGGACGAGGCTCAATTTGCGGCGGGAAAGCGGCAGCGAACCAGTTTGCGTTGGTGATCGGATGACGAAGAGCAGCGATGAATTCTTGCGCCTCCCGCCAATAACGGATCGAATCCGAGGAGACCTTCGGTGGCAGCCTGGGTACGAGCTACCTCGTGTAGCAGGAGATCCTATGCGTCCAGGGCGCGAGTTCGCATTCCTTCCGCGATACCTGCCCCCTAATGCCGCATGCGCCCGCGAATGTGCAAAGTGAAGCGTAGCACCAAGTTCGATCGCAAACGGCCACATGTTGCCGTTGTACATGGCTGTATCGCGGCATTCAGTTACTGCAGGCGAAAAACGTGTCGAGATTGCTCTGCCGGTCTGGTACACCCGCCCCAGGGATACGCGCTGCTGGCTGTTAGTTTTCTCATTCTGGCGACGGGAAAAGGGACTATCAGGGACCTTTATAGCAAATAAAAGGGGCCAACGATGAGCTACCCTGAGCCAATATCGTACCAACAGAAGGAGATGATATGATAGTCTGCCAGCAAAGGAAAATGGACTGCGGGATGAGCGGGTACTTGCCTGCGATCCTGGCCACCGCTCCTTGCTCTCTGTAGCACACCTCTCATAGCCGTTACTCTCTCCTCCCGGCAAGGACTGGCCTTTATTTCCCATGTACTCCGTTCGGAGGCCTGGCCAAGTCTAACGGTTCTCGTGGGGCCAGTCACCACCGCTCTGTTGTAAGTATTAGTCTGCAGCCGGTTGGCCAATTTCAAACGGTCAAAACTACTCACTTTGCTTTCCCTGATCTTCATTTCTTCGTCCTTCCACCCGTCTCGCTCTTCGCTCGCCTTTTCTTCTGTTTTTTTGCCCCGTCTTTTGTCTCCATGGATCCGAGTACTTACGCACTGCCCTCGGTTTCTGCATTTCACAATACGTGACGTTTCTTAGAGCGCACAATCAATCTCCCTAGCGCGAGCTTTCAGCCGAAACCACGAGGCTGCAGCCAGCCAAGCCGATCTTGCCCATCTAGTCACCCAGTCGTCTAGAGTTTCCATGCGAGTGACATCGTATGCCGAAACTTTTACCCTTCACAAATGATATTTAATGAGACCAGATACACAGAACCTGTATAAGAATGCACTTTTAATAGTCTCAAAGATTTCTGAGGGGTTTCGAGCATTGTATTCAAGCTGGTGGTGGGTTGTGGGCGTCGCTGCCTCTCCAAGCGTCCTGTTTTGGTTAAGAGCCGCATCTACAACACCTCCGGGAAACCGTTCCTGTTCTCTCTCTTCCTTACACTTCACTCCTCCTACCTACCAACAATCCTTTCTCCCACTCCCACTTCCACTCACTCTTTTTCCCCCACCTAATTTTCCCTCGTTGACCCCGGGGATTCACCACCTTCTCCTCTCTTGCACCCATCACAGGAATCATCGAAGACGAAACAATGATTCCCTCCAATGCTTTTCTCATCCGCTTCATGATGGCCGTTGCCATCATGTTTGCTGCCATCCAAGTCCAAGTCCTCGGTAAGATTCTCTCCATGCACAATAGACGGCGGATTGTTGCTTTGCTGGTTTGTAGTAATTACAAGAGCTGACCGTGACAATAACAGCCGAATGCGAATGCGGCTACATGTTGAAAGATGGAATGAACAAGACTCTCGGCATCTACACAGATGCGTTTGAATCCGATTTCCAAACCCTCAAGAATATCACGGCCGATTCCGATTGGACCGTTCAGCAGTGGAACGTCTCCGCGAAAATGTCCAAGGGCCCGTACGGACGTATCCTCCAGGCACGGAATGTGATTTCAAATCCACTGGTCGAAGATAAGAACGGGAATAAGACTTTGGGCAAGAATGGCAACACTGCGGGTCTTGAGCTGTGGGTCCGACCTGGGTTGATCGAAGACACTTACATCAGTGGCTCCGAGATTGACAGTATCCGCCGGGATATGAAATACGGAACCTTCCGGACCGGTATGCAGGCCACGCCTGTCAACGGAACCTGTGCTGCTTTCTTTTGGTAAGTGGAGTGGGAATAGGTGTAGCTGAGTGACGGAAGCTAACCGGTGGTTTAGGTATCTGAATGATACTCAAGAGATCGACATGGAGTTTTTGTCTCAACAGTTCGAGTCCAGGACGCCCAAATACCCCCTCCACCTCGTTCTCCATTCCACCCTGAGTCAGCGCTATGGTGGTGACGCCAAGAAGACGGGAAACTACAAGGTGGTGAATCTTCCTTTTCATCCCTCGACAGGATTTCACGAGTACCGCTTCGGTAAACCACCCACTCCTATATCTTTCATTGGACCCGTTAACTGGGGTATAGATTGGTCTCCCGAGAAGGTCTCCTTTTATGTGGATGGAGTGTGGCTGCATGACATGAACGACACCCGTTACGTCCCCTCCGTTGCTGGAAAGATGGTCTTGTCACACTGGTCGAACGGACAGCCATTGTGGTCGGGTGGACCTCCGGAAGAGGATGCAAAGATTGTTGTGTCTTACGTCAAAGCCTACTTTAACTCAACAGATCCAGTCCGGCAATACGACCATAGGTTGCGTTGCACGGGTCGTGAGGGTCCCGAAATCTACTGTCCTATCCCGGAACAGAAGGGTCCTCCACCGACTGGAGATGTCTACTTCTTCTACAAGGATGGCTATAAAGCTATTAACCAGAGCATCTACGGCAAGTCAGTCAACGCCGCAATGGTCTCGAAGCCACTCTCATACACCTTCTGGATTACCGTAATCCTCTTGCTGGGTTTCTACTGGCTCTAGAGCTGGAATAGACTGTCGTTACGAAGGCACGTGTTATTTTCATGGAAGGCTTCTGGAGGATGGGCACGTTTTGTTTTCGGAAATCCTGCGGTAGTTCCATTCAGTTGTTTCGGTCTCTTCTTCTCTTTTTCTTACTTTGTCGCATTTTTCAGTTCCATTGCATCGGTGATCATGATATCGGGCTGTCTTTTTCCTACTTTTGGGCTGCTATACATGCCTTGCTCGTGGTGGCGTTGGTGTTGTTGTTTGCTTTTACGCTGAATTGGTCACCTACGGCCGTAATGTGTACTATAGATTTAGTAGCTTTCTCTGTTGCTTTTGTTGTAATTTCTCGTTCTGAGGCTCCATTCTCTAGATAGCATCTCCTAATTAGAAATGTGCTGCTGTTTGTATTTGCCTTTACAATGAAGCAATCGATGCGGCCTGTGATGTGATGACTGCGGGTACGTGAGTGATGCGTGATGTGGGGAGCGCGTGGCGTGGGGTCACTCCTGCCAGGGGCATATTCCGTGCCTCCTACCAATACCACCGCTCAGGTACACCATCTCAGTCTGGCCAATACCGTTACTTCCACACATATCCTCGAATATCACCGCCCGCCTCCTGCTGATTCCTCGCTTTGGACTACACGGGTTCCCACGCCGCTGTCGAAACCTACACCACCGAACCGAGCAGACCGCCTCAACCGACCGAATAAATGCGAAGGGACGATCTCAATATACCGGACTCGAACACGGTCGAATACACGCCCAGTCACAGCGGCATCACTACATGTCCGTACGTCCGATACCTGTACCGGCGAGGTCTCGAGAGTCGGGGGATCAAGTGCCGCAGACCGGCAGAGAGCAGCTGCTGGGCCATCCACTGCCTTGCAGGATTCGACCGTGCCTATGCAGTGCTATGTACTCTATATACCGAGATCGAGTGTATCTTCAAGCTCGGGGATCGAACGGTAGCGTACCTATCTCATGCTCGATGTCTTCTAAATGCTAATCACTGGACGGGTTTGCGACATCTGTAGGCATTATCGATGACAAGCTGGAGAGCATTACGGCATTGGCAGATTATCGATTCCTGGCTACAATTTACGGCGATTGCCTGAGATGGCATAGGATCCCCCCGAGAATGCCGACCTGTTTGTCAAGAGAAGGACGTGGTATGATGAGAAGCGGATGGAGATAGCGAGGACGTTGAAAATGGCAACGGTAATGGCAATGGCGACGGCACTGGGAAAGACACGACATTTTCTGGCGGCAGGCCGTCGCTATACCTTTTAGAGGGCTGTCTGGTCTACTCTCGATATCGCGAACGGCCCTGTGGATTTTCTCAGCAACTACGCAAACTCACTAAACTCACTCAGCATGACCGAGCAAAGCACGAACTGAATTACATCCGAATACACGGTGCGAGCCCATCGCAACCGTCTCTACCCCCCCCCCCCCCCCCCCCCCCCCCCCCCCCCCCCCCCCTTCCCCTCCTGGTAATCGTCTTTTTTCTTGTTTACTCATTGATTGCATGCGACCTATCTAGATCATGGCATTATCCACCCAAATACCCACTCCGTTTCCACGCCACTGTCCAATCTCGACTTTCATCGAGCGGCCCGAAGTGGCTTTCATTGCCCTCCGCCCCGGCTAGTCTCAGCAATGAAGATAGAACGCACCAAGGAAAGGACACTTGGAAAAGACAACTTCCGCTCCCTCGAATCGTCCGCTCCCTCGACGACCCTTCCCTACTCCACCGCGAGTTTCATTTCGCCTCGCCGCCTCCTGCCACTTCAACAGGAAATGCCATGAACGCGAGCAATAGGAGGAACAGCCGGAATGATCTTGGTTCCTCGACCTCAGCGGTTCCCTCCTCGAAGCTCCGCTTCCCTATCTTCTCACCCCCTGAGCTCCAAATCGGACACCTTACTTGCTGCATCTTTCTTAGTGGCCTCTGGGATTCGTCTGCCCACACCAGTGGAGGAGAGAAAGTCTAGGATGACCTGGCTACACCGTTCGTCAGCGAAGAGGTCTCGGATATTGAAGCGGTCTTTGCCCCTCCCTGTCTCCTTACGGACCTATGCCTATAAGATCTTTTGCGGACTTTTCCATTCCTGACAGGATTCGAGAAGATGCTCCCGGATCTGGGCCTTCTAGCTACACCATCCACAGCCTGAATCTGGCCGGCTCTTCGTCCACTAGAGGTACTGGCCTGTCAGGCAGAGCCGGGGCTTCAGCCGATAGGATGTTGAGTACTCGCTATATAAGGAGAACAGCACGGAGCTCATCACACCAGATCACGAGTGCTATGGCATGAAGCGGCGCATTGTGATGTGGCAAGGGAGCTGCACAACAGCAACGTGTACGGCAATTATCGACACGAAACCGAGGTTCTTTACAGCCAGAATGAAACCAGGCACCATAGCATGAAATTCGGCGCTACAACAGGGTATGCTTGGACAGAATCGCATGCATCACATGGTCATCACTCGCACGCGATGCCGAAACACTGACGAAAGAAGTTGAGATGTGTTGACTGATGTAGGGAAAGTGAGCCGGAGAAAGTGGATACCATTTCCACCAAGCAATCGAGTGGCAGCCATTTCAATAGTGCCTTTGCCCGGTCGTGCAGCCGGCCGTCATTTCGGACGGTTTCTCGTGGTTGTCAATTTTGCAGGATGACTTCCGGTATTTCCTTCTCGTCCTCACTATCGATGGATTGGTTACCGCATGGGTCGCCTGCGAGGAACGGACATATGGACGGTGACTTTGCCAGATACATCATGGCCAAACATCGGTAATCCGACACTCGGCACGCACTCGATCAGTCATCCCTGGGCGAAATGGACATCCGAATCGTTCACTCCAACACGGAAGAATTATTTGTCGTCAACAACTAAGTACTCAGAAGTAGGATACTTTTTGTTTGTTCATTCATTGATTGCATGCGACCTATCTTGATCATGGCAATATCGTCTACCCATGCACCCCCCGTTTCCACGCCACTGTCCAACTAAACTTTCATCAGGCGGCCCAATGTGGCTTTCCCTACCCTCCGCCCTGGCCTTTCCCGACAGTATGTGAGCGCACCAAGCAGACACAGAACTTGGAGGAGGCAACGATTGTTCCCCGCCACGTCCGCCTCCACCGCTCGCCCCGCCCCCGCGTCCACCTCCACCGCAAGTCTCTGGTCCGCTATTCTACCTCGCTTGGCTTCTCAGCTTCAGCGCCCTCCTCCTCAGCTTCGGCACCCTCCTCCTCCTCCTCGAGTCGCCTCAGCGCCGCTGTATCTTCCCGCTCCCTTAGCTCCCACTCGGATACCTCGCTTGCTCCATCTTCGTCACCGGCCTCTAGCATTCGTCTACCCACATCAGTGGTGGAGAGGAAATCCAGCATGGCCTTGCTGCATCGCTCGTCTGCGAAGTGATCCCGGATTATTTGAGGAGAACAGCACGGAGCTCATCACACAAAATCACGAGTGCTAAGGTGTGAAGCGGTGCATTGTTTCGTGGTAAGGGGGTTGCAAAAAAGCACAGTGTACGGCAATTACGACTCGAGCCCGAGGTTCTTTACAGCAAGAAGATGAAACTAGGCACCATAGCATGAAATTCGGCGCTACAACAAAGTATGCTTGGACAGAATCGCATGCATCACATAATCATTACTCGCACACAACGCCGAAACACTGACGGAAGAAGTTTAGATGTGTTGACTGATGTAGGGAAAGTGAGCCGGAGAAAGTGGATACCATTTCCACCAAGCAATCGAGTGGCAGCCATTTCAATAGTGCCTTTGCCCGGTCGTGCAGCCGGCCGTCATTCCGGACGGTTTCTCGTGGTTGTCTATTGGGCAGGATGACTTCCGGCAGTTCCTTCTCGCCCTCACTATTGATGGACTGATATCCGCAAGGGTCGCCTGTGACGCACGGATATATGGACGGCGATGATCGGGTGGATGGGTGAGAGGTGGGAGTTCTGCGTCTGCCCTGCTGTTTCGGACGGTTGGCTGGGTCTTCCGTGCCTAAGTAATGCGGGCACCCGTTTGCCTGTGACGACTATTGATGGTGGTGTCCAGGAAGGAAAGAATCGCTCGGAGTGGCTGCAGTGGCTGTATTCCCGTTGGGCTCGGAGGAAGTCGCTGTTCCACGGACGACGGTGAAGAGGGCTTTTCTCGCCACGTCCCATCGTTTGATAATGTGACGAGATCTGTCCAGGTCGCAAGCAATTAGGTACTGAGTGAAAAACAAAACTAAAACCGAACCGTGGCTTGAACCAAAAACCAAATTCCTCTCCAGCTTCCTCTCCAGCTTCCCCTGAATTTTGCCATAATCCGTACGACGTCGCCTGAGAGCTATCCGTCACCTGTGCCCCTTCTCCGATGTAGCCATCGCCAGCGCGGTCATCGAGGCCATGATAGTTCATGCCCTGGAAGGCTCCTGGTGATTCCCATTGCCGATTGAACAAAAAGCTTGGTTTCCTTGTCATCGTTGACACCTCCTCCATTCTCGAGGTCCTTGTTGGCACTCTTGGCCATGAGAATGCGTAAGGGGAGGAAGCCCTGGTAGCCAAAGAGCAGGACTAGGGTAAACAGGCCACCGTGAGCGAAGCTGCCGATGACAAGAAGGGTGAATCACCAGCTTGAGGGGGAGCAATTCTTATTGTCGCGGTCGCAGTGCTTGAGTTCGTGGTCGTGCTCCCGGAGAATGGAAGCCAACAAAACGAAAACGTAGAAGCTTACCATGAGGAACAGAAGAACGATTGACTGGATCACATGGGTCCGCATGGGGAGGCCGGGATGGTAAAGTTGAAGGTGAGGGTGCTGGTAAGGAGTAGTAGCGGGATTCGGCATGGTGAGTCTTGTCGGTGGGGTTTTGTGGGGTTGTGTGAGGTTGTGTGGGGGAATGTGGAGGGAATGCGTTGTGATACAGGTTGTAGGTGATGTAGTAGAGAAGGTGTAGTAGGGTCGAAGATGGTTGTTTAAGAGCGAAAGAGATGCTGCTGCTCGCCGTGTCAGGAT